TAAATTATTCTCGAAAGAAAGACAACTAATAATTAAGAGAGCGAAAATTGCAAAATAAAAATAGTTTTACTACATTTTTATTATTATTAATAATATTGATCCTAATAATAATTAATAATATTAATATTTTTTGACTTTTTTTGACTTCTTAGAAAAAAAGGATTAATTCAGATTTATTTTTGAAGAAGAAAAAATGGTTGAGGAATAAAATTTGAATGATTTGTGAATAGAGTTTGATTGATAATTTGATGACACATGTGCGAATAATAAACGTAATGTAATGAGAAATTATGATATGTGAAAAAGATAATAACAAAGTTAACACTTCATTAGATGGGAGAGAGATTTGGAATTAAGAGAAGTAGATTTTAACGAGAGGCAACAATTGACGATGGGTGAAATAAAATCTCGAGTTACGATTTCAATTAGTGGAAGCTAATTAAAACCAACTAAGGGAAAACTTTAAAAGTAACTCATTGTTAATTAAATTCCAAACAAGCTGCTATTTGCTATTAATTACAACTCCGAGATATTGTTACTCCCGTGTGTAGTTATATCCTATTGAATGCCGATTCCTCTTTTTCGAATTTCTATTCATTACCCCCCCCCCCCTTCCCTTCTCCTCTTCTTCTCCGTTTCATTTCAAATTGTTCTCTATTTTCGACAAACTTTATAATAAATAAAATAATAATAATAACTTTACCTAAAAATATCTTCACATGTGATGAGAATATGAATAACATCTTTTTGTTATTACCACGCTAAATTTTAAAATATAATGTATCAGTAAAGTTATTATTAGTTTTAATTTAAAATTTTAGAAAATTTCAATTTTTAATTTTTTAATGAATTTAATAAAAAAAAAATGGAAAGAATTTAGATTTTTGAATTATATTTTAATAATCCAATTCTTCTGAAATTAATTTTATTTAATTTTGTAATAATATATAATGTTAATTAATATTATTAAAAATCCTGGATTTATAGAAGAATTTTAGTTAATAACACTAAAAAATTGAAGTTTAAAGAAGTTACAAATGTTTGCAGAAATTCAATTAGGTATTTTCAAAAATTTCTTTAAATTCTCGACAAAATTTCAATTATCTTTAAAAATAATAAAATTCTTCTCCAAAATCCAATTTTTTTTGAAAATTTGTTATAAAAATATTCTAAGCAAACATTAAATTTGTTTCATAAATAATAACAATTTCACAGGAATTCAACTATTTACAAATTTTTTTTTATAAATTTCTTCGCAATAATTCAATTATTTTCATAAATAATACAATTTTTTTAAAGAGATTCAATTATTTTCAGGATTAATAAAACTCATCATAGAATTTCAATTATTTTTAATAAAATTTTAACCAAATTCCACAAAAAATGTTTGAAAAATTGAAAAATTCTTGAAAATTTTATTAAAATTCGTCGAAAGAAATCAATTATTTAAAAATGTGTTGATAAAATTCTTTATGGGAATTGAATTTTAAGAAACATTCATTTATTCTATAATTTTCTCATTTTTGTATTAAAATAGTTGAATTCTCGGAGAATTTTCTAATAAAAACTGTCTTAAAAATTAATTTCAGTAAAAATTTTACATAATAATTGAATATTAAAAGCTTTAGCATGCATTTTTATAAATACTTGAATTTTGAAAAAGTTTAGTGAATTTTTTTTTAAATTATTTCAAGTTTTTAATTTCTAAATATTTAATTGAAGAATTTCCGAATAATCAAAATTTTACGTAAAATTAAATTGTAAACAAATCGATTTGAAAATTCTCTAGGAACTTTTGCAAAAATTATTAAAAATAATTGATAATTGTGCGTTTATTTCTTTCGAAGAATTTTAATGAAATTTTTGAAAATAATTAAATTTTTCGAAGAATAATTTACTTAAAATTATATTAAAAAATAATTGAAATCCTGTGCAGAATTTGATTATTTAGAAAGATAATTGAATTCTTGCAACGAATTTTATTCCATTTTTTTTAAATAATCGAATTCTTTTGAGAAATTGTATTATTTATTATTTTTATTATTTATGAAAATAATTAAATTATTGCAACGAATTTTATAAAATTTTTTCTAAATAATTGAATTTTTTGAGAAATTTTATTAAAATAGTAGATTTTGAAAATATTTTACAATTTCAGCGAAGAATTTCATTATTTGTGAAATGTAATTGAATTCTTGCAAAAAATTTCTGAAAATAATTCCTGGTTTTTGAGGGATTTATTTTAAATTGTATTAAAAATAATTGAAATCCTATGAAAAATTTTATTATTTATGAAAATAATTGAATTCTTACACAACGAATTTTTACTATATTTCTTTTAAATAATTGAAATCCTGTGAAGAATTTTATTACTTGTAAAAATAATTGAATTCTTATGAAGGATTTTTTATTGAAATTTTTTGTAAATAATTTAATTTTTTTTTTTTAAATTTTATGCAAATTTAAAGTACTATTTTGACTTTATCCCCCAGACCCTAAAATTTAAATCGATTAAATTTGTTTTCATTGTAAATAAAATTCAGTGTGAGTGACTTTTTCGAAAGAAAAAAATTTCGCTTTTTGTTATAAGTAGAATATTAAATATTCCAGAATAAATTCGTTCCTACTGTTAAATTGACTACTCAATGACTCATCATTGAAGTAATAATCGATCATCATTGTTTGAATTATAAAGTAGAGAGAGAGAAAGAGAGAGGTGGAGGGCTCTATTAAACACGGTGCTGTCATCATAATTTTTTTCTTTGCTTCCACTTTTTTTTGAGATGAGTGATAAATGGTGACGAAGCCCTCGAGGAAGAGCAGTGAAATCTGTAGGCTTATTTGAGGCCATGCGAAGGGTTCTCTTATCAATGTTGAGGAAGAGAATATTCCTCGTCTCCACCCTGTCTAGACAAAATCAATGCAACCTCGATCCCCTCTCTCTCTCTCACTCTCTCCAGAGCCAGTTTCCAGCAGAATCTCTCTCTTAAATCTCTAAAATGTCCCAACGTCTATGCGCGTACGCACGCGCCCTTTACACGTGTTTCGTCCTTTTTCTATATATATAGTTAATTTTTTTTTCCATCCACAGTTTTCGACTTTTTTTTATTATTATTATTTTCATCATCGTTCCTCGACTCCTTCAGAGCCACACACTTGGTCTAGTATTTTAATCCAGTTTATCTCGGGTCGTTTCGCGGAGGACACGCTCGTTCGTTGTTCTTTTTAATCTTTTCGTTTTTCCTCCCAAAAAAAAAAAAATTTAGTCACTTTCATTTTGTTTCCCCCTAAATTTTATTTTCTTTTTTTCTATTTTTTAAAATTTTTGGATCGCCCATTTATTTTTTCTCTTATTAAAATTGTTAAAAACTTATTTTTCTTTAAATTAATTTAACAACATTATTTGTTTAAAAAAAGTTCTTTGTGCGGTTTGAAAAAAATTCCTTTTGTGATTTTAGTGAATTTTCCTTTTAGATTTTTACATATTCTCGAGAAGATGTGAGCAAAGTTTAAAAGCATTGGAAATTGAGGTAAAATTTTAGAAATAAGAAAACCTTTTGTTTTCGGAACAAAATTTTTTAAATCATTATTTGAAAAACCAAATGATTTTTATTTTTTGTCTTCAAAAAATTCATTCAGTAAATTTTTTCTGAATCCAAATAAAGTTTTCAATCGATTTTGGTACGAGAATTTCTTTATTTTGTCAAACAATATTATTTTTACCACAAAAAAAAAATCAATTATTATTCCGAGAAAAAATTGTTTATGAAAAATTTTAATTGTAACACAAAGTAAAAAATCAAGTTTTTATTTTCTAAAAATTTAATTGAATAATTTACGAATAATTGAAATTCGTAAAATTGAATAATGTAAACAAATGAATTTGAAAATTGTCAGAGAACTTTTTCAAAAATTATTAAAAATAATTGATAATTGTTAATTTATTTCTTTCAAAGAATTTTAATAAAAATTTTGAAATTAATTACATTTTTCGAAGAATTTACTTAAAATTGTCTTGAAAATAACTGAAATCCTGTAAAGAATTTGATTATTTAGGAAAATAATTGAATTCTAGAAACAAACATTTTATTAGGTACATTTTTTTAAATAATCGAAATTCTGTGAAGAATTTTATTATTTATAAAAATAATTGAATTATTGCTACGAATTTTATTAAATTTTTTTTTAAATTGAAATCCTGAGAAGAATTGAATTCTTGCAACGAATTTTTACTACATTTCTTTTAAATAATTGAAATCGTGTGAAGAATTTTATTATTTAGGAAAATAATTGAATTTTTGCAACAAATTTTATTATTACATTTTTTTTTTAAATAATTGAATTCTTTTGAGAAATTGTATTATTTATAAAAATAATTAAATTATTGCAACGAATTTTATAAAAATTTTTCTAAATAATTGAATTTTTTGAGAAATTTTATGAAAATTGTGGAGTTTGTAAATATTTTAATTTCAACGAAGAATTTCATTATTTGTGAATTGTAATTTGTTTTCAATGAATTTAGTAAATTCCTTTATCGAAATTTAAATAAAATTTAAAATCGATTCGTATATTGGTATAAATTGTGAAAAGATTAAACTGAAATTAAAGCCAAACGAGATTTTGAATTCTCGAAATCTGCTGAAATTTGAAGACCAAAAGCCGAGAGACAGAGAGAGAGAGAGAGAGCGGATTAATATAAGCTACTACTGGTTTAGGAAAATTTCATTTGAAAATGAAATTTCAACTCTCTCATAGAGAAAACTTGTGAATTTAGTTGGAAGCTGTAAACGATTACATAAAATGAGATTGAAGATTGTCTTTAACTAAACTGGTTAATCCATGGAAATTTCGAGATAGTTTGAGAGAGAGAGAGAAAGAGAGTCAAAGTAGTAGTAAAGGAAAATATTTGTCCCGACTAGTCCTTGAGATGTAGAATAAACGATAATATGATAATACGATGACACAATTTGCATGAAAATTGTCTGCTTTTGTTTCAGCAACACCTTCAACTCCAATAATGCCAGGCGGTGCACCAGGTACACCTTCATCAAAAGCCAAGGTACATCAACATCAAAACTTTTCTCTTTTTCAACTTCATACAAGCTCCCAGCAGCCACCGTTATAGCTTCATAGATTAAAGAGGGGAAAAAGACGAAATACTCAAAAGAAAAAAAAACAGAAATAAACTTCTTGTCAAGGATCAAATTTTAAACGCATTCATATCAGGGAAAATTGCTTTTCTTTTCACTTCAAATAATCGATTACTTGCGACTCTTATACTTACTAACCAGTATTTATTTACAAAGCATATTTCAAAGCAAAAGAATAAATTATAGTTTTTTAATTTATTTTTCATATTATTTATTATTTTCTTATTATTTATTATATTTTTTTCTTTCCAAATATTCATTTTTATCTACATTTTTATTTTTTTTTATTTACTTGACTTAAAAATTATTTTGCCAGAAGTATTTGACGCGAGAGTCAATATACGAAAAAATCCGCTAGAAAAATAAGAGATTTTTTTTCATTTGAAACAAATATTTGAAAATAATTTTTTTAATCAATTTGATCGATTATTTGAATAAACTTTCAGTGCGCCTAAAAACAGAATTCACGAAAAGAAAACAAATAAAATAACTTTTAGTTGTTTATTTCGTTTTTCCGTGGTCGAAAAAATTTATGCAACAAAAAAAAATAGATTCGTAATTATTACGATTATCATTACAAAACTAATTTTATATTTGAAAACAAAATAAATAAAATATTTCAGAAAATTCAATGAATAAAATGAAATAATAAATCAAAATTAAACCAGAGAGATACAATAATAATAATAAAAAAAAAGAAGAAGAAATAAAAAAAGAATACAAATAAAAAAATACGAAAAAAATGAAAGAAAATAGAAATAAAGGAAAAAAATAGAATAATGATGATCGTAAGAGTCAAAGTGGATTTACGATCGCCACAAAATAGAATAAACTTTGAATACTTATTTGAGATTATTATAAAAGTTTCATGCGCGGACTTGAATGGATTTTATATACAATATATATGTATATACGATTGGCAAAGCGAGTTGCATAATTAGCTTGGGAACTTTGAGGTCTATGCGTCGCCTTATTTTTTGACGAGTGAATTATTGTGCTTTTGACATTTTATATTCGTTTCTCGACATTTTTAAATTAAAAAGTCGTGACAATAAATTATAATTTACGACTGTCTTTTTATTGCTCTTCTTGATTTTGTTTCATACACGCGCAATCTCATTTTCCCTACAATACCTGTACAAATTTATATATATTATAAAAAATTTTTATTATCATCATCATTACAAATTCATTTCCAACTTTTTTTTTCTCTACTATAAATTGTGAATGAAAATTTTATAACTAAATTGAACATTGAATTTAAATTTATATTTAAATTTATACCAATTAAAAATTTAATTAGTTCGAATATTATCATTAGTTTTCAAAAGTCTATAATTTTATAATTAAATATGTTTCGTGGAATTCGTGGAAAATGTCAAATGATTGAAAATTAATATCTATTTTTAAGCAATAAAAATTCGAAATTGAGGAAAAAATTATTTTTGACAAGAAATAATATACATTTTAGAATTTATCGTCATATGCACTTTGAAACTAGAGAAAAAATTCTATTCTCTGAAAATAAACTCAGTCAGTCGGAAAAAGTCGATAATGATTAAAATCACTTTTTAATCAGCTTAACTTTAAATGAAAAGAAATAATTCTCTGGGATCCTTTATGGGATCAACGTTTGAAAATACTTTTCGCTGAGTTGAAAGTCCTCGTGGAACCTCATGGAAAAAAAAATTTCTCGATTAAAGAAAAAAAATGAGAATAGACTTTTTTCCTTTTTCCACATTTGCTTTTTTATTTTTATTTTTACTTCAGTTTTTCTTCACTATTTATTTTCTCAATTTTATCTTTTATTTATTTTACTACATTTTCTATTTATAGTTATATTTTTCCATTTTTATTTCTTTTCTTCTATTTTTTTTTCTTTTGTTTTTTTCTTTTTTTTTCTCTTATTTTTTTCTTCATCTTTTCTTTATTTTTATCCTTTTTAAATTTTTATCCTCTTTTTTATTTTCTAAATTCTATACTTTTAATTTCAGTTTATTTTCGATTTGATTCGTATTTTTACTTTCATCTTCGTTTTTGCTATTTTCTGTATTTGTTTTTTTCATTTCTTTTTCTATATTGTTCAATTTTCATTCCGCATTTATTCTATTTCTATATTTTCAATTTCGTGTATTTTCGCTTTTTTCTATTATATTGTCAAAAACAAGAAAGATTTCTTTTCAAAAATTTCCTGCTCTATTGAATTTAACTTCAATCTGTGGTATTTTTATATTTTTTTATTTGACAGTTTTAATAAAAATATAAAGTACGTTTTTTTGCATTCAATCAAAAATGATAAAAATGGTTTACTTTTTTAATTTTGATAAAAAAAATTTCCTCTACTGAATTTTATTCCATTGATAATACTTGTTTTAAAAATTTGATACATTTTTTTTCAAAACAAATCATAAAAATAAATTTCAGTGATTTGTTGAAAAAAAAAATATTGAAATTGTAAAATTAAAAAATATTTTTTATTGAAATGGTTTGAATTTTAATTCGAAAGCCTTTTGAAAGAGTTATTTTTTAATTGAAAAAAGAAATTAAATATAAAAATCTGTTAATGCTATTTTTTTATTTATTGATCAGTGTTTCGATTTTTGCAGAAGTTACTAATCTGACTGTGTGTCTTCCAGGAGAAATTGATGCTGAGAACAAAAGTTGTGGTGGCACTTTATCCATTCCGAGCCATCGAGGGCGGCGATTTGTCTCTCGTAAAGGTAACTAACTACTGACTAATTACATTCAATTAATTACAAATTGTTGAACAACCATTCGGAAAGTATTTTTGAACACACTAGACTGCATCCACTGCTCCAATCTCTTTTTAATTTTACTAGAAAGTGAAAAATAGTTCGGAGCAATCGAGCACTCAATTCTTTTTTTTTCATTCAAAAAAAAAAAATCTCTTCAAATAAAATTCTCATAATTTTCATTTCTCGTTTACTTCATTTCAGGGTAAAGAGTACGAGGTTCTCGATGACTCCCAGGAGCATTGGTGGAAAGTCAAAGACGAAAATGGGTGAGCAATTCAATTTTTTCCCCAAAATTAATTCGATTGAAAGCAATTTTTTCTTTTTAGAGGAAAATTAGTTCTGAACGATGTAAAACGATTAAAATATATTTCGATAATCAATCGTTTTTTGAAAACAATTTTTTTTCCTAAAGTTCTGAATTTGAATTAATTTCTAACAATTGAAATTTAATTTTTGTGTCTATCAAAAAGTATTTAATTTTGATTACAAACAATAATTTATGAAAAACGTTAAAAAATTGTAGATCATGACAAATTAATAATTAATTCCTCATCTGTTTAAATTTTAAATTCACTTGAAATCGAAATTTTTAATTTCCAGAAAATGGAAAATTTCCATTTGAAAAATTATTGACTTTCAAGTGAAACAAGTGAAATTGAAATGACAGTTGATGGAAATAAAATTCATAAAATGCTAATCTACTTTAGAAAACTAATTTTCTGTTGCAAATTATTTATACAAACAAAAGTGACTCTCTTTTTCTTAATAAAACAAAAGATAGACGTGAAGCGGATTTTACTCTGTTTTTCTCTTTTTTTCCCTCCCATATACTGTTCGCGGAGAATAAAAAGCTAATTTTCCTTCAAGAAAATGCTTATTGTATTGGATCTAAACCAGAAAAAACTAAAAGTAGAAACGTTCTCAATTCTTTTTTTCTTTTCTTTCTTCTTTCAGTTCCATTGGATATATACCAAGCAATTACGTGAAGGAAAAGGAACTTCTGGGTCTGCAAAAATACGAGTAAGTAGAAAAAGAAAATAGAGAAAAAAAGAGCGCAGAAGAGAAAAAAATACAAATTTCTCATTCTTTAATAATAAAGTTGATATAGACAAAAGTTTTCTTCCCTCTCCGACTAATAATTAAATAACTCGTAAAGTTTGTTGCGCACTTTTGTTTCTATATATAAAAAAAATGGAATTTTGCAATAAAAAGAAGAATAAGAAGAAATAAAAGAAGTTCGTGTGGATATTTAAATAATGGAGACGAAATCGAGCAAGAAAGAAAAATGAGATGAGAGAATGAAATGAGAATGAGAATGAGAAAAAAGGAAAATGAGAAAATTAGCAATCTCATAATGCTAAGCCGTGCAAAGGGATAGTCGCTTTTCGCATCATTGCACAATAAGTGAGGCGACTTATTTCACCGAAATGTTCTTTTCGTGCAAATTACTTAGTGTGCCTTTGCCTTTAGTGAATTAAAATTACATCATTACCAGAGAAACCTTTTCCTTTGAGAATGATATTGCTATTTTCGTCAATAAAAATCTGCATATCTCATTGCCTCCACTTTTTTTAATGTTTAAACTAAAAAATTTATTTCTATTATTCTAGTTTCTTTACATTATTATTTCAATTATTAAATCATATTAATTATTTTCTACTCTATTTTAATTCAATTATTTTCTATACTATTTTGATTAAATCATTTTCTACTCTATTTTATTTAAATTATTTTCCATTCTACTTTAATTAAATTATTTTCTACTCTATTTTATTTATAATTATTTTCTATTCTACTTCAAATAAATTATTTTCTATTCTATTTTATTTAAATTATTTTCTATTTTTCTACTGATAAAAATAAGAAAAAAAATCTGAAAACGTTTTTCCGTTTTTCGATATATAAAACTTACAGTATAGTTTCATATTAATTAAAATTTGAATTTTCAATATAATTTTTGGTTGAGGTTCGTTTTCTTCTTTTTGAGAAATTAAATTCTTGTTGCTATCGATATTAATTTATAATTGAATTATTAAACGTAAACTTAATTAAAAATTTATTTACGGAAAATTTTCGCAAAACCGTTGTGTAATTAATTTAGGCAGTGAAACATTTTCAAATGCAAATAATCAAAAATTTATTTCAATTTGGAAATCAATTATCAAAAATAAATAAAAATACTAAATAAATAGTAATAAAATTAAAATAATATATAATAAATAAATTAAAATTAAGAAATTAAAAAAAATAAGAAAATATTATAACTTTATAACTTTTTATAAAGAATTTTAAAAAAATTCTCGAAAATAATTGAATTTTTGCGATTAATTTTATTAAAATTTTTTTAAAAGTATTCTTTTATGAATTTTTATTAAAATTGAATTATAAATAATTGAAATCCTGCTAAGAATTATATTATTTTTGAAAATAATTGAATTGTTGAGAATGATATCAAAATTTTTAAAAATAATTTAATTCCTGATAAGAATTTTATCAAAATTTCTGAAAGGAATTGAATTCCTATTTAGAGTCTTATAATTTATTGAAATAGTTAAATTTTAACGAATTATTTTATTAAAATAGTTTAAAAATAATTTAATTCTTGTCTGAAATTTTATTAAAATTGTTTTAAAATAATTGAATTCCTTTCGTGAAATTGTATTAAAATTGAATTGAAAACAATCGAAACCCTACGAAGAATAATTTGGATTTTAATTGAAATAAAATATTTATTTACATCATAAGACAAAATAAAATGAATTTATTATTATTATTAATAATAAAGAGCAGAAAAACATTTCCGAGAAAGTAAAATTTACAACACACGAATGTCAAGAAGATAAAAATTAATTTTCTAGCGAAATTTATGCGCCGTTGCTAATTAAACTTTACACCGAAGAGAGTGAGAGAGTGAGAGAGAAAAAAAACAAAACTCGTCGAGTGAATAATTTTAGTAATCGAAACGGAAAAATGGAATGAAGTAAAAAAGAAAAATGAAGAAAACATATTGTTTGCTCGATTCTCGTTATATGTATAGTTTTGTGGATGTTTCGCTAAGCGTTTTCATAATACTAGCAGAATAGGAGAGTCTTTTGTAAAATAGCACGCTTGTTAATTTACAACGAGGTACTTGTGACACGTTTCTAAAAAATTCTCTTTGTCATTGCAGGTGGTACGTTGGCGATATGTCGCGGCAGCGGGCTGAGTCTCTGCTGAAACAGGAGGAGAAAGAGGGCTGTTTCGTCGTCCGTAATTCCTCCACTAAAGGCCTCTATACACTCTCTCTTTATACGAAAATGTTAGTTTCCTTCAAGTAACAACCAAAAAGAGGATGGAAGCTTTAAAGTGAATAATTGAATCAGGAAACTAAGACACGAAACTTTATATTGTCTCCTGCTTGCTTTTCTCTCTCTTTCTCTCTCTTTTACTATTTTTTTTAATCTCATTCTTTCTCTCTCTCTCTTGTTCTATCAAAATAATTTTCCTTAAATCCAACTTTTTCTCCCCAAGATGTTTCTTTCTTTTTCTTTCACCTTTTCTGAGAATATTTTTCTTCAAATCCTTTCTACTTTATATAACACGCTCTTTCCTTTTTCTAACGAAAAATATTTTTGTTTCTAAACAGCAAAAATTTTCCCCAGGGAATAAATTTCCCCAAGAGAGATATTATCAATTTTTTCCTACGGCAATTTTTTCAATTTCACGATATTTTTAAAGAAAACGAAACGAATTATTGTATTTTCTTTGTTAATTTTTTAGACTCTAAAAGGAACACTTCTATTTATTCCTTTAAATACAATTTCTTTGAATCAAGAATTTTATTCAGGGCTCGAACTAGGTCCGTAAATCCCGTAAAGCTCCGTAAATTTGCTTCAAGTCCGTAAATTGAAATAATTGAAATAATTGAATATGGAAATTAATTTTTTTTGAAAATTGTCAAAGAACAAAATACTTTTACTGGTTCGAGCCCTGATTTCATTTCGTCTTGTGAATGAAATAAAATAATATTCGAGAGAATTTCAAGTAAGATTCTATAATACGGGATTTGTCGCGGGTATTAATTTAAAATTATAAATTAGTCTCTATTATTCACTGTAGACTTTGCCAATTCAACATTTGTCACTCTCAGGTGCAAAGAGCTTTTGCTTTAAAGCTACATTTATTAATGACGAAAATAGATCAAATCGAAATGGAAACAAAGGCCTTTCAAGTGTCGAGTGATAAATTCTAAATTATACATTAAGATTTCCTGTCAGTTTCCTTTTTCAATTCTATAATTAATTTCTAAACAAAAAAACTCATTTTCAGTTATGTAGAATTAATTAATATTTAAATAATTAATTAATCAATTCATGAAAATCAGTTTTCAAAATTGTTGATTAAATTCCAATACAACGAATTCTCAAAGTGTCAAAATAATCAACTAATTCGAAATTTAATTTAATTTTTATTTATTTCTTATTATCATTAGTTTCATGTTTGATTAAATTTTATTAATAGAATATTAAAAATAGTAAAGTATGGAAAATATACTTTGAAATATTTTTTTAATTCTCGATTTTCTTTGAAATATTTGTAAAAAGAATAATAATTGTTATGAAATATGAGAATTGGTTTTTGGGGAATTTTAATTTAACGATGAAAGGTATAGGTTGAGTGACGGGAAATTATTTGGATTAATGAATTACCGTGTGGTTAAATTTCAGTCCCCATCCCCATGTCAAACACTACCACATCAAACAAAATTCGAGAGGAGAATTCTACCTGTCAGAGAAGCATTGCGCCTCTTCTATTCCGGATCTCGTCAATTATCACAAACATAACAGTGGTGGACTTGCCAGTAGACTGAAAGCCAGCCCTTGTGATCGTCCAGTTCCAGCCACTGCTGGTTTAAGTCATGGTGAGCAACGATAATTTCTTTACTATTATTATTCATCTCATTTATTCCCCAATAACACTGCTAATTTAAACTCGACAATTTATTTTTAATCAATTTATTAAATTAAATTAAATCAATTTGAATTCAATAAAATTAACTTAATTTAATTTAATTCAATTTTAATTCATTTAATTAAATTTTATTTTATTTAATTCAAATTTAATTCAATTTGATTTTGGAAAAATTCCCAGCACTCAAAATGTGAATCATTTTTGCATAATTGAAACTATGGTTAAATCAGCACTTTTAATAAGCTTTTTAATAAGCTTTTTAATTTATTATCAAATTTTCATAATAAGTAAGTAAGTTGAAAAATTTTTCCAGTAATGAAATATACAGAATACTTTTATAATTAAATATTTCAGAAGCGTTCTCATAACATTTACAAATATAATTCAAAAATCTTCTATAATGAATATTCCTGGTAAAATCGTAAAATATTTGAAAAACGTATAAATTACAGAAAATTTGTATTACAAAAATTCCAGAGACTAATTTATATATAATATTGATGAAAAAATTTCCTTCTGTTTTGTGAGTTTTATGTATTAATTAGATGAATAATTTCATGAGTTGTTGAATTATACAAAATTAACGTTACAAATTGTTTTTCAAAAAAAAGCTCCATCAGAAATTCAGAATATTTTGTAATTATTTTCCGATTTATGAAAAGTTCATGAATATTCTAATAATTATTATATCCATAATAATAAATCCTTATATTTTATATATAAGTATAAATATTATAATTTATAATACATTAAATTCACAAAATAAAAATTTTCCAGTAAAATTATTATGTATTCGGAAATATTTTTGTCGAGATTTTACAATTTTTCCGCAAAAACAACAAAACCAAAATTATTCAAATCAAATATTTCCAAAATATCTATGAATATGTTTTTGAATATAAATTTCAAAATATTTTATTTATTTCTTATGACCTGGTTATTTCTTTTTTATAAAAATAATAAATGTAAAATGGAAATTCCAGATAAATATGATTTTCAATATTGTTCGATAAAATTCATTATTTCAGAATTCTTAGAACATATAAATTTTCATATTTTCCATTTTTTTCCAAAGATATGGAATTTTTCAAAGAATAAGAAGAAATCCAGAACTTTTCAAATACGAACACAATTTCAGAATATTTTCTGTAATAAATGTCAGGATAATAATAAAAATATTTTGAAAAACATTTCCTAAATGCAAATTTTTAACGTAAAAAAAATTCTATATACTTAATTTATTTAAAATTTAAAAATAAAAATTTGTTAATTTTTTTATAGTTAAAATAATTTTTTAGTAATAAATAGTAAAATTGAAATAAAAATTGAAATAGTAAAGAAAATGGAAACAATAATAAATTAATAAAGAGTGCAATACAATAAAATACATAAATAAATTTTTGTAATTTTTTTTAACAAAAAATAATAAATAGTAATAAAAAAGAATAAATAGAAATTAAAAGTATAATATTGTTCACAAATGACTTTTAGAAAGAAAAATTTTGTCGAACACTTTATTCGAATTTTCATATAAAAGTGAATGAACATTTTTCCCCATCGATTTTTTATTTATTTTCTTTTTGTACTTTATAAGAGTGTCAATTAGGAATTTGAATTTCAAGACAAATGTCATTTGTGCGCTTGGGAACTGATTATCAATTAAAAGTCCAATTAAAAATTCCTTTTAGGAAGTGTCACCTATTTAATGAACTAATCTTCCCTATATACCTATATTACGAGTTTCTCAGGGAAATTTCACTCTCCGGTGTATATAAATCTGCCCGCATCAGATACTAGCTCTTCTCTTCCTATATATATTGTATAACAAAAGCCTCGCTCTGTAAAATGTAAAGGTTGAGCTTGAAAATCTCCGATTTTCCATTACAGATAAATGGGAAATTGATCCAGCCGAGCTGCATTTATTGGAAGAGCTCGGCTCTGGCCAGTTTGGTGTCGTGCGAAGAGGCACATGGCGTGGATCCATTGACGTTGCTGTCAAAATGATGAAAGAAGGCACCATGTCTGAGGATGATTTTATTGAAGAAGCTAAAGTGATGACGTGAGTGATTTTCCAATAAATTTCTCCCTTTATTTCTTCTTTTACACGACAGGGAGAAATCGAGAAATCGGAGAAATCAAATTACAAAAATATTCAATCTTTTTCTCTTCTTTCGTACAATTTTCTTCTTTTTCATTCTGTTTTCCAATATTTTTGTTATTACTATTATTATTAACTAGCCAGTGGGCAAAACGTGGTATTTCATTCATTATTATGCAAACTAAATAAACTAAATTTATTTTCATACATTAATTTCAATTTTAGAATAACTTTAGATTCAAAATTTTAAAAAATTCAATTATCAATTAATTTACTGATTAATTATAATTATTTATTATTTTCAACAACTTTAATAAAATTCTTCGCAAAAATGCAATTCTTTTCATAGTTTATCTATTTTTTCGCTAGAATTCAATTATTTTCAAAAATTTTAATAAAATTCTTGGTAAAAATTCAATTATTTAAAAAAAATCTTAATAAAATTATTGGCAAAATTTCAATTATTTCCAAAAAATTTCCTCAATTCAATGATTTTTAATATCTACTTTTATAAAAAAAATTTCCAAAAGAATTAAATTATTCAAAATCAAATTTTGATGAAATTATTCGCATAAATTCAATTATTTTCATAAATAACAAAATTCTTTGGCAGAAATTCAATTATTTACAAATTTTTTATAAATTTCTTCGAAATAATTCAATTATTTTGAAAAATTTCGATTAAATTCTTTATAAGAATTGAAATATTGTCAATTTTAATCAAATTCCTGGAAAAAATTCAATTATTTTCGAGAATTTTAATTATTAAATTCTTCGCAGGAATTTAATTATTTTGAAAATTTTTGATAAAATTTTTTATGAGAATTGAAATATTTTTAATTCAATTCCTCGATAAAATTCAATTACTTACGAAAATTTTAATTACTTTCTTCGCAAAAATTCAATTTTATTTCATAATTTAGCAAATTTTTCGCTGGAATTTAATTATTTTAAAGAATTTTAATAAAATTCTTTGCAGGATTTCAATTATTTTGAAAATTTTTTAATAAAATTATTTATGAGAATTGAAATATTTTTAATACAAATTTAATTAAATTCCTTAAAAAATTCAATTATTTTCGAAAATCTAAATTAAATTCTTATCAGACATTCAATTATTTTCATAATTTAGCAAATTTTTTGCAGGAATTTAATAATTTCATAGAATTTTAATATTTTCTTCAAAAAAATATTATTTTGAAAAATTTCAATAAAATTGTTAATGAGAATTTAATTCTTTTCCTAAATAATATAAGTTTTCGAAAAAATTAAATTATTTTGAAAAGTTTTGGTAAAATTCTTTATAAGAATTCAATTATTTTTAATATTATTTTAATAAAATTCTTATCAAGATTTTAATTATTTTCCTAATATCTTTTCTTGAACAAATCCAATTCTTTAAATAAATTGTAACAAAATTTTTCGAAAGAATTCAATTAAATAATTTTTAATTAAAAAAATTGTAATAAAATTTTTCGAAAAAATTCAATTATTTAGAAAAATTGTAATAAAATATCTCGAAAAAATTCGATTATTTAAGTAAGTGTAACAAATTATATTAATAATTATTATAATTATTACAATTAATTAGTGAACCAAATAATTTTTTCTGAAATGAATAGATTTTTCCTTTTTTTTCTGTATGAAATTTTCTTATTTTTCTCAGTTTTTCATTCTAAGCAAGAAAAGACGGTAAATTCATGGATTTCGCATTGTTTTTCTTTTCCAGAAAACTGCAGAACCAAAACCTAGTCCAACTTTATGGCGTGTGCAGTAAAGATAGACCAATTTATATAGTCACCGAGTACATGAGACACGGATCGCTCCTAAACTACCTCCGTCGACACGAATCTACTCTTGGAACAAATGTCGGACTTTTGTTGGATATGTGTATTCAGGTGAGAAAAGAAAATATCACCTCATACGCAAATTCCATCAATTTTTTTCTTATCTCTCATTCTCAATCTTTTCCGACATTGAAAAAATATATTTCACATCATTTTTGAAGAAAAAGGAAACATTTTCTTATTCTCGAAGAAAATTACCGAGATAAGAATGAAAAATCAGAATCTATGCCAAAAAATAGAAAATAGTTTAAGGAATACAAAAATCGGGTCGAAAAAAAGGAATTGTTATACTTTTCTGAAAAACCATTTCAAAGAAGTTGCTTTCTCACCTTTTTTCCCTCTCTCTCTCTCACTCTTTATCTATATACGAAAAGTAAAGTGGCAATGAAAAGAAATTTAACGACACTCGAATGATTTTTCTCCGCTACGAATGGACCTGCACTTGCAGATAAACTCTTTTTTTTATCATGAAATGCAACAGTTCCATTGGAATTCTCAAGGAATTACTTAACGCGACGATTTTCTCTCGTAAAGAGGAAAGAAAAAAGAGAAACGCAAAAAATAAGAATAAGAGAGTTTAAAAAAAGGAAGAAAGGGAAAAATATAGTCGAGCATGCACTATTTCGAGAGAAAGAGAACCTTTTTTTTGAAGCTTTATTTCCTATTACTCCGGAGAATATCTCTCTTCTCTCCTTTTTTTTCTCCTCTCTACTTTTACAATTTTCTCACGGGGACATAAAAGATAAAATTTATGCTAAAAACAATACAAGGATTTAGCCCTCTTCTCGGCTTATAATTTACCGTTAAGGACAAATTATTGAAAGTACCAGTGTCGATGGTAAATGCAAATCCAGCAACAATTCTAAAGTCTTGAACGACATTTTTTTTATCTTCAATTATTTACGAAAATTGCTACTCTGCATTTGAAAATAATGTAAATTAAAGAAATACTTAAAAATTAATTTCTTAATTAAATAATAATTTTATTTTTAATTTTTAATTATAATTAAAATGTTGTAAAAATTATTCGACGATTAATTTAAAGAATTTGAATATTTCCAATTTTTTTCCCAAATAATAAAATTCTTCCAAGGAATTCAATTATAATTATGAGAATTGAAAATATTTCAAAAAAATTCATTTATTTTCGAAAATTTTAATTAAATTCTTCGCAAAATTTCAATTCTTCTCATAATTTATCAAATTTTTCGCAGTAATTTAATTACTTAATAAAATTGCGCCCTTCACATTTGAAAAAAATGTAATTTAAACATTTTCTTATACTGAAAAATTAATTCTTTAATTAAAAATCAATTTTTTAAAAAAAATTTTAATCTGTAATAAAAATGTTATAAAAATTATTCGACTATTAATAATTTAGTATTTTTATTTATTTATATTTCGATAATCATATAAATTGACCATTAACATACATTATTTTTAAAAATTTATTATCATCTAAATATTGATTCATAATAAAAAATTATTTATTATTCATTCATTGTCCGTATAGCTAACAGTTTACGGGCGAATAATAAATAATTATTATTTGAGACAATTAAATGTTTCAAACACTGTAATTATTGGCTCGGATAAAATTCATTCAACTCTAATCATAATTATTTGATGCGTAAATAAATGTTTTCATTAATAGTCGAATAATTTATTTCAATAATAGTCGAATAATATTTATTACTTGAAGCAAGTAAATTTAAATTTTTATTTTAATTTAATTTAAATTTTTGTTTTTCAATTTATAAATTCCAAATATTGTGCAAAAATTTATTATTAAATTTATTAAAATAAAATACACTCAATTTATTTTCCTTTGGTTCAATTTATTTAGTAAGCAATGTTTCGACGATATTTATTTTAGTTTTAAAATTTATTTTTTTTATTTTTTTAAACAGAATTTAAAGGAAGAATTTTTTTTATTTAATAAAATACATTCAACTTATTTTACTTTTGGTTCAATTTATTTAGTAAGCGTTTCGACGATATTTTTTTTAGTTTTTAATTTTATTTTTTTAAACGGAAGTTAAAGAAGAATTTTTCTCACGGAATTGCGGTATTTGTATAACTAATCTAGGAAAATTTCTCTTGTAAAGCGTTGGCTGCTGCTATTTTTCCCAATTTCCACGTCATTGCTCTCTTTTCCCTTAAAATCGATTCCCCTGGCTCTTGATTTTTTTTTTATTCTTTATTGTCTTGTAAGCGAGTGATGCTGCATATTCTCTCTCTCTCTCTTGTTAAAAAAGTCATTGTCAGCGAGATAACATAATCCCACGTGTATTCTTGCTTTTCAGGTTTGTAAGGGAATGGCTTACTTGGAAAGACACAATTACATCCACAGGGACCTCGCGGCGCGAAACTGCCTCGTTGGCTCTGCGAACGTAGTCAAAGTAGCTGATTTTGGCCTTGCCAGGTAACATTTCACTAAATCTTTTGTCTCACAACTATATTTTCCTCCGTTACGTGTCTTTCTCTAAATGTCTCTCACTTACTCTTAAGGAATTTTCACGAGAGAAATTATGCTGGTCTTTCTTATTTTACTCGCGCAATTATTTTACACTCGCTTTACTTTTGTCAATCTTCCAAAGAACACAATTTTCCCTGCAAACTTTACTCTCTAAAGTACTACTATAATTATTATTCTAAATACTTTACTCTAATTAAATAAAGGCTCGCCAAAATGAACACACACAAACTTTACTTGCGCTCGACATAGAAGTCTATTAAATGTTAATTAATTTACAAAATTGCAAACAATTCGTTTTGAGATGAATCATTTTATTTCAACAATTGTTTCAAACTAATTAATTCATTAAATTGAATAATTAATTATTAAATTATAAAATTAATTTGAATTTATTAATTTTATAAATAATTATTAAATTATAAAATTAAATTGAATTTATTAATTTTTAATTTAATGAATAAATTAATTACAGGGTTGCCACAGGTCAGAAAAGTCATGGAAATCAGAGAAAAATCAGGGAAAATAGAATTGATCTGGGAAATTAATTTTTCTTAAAAATACTGAAAAAGATTTAATTTCAAGAATTCGTGAGAAAATTCTGAATTTTTGTGTCTTTTTGTTCGCCTCATAAACTATGAAATTATCACGAATTCTAAAACAAAATCTTCAATTTTTTCTATTTTAATAAAATTTGTAGAAAGAAATCAATATTATTCTTAAAATTTTGTATGAATTTCTTGTCAAAATTTTAATTATTTAAAATTCTTTGCATGAATTCAATTATTTTCAATACAATTTTAATAAAATATCTGAATTCCATTATTGTTAAAAATTTTGATAAATATTTTTGCAGAATTTCAATTATTTTGAATTTTTCTCATGAATTCAATTATTTTCAATAAAATTTCTCCAAAGAATTCAATTATTCTTAAAATTTTTTTATAAATTTCTTGGCAAAATTTCAATTATTTAAAAAAATGTTCCTCAATTCAATGATTTAAAAAAAAAAATTCTACCGAATAATTCAAATGTTTTCATAAATAATAAAATTCATCGCAGAATTTCAATTATTTTTAATACAATTTCACAATCGAATTTCTCGAAAAATGCAATTAATTAAAAATGTTATTAAAATTCGTAATTAAAAATTAAAAATTATTTATTTTTGTATTTAAATAATTGATTAAAAAATGAATTTCAGGTAAAGTTTAGATAATAATTGAATATTAAAAGCATTATAGGGTGAATTTTTAGAAATAATTGAATTCTGAAAAGGTTTCAAATTAAAATGTTAATTTCTACGAAACAATAATAATGACTAAATATTTATTCAAAAAATAAGTTATTGTAGATTTCGAATAATTTTCCAATTAAAGAAATTCGTAATTAAATATAATAAAACATTTTTTTGAGTACCTATCTAATAATTTTTAGAGCACATCAGAATATTCTCTAGAGCCAGGGAAAAAGTCAAAATTTTTTCTAGAAATCAGAAAAGTCAGAAAAAAACAAAATAAAATTTTTTGTCAACCCTGATTAAATATATTAATTAAATAATAAATTTGTAGTTAAGAAAGAAATAAAATTTAAAATAAATACCTAAATATTAAAAAATATATTAATTGAATACTAAAATTGTGTTTTTCTTTTCTCCAAAGGTATGTTCTGGATGACCAATACACCAGCAGCGGTGGTACCAAATTCCCAATAAAATGGGCGCCTCCCGAGGTTTTGAATTACACTAGATTTAGTTCCAAGTCCGACGTTTGGGCTTACGGTGTTCTAATGTGGGAAATTTTCACATGCGGCAAAATGCCTTACGGAAGACTGAAGAACACCGAAGTCGTTGAGCGAGTTCAACGTGGCATCATTCTCGAAAAACCGAAAGCTTGCTTCAAAGAAGTTTACGAGGTTTGTGTCAATCTTTCAGAGAATTTAGTTTTTCATTATAATTCCCATTTTTCGAAATTCATTTCCAAGTTTTCAATTCTTTTCGAAATTAATTTCGAAAAGAATAGAAAACTTAGAAATGATTTTCGAAAAATGGGAATTTTTTCCAACAATGTTATTAACAATTTTTTTTCTTTTGCAGGTAATGCGAATTTGCTGGGCCCACAATCCCGAAGTGCGACCATCGTTCCGCGTGCTGAAGGATCAACTGATTAACGTGTCGCAAGGTCTGCTCAATGATTGACTTAGTCTTTTGCACTGTTTGCGCCTCTCGTCATCGCCGTCGGGCCGTTCAATTGGCATTCAACGATCGCCACTTCAGATCGACGAATTATTATTGCCGACGAGCGCACTTGCATCGAGGTCCAGCAGCACATTCAGTTCGGCGACATTGCCCGCATCGCTTCGCGTTCGCAATAATAAAAAATATCTTCCGTCCGTGGAAGAATTACGTAATCTCACATTGACATTGAAAAATTCACAAAAAGAAGAAGAATCAGCAGCAGCAGCAGCGACAGCATTCACGATGATGACGACGACGTCATCCTCAGATCGTGTCAGTCTCTCGTCATCGAGCACTGTTGGATGTCAAAGTAGCAGTCAAGCAACGTCCTCGAATTCGCCCAAAGTCTGCGATATTTGCAGCTCCTATGGACGCACTTGGATTGAAATTTGCAAAATAATACGCGCCGCTAAAGGCAACTAATTCTTTTTCTCGCGTCACCTTTTTAACGAGTTATCGTCGTTTTCATTTCGATTCGTTAAAAAAATATTCTACCTGCCGAAACGCGAATAATTTTTTTTAGACTTTTTTTTGTAATTTAACTGTGACGAGTTACTGAACAAAAACAGTAATGTAGTTTTAGTAGATCTTTTTTTAATGTTAGGGTATTATTAAACCACTTTCTACCACGCAAATTCTTCGCAGTTTTTTATTCAAACCTCAAACGTAATTTTTCCTTTCCTTCAATTAATTTATTAAAAAATAACTTTTCTTTAATTAACTCGAATACTGTTTAATTTTCCCGCTAAATTAAATTAAATTAAAAAATTTCCCAATTGATAGATTGTAATTCATTAAAAAAAATTTTATTTTATTGAATAAAATTAAAAACACTCCCAATTGATAGATTGTAATTCTCTAACGAATTTTGTACATAAAATTATCTTCTTTACCAAGAATTAATGAATATAAACTCTTAACAAGAAACTCGGAAGTGAAGTATTTTATTATTTCAATTTTTTTCTCGCATAATTGACATGTTCAATTGCGCCTTCTGTAATTTTTATATTTTATGTCAGGAATCTTTTTTATTTTTTCTCTGAAAGTTATCATTATATTATTGAGTATGTCACAAATGATAGTCAAACCGAGTGTAACGGACTTAAGGAACAAATCGTCGAACCAGAAATCCGCCTATTTTTTTTAATACCACATCACTCGATAAATGACAAAAGAATATTTCTTTAGCTCTTAAAAAATAATTTTACAATTTTTTCTCACTAGTTTCTACTTTTGTAATTTTATCTAAAACTGCAAATATTTTTTCTAATGTAAAAAATTTATTTCGTTTATAAAAAAAGTTTTATTTTCTCAATTCCTAAAATCTTTCTTTTCGTAAAATAAAAATTTTATCTAAAATAGAAAATATTTTTCTAATGTAAAAAATTTATTGTTTTTATAAAAAATTTTATTTTCTTTTCCTCTTTTTAGAATAAAAAGTTAAAAATTCAAATCTTCCCATAATCTGAGCGCTCGTAAAATTTGCAAATTTAAAATCTTCAAGTGGCTTTAAAAATTTTTAGCGCTCATAAACTTTAAAAGGGTTTTTAAAAGTTTACAATGCTTTTATATGTATGATTGAGATGTTTAATTTACAAGCTTTGGAAAAAGCTTTTTATCACAAAGCACTCAAAAAAGTTTGTAAAATTTTGAGAAAAAGAAATGAGTCATTAAAATTAAAAATTTTTTTTTAAAAATAAAACTACAAAAGTGTAGAAAAGCATAAAAGAAAATAGAAAAATTAGCAAAAGCTAATTTTTCTATTTTCTTTGATGCTTTTCTATTTCCTTTTTTTATTATCCTTCTTTTATATACAAAATGTTTAATTCAAAAATTTAGTTTCAAACCGACTTTTTAAAATTTATTTTTAATTAGTGGAGAATTTAAAAAACTACAGATATTAAAAAAAAACTTTTGCTAGGTGTGGGGTTCGAACCCACGCTCCCATTCGGGAACCAGAGCTTAAATCTGGCGCCTTAGACCGCTCGGCCAACCTAGCTCTAAAAATAGAAAAAAACTACTTAATCTCGCTAAACAATAAGAAAAAGTTATAAATAAAATAATTTTACGAAATGGAAAACGTTTTTAATTTATAAATTCAATTTAACTTTCGTTTAAAATTTATTTAAAATCATTTTGAATCGTTTTGAATCATTTTAATTCTTTTTAAATCATTTAAAATCATTTAATTTCTTTTTAATCCTTTTTAAATCATTTAAAATAGTTTTAATTATTTTTAAATCTTTTTAAATCATTTTAATTCTTTTAGAATCTTTTTAAATCATTTAAAATCATTTTAATTCTTTTTAATCCTTTTTAAATCATTTAAAATAGTTTTAATTATTTTTAAATCTTTTTAAATCATTTTAATTCTTTTAGAATCTTTTTAAATCATTTAAAATCATTTTAATTCTTTTTTGATGTTTTTAAATCATTTAAAATCATTTAAATTTTTTTAAGTCTTTTTAATTAATTTTAATTCTTTTTAATTCTATTTAAATCATTTAAAAGTATTTTTAAACCATTTTTAACACATTTTCCCTTAAATTTGAAAGAAAAAAATTGCAAAAGTAATTAAAAAATCCCTAAAGTTCAAAGAGAAAGGAAAAATTAAACTTTTTTGCAATTTAAAGACATAATAAAGGTACGTATGTGAATTTGACAAGTTTTTCTTTATCGCTTGAAAAAAATGACACGAATGAAACTCTCGGGAAAAAAACACACTTGAGAAAAATGTGTAGAGGGTGCGAATACTTTTAAAGAGAATAAAAAAAACATGCTTTTTTTCCCAGTGAAGAATATTTGTGCGCGGAAACGACGATAAAAGACTCCCTTTTGGTGAATGAGCTCACTTTTTTTTCTTTTTTTTATTGCTACTCTTGTAAAAGGCATGTTCAATTCAATGGCGCACATTTCACCATGAAAAGCTTGTATACATCTCGATTTCAAATGTAAGTGGTTACTTCTTTTTTTTTGCAAAAAAAAAACTTTTTATATTTTTTAATATATATGTACCAACAAGAATTCATACAATATATTTTTTTTCTTTATTATCATCTCGCAACAATAAATAAGAAAAGCGTCAGGAATGCCTTGAAATTTTACACTTTTCATATGAAAAAAATTTACGCACGTATTTTCATATTTCTATTTTCTCAAAAACTCTCGACACGAAAATTTGGAAATCAATTTTTTGAAAAAATTTATAAATATCTTTTTCAATTTGAATTAAAAAAAATTTTAATAAATCAAAAAAATATTAATTTAAAATAACAAAATAATATATAAAAATATATTAATAATAATAATATAATAAATAAAAAAATTTATACCCAATAAAATTATTTGCAATTGAGAAATTTTATTTGTTCAAATTTCGAAAAAAAAAATTTGTTTGTCAAAAAAAATAGAAAAATTTGTTTGTTTGTTTAACAAGATTCGATTTTAATCGAAATGTGTAAAAATGTTTTCTGAAAGTGTTACATGTGCGTAATACGTGTTTCATTTAGAGAAACAACATGTATCCTCAGACCCGGTTTTGTATCTTCCGTTATGCGTACAGTCGTTATTTGTCCGACATTGCGTCGTAAAACAAGTACGATGATGAAAAAAGATAAAAAAAAAAAAAATTTCTATTAAAATCGTTCTCACCAATTTTTTTATATTTTCCTCTTTTATTTGCAACAAAATAAAAACTCGTAAAATTTTATGCAATTTTCAATATTTTATATAGGAATGAAAATTTCACATCAAATTTGAATTCTTTGAAAAAAGTCTAAAAATTTTCTTATAGAAAAATAATAATAATGCCGAAATTTATTTATTAGGTATTATTATTGAAAAAAACAAATAAGTTCTTAAAAGAAAATAAAAGTAATAAATAAAATAATGGAATAAATAATAAAAATTATAATTAATAGGGAAAAATTTCTCTAAAATAAATTTTTCTAAATAAATAAATAAATTTTCTAAAACAAATTGTCATCTGTACCAAAAATGATCTTTTTACGGAAAATAATTAAATTCATGTAAAGATACATTTATTCATGTAAAGAACAAGTTTTTGAATTTAATTTCATATTTCATTTGATTTGAAAGTTTAATAGCAAATTCTCGTATTGGGAATTAAATTTCAAATTTGCCTGACAGGAAAATGTAATTGAAAATTTGATTGAAAATGTAATTATTAAACTTTAATGAACCATTATTACTCAATTGCAAATAATTGGAAACTTACATTATATCAAAATATACTTTATAGAAAAAAAGAACATATTAGAAAATAGAATTTAAAAAATTTGTTTATACTTAAAAAAACTTTGAAATTAAATTTACTTTGCAAAAATAAAAAAAAACATTTTCATATTAGTAAATCCACACGGGAAAAAATTAATTTCATTTAAATAACCGATTATACTTGTTTATAATTAAATAAATATCTACTTGCATCAAATAATATTTACTTGCATCAAATAATTTTTATTTGGATCAAATAAATGTTATTTAAATCGAATAAATTTTATTTTAAATCAAATAATTTTTATTTAGATCAAAAAATTTTTATTTAAATAGTATAAATTTTATTTAAATCAAATCATTTTTATTTAAATCGAATAAATTTTATTTAATTCAAATAAATTTTTCTTAAATAAAATATTATTTATTCAAATCAATTAAATTGTAATTGAATCAATAATTTCAGTATTTAAAAAAAATACCATTTAATTGACTCCAAATTTAATTTAATTGGCCTTTTTAATTACTTGATACAATTAAATATTTGCTATTAGCAAGTAATTGTTAAAAATTGCAAACAAAAAATATGAACATATATCAAAAGTTTTGATTGGAATAAAATGGTGTGGGGAAAAATTAAAGAGGGGAAGATCAGAAAGCGCTACCGGTTCTGTATTCATGGAATCGAATATGATGTACATAGTTTCATGAACTCAATCAACATGAGAGTGTTCGTAATCAAAAGTGTTCGTTGAAGACAAAATTATTTAATTAATTTTCAAAATGCAAAAAAAAATTGCAAATAACTTTTTCAATAATTGGCAAATATTTGATCAATTTTTTGCCTAAAAGTATTCTTTTTTTGTGTATTTATGTGTGTCTCTAAAAAGTGATTCATTGAAATTTTCGTAAGTTTACAAAATTAAATTTTTACAGTATCAATCAATAAAAAAAATAAAATTTCAATTTCATTCCAATAAAATTTCAGTCAAGCATATCAATCTAATCAACAAAATGTAGATAAAAAACTTATTTTTAATATTTTTAAAAAATTTAATTAAAAGAAATTAAATTATTTAAATAATAATTTATTTAATTTTCAATTCAATTTTAATCATTATTTTGAATTAAGAAAAGTTAATTTTTTCTAAATTTTTTATTTATTTTGTTATTATTGTCGTTATTATTATTATTATTTATTCTTTAAATTTATTTTTCTATTAATAAATTTAATGCCTTTTTTAATCATTTTTATTTTTAATAAAGTAGTCGGAAATTTTCGATTTTAACTTTAACAGAATTTCAATTTGCACTCAAAAAAATTTTAATTTTAACATTTTTTCTAATTTTCCAATTTTTAATACAAACTACAATAATTTGGAAAATTAATTTAAACTAATTTAAACTAATTAAATTAATTATTATTTATTATTACTATAATTAATTTAATTAATTAAACTAATTTATTTGTAAAATTGAACTAAAATATTCTCTTTCTATTTAATTCATTGAATTATTAAATTTTACCGATTTTTTACTGTTATAAAAAAATTTAATTTCATCGTAAAAGTAATTAACAAAAATTAATCATAATTAAAAATGTTAAAATAAATTAAAATTGTTAGAATTAATTATAATTGTTACTAAATCAAGATTTTTAGAGAATTATAATTCTTTTCGACATTTATCGCTAATAATTAAAAAAATATATATGTACAAAATTTACTTTACTAACTCTTGTTAATGAATTGATGATATTAGGTATTGAATAAAAAATCATTTCCAAATTTTAATTAAAATATTAAATAACAAACGATAAACTCGTGGAAAATATTGATGATCATTATTATTATTATTATTAATTTAATTGACGGGAATGTTCATTTTAACACGCGTGTATAGGAAATTAAGAGAGGCGATAAATAATTTCGAATTAGGAGAAATTTAATAGATTCGCTTTAATTAATACACGAACCATGCGAATTCATTTAGTCTAATTAAAAACAGAAATCAGTGTATAAATTTTCCCCTCTACTCACAAACAATTTGTATTTTATTCTAGTTTCCTGATTTCAAAAAGTATCAAAACTTGCAAAGCCTGTTCCATTTAGATATTTAGCGAATTTTTTGTTTTTAAATTCAAAACTGTTATTTTTTCTGCTGCATAAAAAGTAACAGTTTTGAATTTAAAAAAAAAATTCGCCAAACTATTTAAAAGCGTCCAATTCAGTTTTTTTTGTGTTAAATTCAGCAAAGCGTAGCAGGACTAATTTTAGAGTTTAAACGAGAAAGAGGAGAATTTTTTTTTGTAATTAAGAAAAGTTTTTTTCACCCTGATTTTAGTCGAGCTTTAATTAATGAAGTACGTAGAGACTGTAGATTGGGACGAGTAAGATGAGATTAAAAAGAATTGGTTCATCACTTTGGATGATAATAATGCCACTGTTACCATTGCACGCAATCAACGCAATCGACAAGGAATCGAGTGACGTTTATTTAAAAACAGTAATGAACGAACTGCAAACATTTAATAATCCCCTTTTTCACAATCAATACGAAATCTCATCATCATCATCACCACCCGATCATTCTCATTCTAAAATTTCATTACGTAATGGACAAAAAGTTGGAGGTGGGTCTATTCACAATCGTTATTGGAAAACATCTCCCGATTATTATCAGTTTGATTACAATCAATATCCTGGTAATCAAATATCCATTAAGAAAATTGACAACGATTTTCCCATCGTCACGAATAATCAGGTAATAATAATTCAATTTTTTATGCTAAAAAAGAAAATGGTTTTCTTCGTTTTCTTTTATGTCATTTGCGAGAAAAATAGAATTTTAAATTGAACTGTCTTTTAATACAAATAGAATTTTTTTATTCGTATATTTTTGACACATAGGGAATTGTGTCGAGACCTCAGGCGATTAATAAATCATGGAAAGAAGAAGCACTTGGCTTGACAAAAATTCAGTTAGCGGCGATGTATGAGAAAGCTTTGCAAAAAGGTTCACCTGTTGGTTTTGCACCTTTGACGACGTCACTTTTAGCGGAACAAGCACCAAAAGTCACGTCCAGCAATCAACTGGAAATACCGTATTCACCTCAATATAGTTACTACTTTTTTCCCCTCAAATCATTTGGGAATGAACTCAGAAATAATTATGGATACAAAACAATTGTAAGTTTTACTTTATGTCACTTTACTTTTTGCACGAATTGAAACATAACCTCAAAAATCCGCAGTGGAGAACTTGATATTCTTATCCACCATCCACCATTTTTACGTATATAATATATTTTTTTAAATAAATAGTTTTAAATTACAAAAAACTTACGATTGAGTCCTCCTGTCGTTGCAATCTGAAATTTAGTCATCATCCATGAAATATTCCTGAACAAAACGGGGAAGACGACGATTCTCATTTTTACACTCGCGATTTTAAAAACGAACACTTCCCGATACTTTTCTGATTACTTTTCCAAAATTGAAGAAAATTTATTCGCCCACGTGACCCACGTGCTTTTTAGAACTGTTCAGAACTGTTTAAAACTGAGAAAATGAGAAAAGTTGAGAAAGGGACTTTTCGACAATGATCAGGCGCAGTGCGGGCACGCGATCCAAAATGGCGGCGATATACGTATTTCAGAGTTTTCTTTTCGCAATTCGAACATATTATCGCATCACAAGATAAAACAATACCGAATATTGTAAATTTTTATATACTTTTCTTTGGTTAAAACTATTAATGAAAATTTATTTAAGTACACGACGTCAGGAAGGAAAATTGTAAAACTGTACGCGCACCGATCTGCCATCTAGCGGGAATTTTCGATACTGAAAATTAGTTCTATTTTGCTTATTACAAGAAGAATAGTTAGTAATTATTATCAGTAATAAATTGTTTGTCATTAATTCAAATATGTACTTGCATGATTTGTAAAAATATAATTACGAACATTTTAATTTATTTGACGTCTAGGTAGGTAAGTGCAGATATTCATTTTACCGACATACGTCGATAAAATAGAAATCACGCCAAATTACCGAATGACTTCACACTGGACTTTAAATATTTAAAAACTCTTTCCGAAGGCATTTAAACTTTAAAAGCACAATTCCCGCAGTTCCGCATGGTTCCGCACAAACATCGGTAACCGGAAAAATATTCAACTTTTTAGGTTAGGAAACATTTTTCCCTCTCCGCTTCTCCACTATATTCAGTATTCGATAAAATGGATAAAAATCCATTATAAAATTTTATTTTAAAAATGTTTTAAAAAGAAATTTCCCACTTTTTTCAGCCAGACAACGTAATGCAGGAGACAAAAATAATGGAAACGAACAAAGAGATGACAAATCCACTGTTCGTGGCTGTCAGCAGTTTTATCGGTATGGCTTTACTATTCATGATGGGTGTTTTGATATTTCCACAAGTGAGAAACTTTATCCCGAGAAATCAACAGAACGACGATTTACTTCAATTGACAAAAATTGTTTTCGAAGCTATTGATAATCGTCGAAATCCCTTCATGGGACGTAGTCGAAAAAATTTTACCCGTAAACGTAATATTGTACAACAATGAAAATTTTTTAAACAATTTTCCTTTTTAGGTTTTTTTAAATTAGTTTTTAAATTTTTATTTAATTTTTATTTAGTTTAAATTTAAATCTAAATAATTTAAAAAAATGAACTCTCGAAAAAAACGCTTTACTTTTAGGTATTTAGTGATAAAATAAAGTCATTTTCTGCAGACGTAGATCTATTGAAACAAATTACAAATCACAGATAATTACATTGAATCATTTTTTTTTCATTCAGCGTCTTTCGATTTACAGCAGAATAATACGATAGTGGTATTAAGCAATTTGAACAGAAAAAAGAAAATAATTTACAAAAATAAAACTTGTTTTAAAACTTCTCTTTGTTCAGTCTCCGTTGTATTTTACGTGAAAACGCAAAAAAAACATTGTTCTCTTTTTTCTCTTCTCTCTCACACTCTGTCCCTATACATATATATTTGAAAATATCGCCCAAAGTTAACGAACCAGTAAAAGCTTCAATCTAAAAAATTTGTGCATTTTTATTAATTCTCTCTTTTTTCCCCCGCAATATTTTTGATTTGAGAGAAAAAAAGAGAAGTTCCTTTGGTTTGTCACTGATTCGTTGACTTTTTTTCTTCAATGCGTTGTTGTTGTCTTTCGACTAAATATCGAAAGATTTATTTTTATTTTTATTGGTTGAAATTGAATCAATTTAAAAATTCGAAAAATCCGTTTTTTTCCTTTTTGTTACAAAAACTTTCGATATTTAGTCAAGGAGAATAAAAATTGCTTTTAAAAATATGCAAATGAGCGCGTTTTTGTCGCAGATTTATGTACAATATTATTATTCGTAGGAAACGCCTTTTTTTAAATTAAAAAGAATACAATTAGATTAACGGATAATATCAAAGTAAAATGAGAAATACAGTAAAATTTCTTCTGTTAATTTTTTTTTTGTGTCGAGCAGTTTTTCACATTTCACATCGAGTGCAGTTTTTTACTACTAATTTTTTTTTCTCTTCTTAATACGAATCTTCCATTCACGCAAGTATCAAAAATTTCAAAATTACTCTCTCTTTCATTCTCTCTTAAAAAAAAATTTTGCGAATTGAATTACAAAAATTTTCAGATTATTAAATTTAGTGATTAATTAAATTTACTGCACTTTCAGTAATTACAAACACTCAAGTGATAAAAAATTCTTGGTTCGCATTATATTTACGTTTTTTTCATTTTTTTTCCTTTTTTTTTATCGATTATTATAAAAAATCTTATATCCTAAGTAAATATTTTCAGCCATTTATCATACAAGTATACACACGCGAAGCGTACGCAAAAACCTGTGTTTGAGAAAAATAATTATTTCATATCCAAAAACTTATGAAAAATTCAGCAAAAGAAAAAATAGCGATTTTTTTCTTTTTAGGATAAGAAATTATTTTTCTCAGGATCGAATCTTTTTCTTTGATGGCACATTGAACAATTTTCGATTATTTATTATCATTTGATGATAGAACTATTTAACATCTATAAAAAAAACTTTCTTTTCTTGACTTTTGTGTACGAAATTTTTTCATGATATGAAAATACATTTAAAAAAATTCATTAGTTTTTTTTTTATAGTATCGTTAAAATAATTTCTAACATCAAAAAATACATTTCTCGTAAAAAATTTTTCCGCGTCGAACAATTGAGTCGTCTTATTTATCTAAGAAAAATATTTGTTTTCGCAAATATTTGAGTATTCTTAAGCATATTAGAATGTTTACAAATTTTTTGTTCTTTTGTCTCTCTCTCATTTAATTAAAAATCGAATTTTTTATATCAAAAAAGTAAAATATAACTAAAAATTCTTTCGATGAGAAAAAAAATAAAAGAGGCTCTCTCAAGTAGTTATATAATTACTTGCACGTAGTTTTATTCTCATTACAAGGGTCTCGGCTCCGGGTCACTAGAGTCTATAACCGCAAGTGAAAAAAAAATTCTCCAATTGCGCTACTTTTCCTCTAGTGGCTTGACTTCTAGCCCGAGGGACAATAATCGCAAAACAAGTTTTTTCTTACACACCAAGAATTTCATGTTGAAACTTCCTTTTTAAACAAATCTGATTTATTTTTATTTAAACTATTTTTAAACAAACTTTTTTTTTATCGAATTCTAAAATTTCCATCTTTAAAATTAAAATCTCGATTAAAATAAAATGTTAAAATAATAATTACATAAAATAAGCTAATTAAAAAGTTCAAATAAAAATTAAAATTAATTCTTATAAATAATTTTTTTAATCGACTTAGAATAAAGAATATCTTTGTCTCGAAAATTTTTATTGTCGAACAACTTGTTCTCACTTATGCCCATTGAATAAAAGTTGCACTTTTCTTCTTGGTAAATCAAATTAATCACTTTCAAGTCATTTAATAAATTTTTTAAAAATTATTACATAAAAAAACAAAATTTTTTCTGTAAAAATTTAAAAAAATTTCTTTTACTAAGTTTAAAAAATTTCTGGAAGTCCAGATATTAAAAATTTTTTTTTTTAACTTCAAATGATAAAAAGCTTCTTAATATAAAAAGCATTTTAAAAGCAAATTTTTAATTTTAAAGACAATAAAAATCCGTCTATATTAAATTTTCTACGTTAATAATTATTCAACTTATTCTTGAAAGAAAACAAGTTTTACTAAATTTCACATTTTATGAAATTGGAAAAATTTTCTCTCCTTTAATAAAAAACAATTAAATCTTTTCAAAATTCAGTCACAGAGAATTTTCAATTCTGAATTTATAAGAAATTTTTTCAATTCCTTTGTGAAAGAAAAATTTCTTTTCTTTCAAGAAATTTTTTCTATTCCAGTTTTTCTCAATTTCTGTTTGAAGAAAAGAAACGTTTCTTTCAAAATGGAATTCAAAAGAAATGTCTTTTTGAAATTCTTGAAAAAATTGTCAAATTAAAATTCTCTTTCCAAATTCTCAAAATCCAAAGTGTTGAAAATTTGCAAAATCGACTCATTTTCAATAATAAAATTCTAGGCCGTCTCTGGTATTACATTGAAATTGAGTTTTTTGTTTCGCTTCAATAAACAAAAAAAAATATATCACCAATATGAATATAAATTGTAGAATATTAATATATATAATATATACGTTGGTATTTGTATAATATGTATAGCATTGACTCTTCAAATAAATTGAAAGCCACGAGACATCTTTGACTAGTTTTACAAAGTAATTAGTTGCTTTCGAAAATAGTGATCATTTACATTATCACACGCCGGGTTTTCTTGTTTTCTTTTTACTCATTTACAAACTAATTCTTCCCCTTAGACAGGGGAAAAAAATAGGCGCCGTCTTCACAGTAACTACATAATATTTGTCGATACATTAATTCTTATTGGTCGTCATTTAATTAACTATTGTAAAAAATATTCACTTTTCATCCTCCACTCTTTTTTTGTTCTTGATACAAAATATTATCAAAAAAACACATTTCTTTCAAAATTTCGGTAAATTTTTCTAATTTCTAAAATTTTCTTTTGGAAATTTTTAATTTTCCAAATTTCATATTTCGTAGATAATATTTTCTCCTTTTTACAAGTATGAAAACGTTTTTTTCTTTTGGATAAACAATCTATTTTAGTTTAATTTTTAATAAAATAAAAAATAAGAAAAATTCGAATAAAAAATTTTAAAAATATAAATTTTAATTTAAATATAAATTAAATATATTTTCAGACAATTAAATATTTAAAAACGGGACAAAAACATTGAAATAAAATACGAATTGGCAAAATCTTTACAGAAAGAAACGATTTCAAATAGAAAAACAAGAAACAGATTTTTCGAATTATGGACAAAATTTCGCAATCAAATTTGCTTTTTTTGTTTTAATTGTCTTAATATGAAATTGTGCGAATAGACTTATCAGTCTTTCAGTAATAAACATAGAAAATAGTTTATTTATCATTGTGATACGATGCTTATAAAAAGAAATATTTTCACCTTTCTCCTGATTAAAGTCCAATTATAAAATCACTGGTAGAAAAACAGAGAGAGATTCTCAAAGAAGTGACGATAAAAAACCGCTTCATTACTAATTGGCAATTAGTAATTTATACAAAAGTACACAATATATATATCTAAATGGTATATATATAAAAATATCGCGTTCAAAAAATAAACTTGTAAAACTAATCAGTTTTTTCTTCTCTCCACTTGTGAATGATGATAATCGTAGTTTTTCTTTTTTTCACTTCCTGGGCTTCTTTTTTTCACTAGTTACTGCAAAAACGGTGGCCTCAACATTTTCAGTTTGTGAGAAAGCCCTTTTTCTTCATTTCTTGTGGGTAACTTGAGATTCGATCCAGTGAATACTCTTAATATTTCACGACAAAAAACAATCCTCGACGATTTCCAAGATAATAAAGATGGTTCCTTTTAATTTTCTCTTGATAGGTTTCTACGTACAAAACTTGCGTTGCTCACCAAATTTAAAGAAAAAAAATACAAAATAAAAAAAGGGTCGAAAAAAATATTTCCGAAAATTTACATCTTTCACCAAATTCTATTTTCAATAATCATTTTGCAATAAAACGATTTTTTTAAAAAGCTGTTTTGAAAGCGAGAGGGAAAAAAATTACAGAACTGAAAAAGAAAATTTGTTTCTTTTTTTTTAAGAAATTAATTTTTCTTTTTAATTTTTCAATAAATAATAAAAATTTTGCAAACGAAACAGATAATTGACATACTTTTAAGTTTAAATAAAAATTTGAATCGAAAGATACAAAGTTTGGAAATATCAAATTAAAAAAAGTCACTAATTTCAAAAAGGAAAAGTTCTTTTTTCTTCTTGTTTCACTACAATGAAATGTAAAATGAAATTAAGAAATTAGCGAGGAGAGAAAACGCGCACAGTTTATCCAGATAAATATATCGAACAAAATCGATTTCTATAATACAAGGAGTAATAACAATGGCTCTATTCAATGTTAATTAATATTCAAATTAACCAGATTTATTATCTCTTTAAATCGTGGATTTGATCGTTCGTGTCATAAAGATTTCAAAAAAAAAAAAATTATAAAAAGGTGAATTCCCTTCACGTCTCGAATTAGTAGCGAAAAAAATCGAGACGAAGAAAAGCGTCTTCACGCCAATCGAAAAATAAAAGAATTACCTTTTTTTGTGTTTTTAGAGCAAAAACCGTAAAGCAAAGGAAAATAAATTGCAGAGTCCATCGGGCCTAACCTTTCACCTCCCTTCATTAAGAGGCTGGTTCATCGTCGGCAAGATTGTGCAGATCCGAGTAATTCACAATTGCTCGATGCAGAAATTCGTACTGTGCCTGCAATTTTTTAAATGAAGATTAGATTTTATTTTGTAAATTTAATTTTTGTTTAATTTTTATAAATTCAGGGTTCGAACTAGGTCCGTGAATTTGTTTCAAGTTCGTAAAAGTCAGTTTTTTTTTAAAAAAAGGTCCATAAAGTCCGTAATTTGATTGAGAAAAGGCGAAAAGTTCGTAAATTATAAGATATAATTTAGAGTCATCTTTAATTATTATAAAAAATTTAATTTATAGTTGTTAATAAAATGTTCTCTTATTTGACTCTGACTGGTTATATTTTTGTCAATAATTGGTCCGTAATTTTTCATGTTTGGTTCGTAAATGTAGTCCATGTAAGACAGTATTTTTAAATACTTTCACTGCGGTTCGAGCCCTGTAAATTGTAAAAAAAATGCAACTTACGAAAGAACTGATCATCCCGTGCCTCTGCGATCGTAATTTCTTTGTCGTCGTGAATATATCTATTCGCTTCTCGGTTCTGAGTTGTTGAACTAATATGCTAAGGGCTACAAACATGGAACTCCTGTCGGAGCCACAGCTGCAGTGAACGACTAGTGGTCCGGTACTTTCCGTGCCATTCGATTGCGTCTGATTGACGAGTTCAATGAGGCCTCTAGTGACTTCCGGCACTTCACCCTCGACAGTAGGCCAACCATGATATTGATATTGTGTAACGACAATATTTTCATCCATTTTTGTATTTGAAACGCACAATTCACGTCTCGTGTAATATGGACAACTCTCACTTTGTATGTAACGCACTCTTATGTGATCGTGCATTGTCTCATCGTCCGGCCAGTATCGCGGACATTTTCTGTATCCCTCGTTCAACTATTCGAAAAAGGAGAAAAATTAAATATACGAATTTCATTCAAACTAAATGAAAGAAACAACATATAAAACAATTTTTTTCAAATATGTATAAATAAATGATTTTTCTAAATTAAATAATAAATATTGAAAATATTAGAATTAGAATTATAATTCATATTCTATTCACATTGAAAAAAATTGCGATAGTAATAGTATTAAAAAAATGAAATAGAAGAGAAGAGAAAAATGTGTCTTACATCTGAAAGCATGACGATTGTCGATATACAATGTTCGGAAATCATTCGCCAAAAATCGGCGATCGTTGACTCCATTGGATCTTGTGTGATGATAAATGACTCGGAATTATCGTAACTCTCGATAAATGATGCATTAATATAGGTAGAATGCTCTCGTCCAGGAACTGGGGTTAATATCACTCGATTTCTATCGTACGGTATCACTGAATCATCACGATTTTTCCCCTTATTCTCATCTGCGCCGCCAACCGAAAACGACTTTCGATCCTCCAAGACTGCCACAATTTTCTAAAATTAAACAAATTGGAATCAAATTTACATTCTTTTTTATTCTTTTTTCAATACTACCTTCAATTTTATTTTTATTTTATTTCTAATTGAAAAATTCATTCTTATTTTATTCAAGAATCCTTTATTTTATTACAGCGTTGCCACGCTTTTCCTCTTTTCAAATTTCCTGACTTTTCCAGGTTTTCCAGGTTAAAAAACGGAATTTTTTTTGTTTACAATTTAATTTTACGAAATTTCGATAATTCTGACATTCTTCAATTAAATATAAATTAGAAATTAAAAACTTCAAATTATGAAAATTGTATTATAAAAATAATTGAAATTCTGACAAGAATTTTATTAAAATTTTTGAAAATAATTGAATTTCGGAGAAGAATTATATTATTTATAAAGATAATTCAAATTTTAACTATAATTCTCTTTTAATTTTTGAATTTAATTAAACTGTTTTGAAAAAAATTGAATTATTAAAATTTTTCAAAAAAACTAATTTTTTTAGAATTCTAATTAAATTTATTCCAAATTGAAATATTTTTATATTTATTTATTTACGAAAATTTAAATCGCAACTCTTTTAAAATTGAATTAATTTTTGAAATATTTCAGTAAAATTCGATTTCAAGAATAAACACAATAACTTTAGAAAATAACAATTTTCCAGGATTTCGATTAAAATTCCCTGACTTTATCAGGTTTTTTTTTCAAGGTTTATAAAATTCCCTAATATTTCCAGGTTGCGTGGCAACCCTGTATTAATATTCTATTTTTGATTCAAGATTACTTTCGTAAATTAAATATTTTTTGAATTAAATACAATATAACTCACTTCGTATTCCTCTTCCATTCGACACATTTCCTTTCCGTTCTCCCTCTGCCTCAGTCTCTCGCCCGCGGCCTTCATTTGCGAAGCCTGAATTTCCGTATCGCCATACTGCGCCATTTCCATGAGAGCTCTATAGATAAAAATATACTGCTTCAACGATTGCACGAGGAAATTTCGTTGATGCCTCAAATCGCAAACAGTATTAAAAATCGAGACTTGTCCCTCGTCGGACAATTGCTGAAGAAGTGAATCCAATGCAACCAACGTTCCCGTTCGTCCAACACCAGCGCTGCAATGCACCAAAATTGGCCCCTTCTCCAATGAATAAGCCTCATTCACTCTCTTGATAAATTTCAAAATAGCGTGCGGATGTTCAGGTGCCATAAAATCTTTCCAAACAAGAAAATGATATTGAACAATTGTCCTCGATTCACGTTCACCACTTCTCGACATTTTCAATTCCCTCACAACATAATCCGAATACGCCCTCTCTCTCACATGATCCACCGTAATATCACCAAAATTCTTCGTCTCACTCGTATCGGGCCAATATTTTGCACACTTCGTCTTCGAATACTCCTCAAGATTTGTCAACATCAATACCAATTCCAGATGTTGTTCCCAAATCATTCGCCAATAATCACAAACAGTATTCTCCATTGGGCCCTGAGCGCAAATGAATTTCTTTCGTTCCTTATAGCCAAGGACAAAGTTTGCATTTATATAATCTGATCCACAAATGCCGTCAATTTGTGTTAGACGAACGCGTGTTTGATCGTAACACTTTATGTCGGGATAACGATTTTTATAGAGATTCTCACGCATTTCCGAGGCACGCGTTGTACGATCGGTAAATTTATCTGGTAGAAGTTCAAATTCATGCTGAAATCCATAATCAGAATTTCGATGACGATCGATGAATGATTGATAGAGTTCTCCTTTTTGAACCGGTGGCATGTCCGGAGGACTCGCCGCCACCAATTGATGACGACCTCTTAAACTTCTGCAAAGATGTCTGTTAGAATGAAAGCGTCAATTAGAAAAAATTTTGAAGCGATTCATCTGCCCCGTTTTTTTCTCGTTATTCTCAATGTCCTTTTTGTCGATTTTCTTCCAGAGTTCAAAACAATTTATATTCAATATTTATAAAAAACAAAATTTGCAAAAAAAAAAAATAAAAATTTCAAATAATTATCAGTACTTTCTATTAACTTTTTTAATAATTTTTCTTTTTAAATATTTTCAATTCAGGATGATCACAAGTTTCAGTTTATCAATTTCCCTGACAATTTATTGACATTAAAATTATTTTCCCTGACAAAACTCTTTTCACAGGAAAATATGAGAGTTTACTGAAAATAAATAAAATTTATGAAATTTATTAATTTCTAAAAATTACAATTATAACCCTTCCTGAATTCAATTATTTTCTATAATTTTTATCTAAACTTCATCTCTAAATCAATTATTTTAAATAATTTTCGGAAATATATAATATTGAAAGTATTGAAAATATTGAAAATACTATAATTTAAACAAATTAAAAACTAATTTTAATGTTTACATCTTTGTTTAAAGATTTTTCATTAACATTTTTGATAATTCAATTATTTTGAAAATTTTCAATTAAAATTCTTCAAAAGTTGATTTTTGAAAATTCTAACAAAATATTTTCAAAAAAAATTAATTATTTTCAATTTTAAAAAATTTTAATTATTCAAAATCTTTTTAATTGTAGGTACATTTTGAAAATTTAAATCCCTGACAAAAATTTTTCTCCTGACATTTCCCTGACTTTACTGACATGTGGCCACCCTGTCAATTTAAAAATTAATCTAATGAAAATCATTGAATTCTTGCGAAAAATTTTATTAAAATATTTCAAAATCCTAATTAAATTCTTTTGAAGAATTTCTTTGAATTTTTTCAAAATAATCTAATTTATTTTAATACTTTTAATTGAAAATTTTCAAAAAAAATTGAATTAAACAAAGAATTTTTTAAACTTTTTAAAATAATTTTTGCGATGAATTTTACTTGGAAAGGATTTCTTGACAAGAATTTGTTTCAAATTTTTAAAAATAATTGAAATTGTGTAAAGAATTCAATTATTTATGCAAAAAATTGAATTCTTAACAAGAATTTGTTTCAAATTTTTGAAAATAATTGAAATTGTCCGAAGAATTTTATTATTAATGAAAATAATTGAAATCTTCGAAAGGATTTTATTTTTTATGATGATAATTGAATTCTTGGGAAAAATTTTATTACAATTTTTGAAAATAATTGAAATCCTCCAAAAAATTTTATTATTTAGGAAAATAATTGTAATCTTTAAAAGAAATTTACCTTTTATGCTGAAGATAATTGAGTTTTAAGGAAGAATTTTAATAAAATTTAAAAAAATAATTAAATTCTTTGGGAAAATTTTATAACGAATTAAGAAAAAAATTGAATTCTTTCGTGAATTCAATTTTATTGATAATAATTGAATTTTTGCAAAGATTTTACTATTTTAAAAAATAATTAAATTGTTTCCAAGGATTTATTAAAATTTTCTTGAAAATAATTGAACTTTTGTAAAAAATTTTATTATTTATAAAAATAACTGAATTCTTCTGATGAATGTTATTATTTATGAAAATAATTGAATTCTTTCGAAGAAGATGAAAATTTAATTTCTTCTTCCGAAGAATATTAAAATGTTCGAAAATGTAAACAATAATAATTAATTATGTACTTAATAAGTAAATTTTAAAAATTTTGATTATGAAATTATTCAAAAATTTATATTTAAATTAAAATAAAATAAAAATACTTTTCTAGTGAATTAGAAAGGAATTTGATTTAATATTTCAATGATAGATCAGAACTGTTAGAAAATCGAAAAATGGGATATTGAAAATAACAAAAGACTTGAGAATAATAAATTGTTTTAAAAAATGGTTAAATTTTCACCTGAAACTGTCTGTTAGTGTGATAATTTCCTCGCCTTGCTGTTGAGAACGTTTCGAGTATTTCACCATAATGCAGAGGGTAACGAGTAATACGACGATTAGTACAACCATGAAAATCGAAATTTGCAAAATAAAACCAAGAGTCGTTGTATCTTCCGCAGCTGCTGTCAAAATTTCAACTCCACCATAAAGAGGTGTAAAGTAACTACTATAAGCTGTCAGTACTTGTCCCTCTTTGCTGCCATAAACTGAAAAAAGAATTTTTCCAAAATTAATTTTCTTATTACAAAATTCACCATCAGTCGAAACTAATTGTAAAATAAACAGAATTCAAAAATTCTATATTTAAAATAAAAAAAATAATTCTTTACCAACAACTTCGATGAACCCAGTGTAATTTGCCTTCTCGTCCAAAAATCCATCCTGCGGTGGAAAAGGTTGCAATTCCACTGCCTCACTTCCACTCGCCTCGTCTCTCCGCCTTCTCGCTGGCGATCCTGTGAAACCAATTGGAACACTCGTCGTGATTTCCGGCTGTGAAGGACTCGACACACCGACAGAACTCAAAGTCGTCGTCGTCGACGTTGTAATTGATGAATTACCGCCACTCGACTCGGGTATAAAATGAAGTTCAGTTGGTATTGGTTTTGGTCTCAATCCAATGCACTTATCACACTCGCTACTTCCATTGAACGATTCGCCATTACCGAGAAACACTTCTGTCATTAAATGCTTGCTGTCAAACATTTCCGCAAGATATGCACCATTTGAATTCTCCGAGTGAACATAATTATACGAATAAACGGAAATATCCTCAGGCAATGGTAAATCGGCAATTGTCTTTTGTTGATTTAATTTCACCATAAATACACGATAACAACAAATTGGACCGTTCCTCTCGGAAATACGCGGCAAATAGAGTTTAAATAATTTTCGTCCTTCATAGTCAATTTTACGCCATGTTCGTAAATTTAAACTGTCCTTATCCGGCACTGACGGCGGCATTGTACAATTCGCGCTCGCCTCCTTTCCTGTACTTCGATGTCGCGTAATTCCACGCAGTGTTACCTAAACAAAAAAATCATTAAATTAATTTTAATTCTTAATCAATTGAATACAAAATGATTCAATTATAAAATAAAATTTATATTTTCCAGGTTGCAGGGCTCGAACTAGGTCCGTAAACAATAAATAAAAATAAAATCCCGTAAACTCACAAATTTTAATTTGAAAAATATTTTTTAAAAATTATTTAAATATAATGAGTAAGAAATCAAGTCACAAGAGTGATGAAACAATAAGAGTTAATAGTGAATAATATACTAGTTGATAAAATAAAGCTTACCGTGTAATTCGTATTAGGGGGTATCTGATTAAAGTGATAAGAACGTGCAGTGCCGAGGGCATTTTTATCGCTCGGTCCCCAGTTATCGACCTCCAGTCGTCCCAAGTCGTTTCGATAGACAGAAATTCCCGTCAAATTAACACCATAACGATCAATGACGCCATTCGGCTTTTCTGGCGATTCCCAGCTGAGAGTGAGAAAACTGGTGCTGCTTATGTTATCGTAACGACACGTGACGGACAAATTTCGTGGAGGACTTGCAGCTAATCGCAAAAAAGACAAACCAAATAAATATCAATGAATTCTTTATAGAGAAATGCAAAACAATCACACCTTTTATCATTTTTTTTTCTACACAAACTACGCATAAATAGAAACAAAAAAGATAAATCTTTAAATAAATATTTAATAATTATTTATGTAAAACAAAATAAGAATAAAAAAATAATTTAATAATAAATAATAAAAAATAATAATTATAATAATAGCGCTAAATAAATATTTAGAGAACTCTCAAGTGAAACAAAATTAAAAAATAATCTCTAAAAATCAGGAAAAAAGAATGAAAAATTCAAATTTTCAAAGATTTTAACTTGAAACCTTGTCAAAATTCAATTATTTCTAAAAATTCACGCTATAAAGCTTTTAATATTCAATTATCCAAAATTTTAACCAAAATTAATTTTTAAATTAATGTTTATTAGAAAATTCTACGAGAATTCAATTATTTAAATACAAAAATAAATAATTTATTGAATACTCGAATGTTTCTTAAAATTGAATTCTCATATTTTTTTCGTTCAACAAATTTTTAAATAATTGAATTTTTTTGACTAATTTTAATAAAATTTTCAAGAATAATTAAAGACTTTATTATAAGAATAATTACATTTTTCAAGGAATTCAATTAAAATTGTATTAAAAAAATTGAAATTCTTTTTATAATTTATGAAAATATTTGAATTCCTAAAAAGAATTTTATTATTTACGAAAATAATAATTAAATCCCTGTAAAAAATTGTATTATTTACGAAAATAATTGAATTATTGCAAATAAATTTATAAAAAAATTTTGAAATAATTGAATTCCTGTGAAGTTTGTATTATTTATGAAAATAATTAAACAAAGAATTTTTTCAACCTTTTAAAATAACTTTCAAAATAATTTTTGCGATGAATTCGAAAGGATTTCTTGACAAGAATTTGTTTAAAATTTTTTAAAAATAATTGAAATCCCCCGAAGAATTTCATTATTAATGAAAATAATTGAAATCTTTTAAAGAATTGTTTTTTATGATAATTGAATTCTTGACAAGAATTTGTTTCAAATGTTTGGACATAATTGAAATCCTCTGAAAAATTTTATTAATTTTAAAAATAATTGATTTCTTGACCAGAAATTTAAATTTTTTTCAATTAAATAGAAAATAAATCTAATTGTTACAAAGAAAATAAGAATTTTTTCGAGAAATTTAGTTAAAATTGTATTAAAAATAATTGAATACTTCTAAAGAATTCTTATTATAATTTTTTAAAAAGAATTGAATTCTTTCGAGGAATTTCATTTAAATTGTATAGAAAAGAATTAAATTCCCGTGATGTAATATATTATTAATGAAAATAATTTAATTCTTGCGCAGAATTTTTTTATGAATTCTAAAAATTAAATATTTTTCAGTATTTTTAATAAAAATCTCTAAATGTTCCCTGATTCCCCTAACCAATTCTACTAAAAGTAATTCATATTATAACATTTTTATTATAGACATTAAACACGAATTTAAAGAAGAAAAAAGAAAAAATTGAATGAATCACAAAAAAAATAAAGAAACACACTGGAGAAAAAAAGAGATTAAGATTAAATTTTGAAAAGTTAGTATTTGTACATTGTTTTAAAAACTACCTCCATCATAAGTGGTGCCATTTATCTCCGCGCTCCAGTTTCCGCATTGTTTCGTATATTCACTGCACGCTTGTACTTTAAAATTGTAAGTTGTCATCGGTTCGAGATTCATAAACGCATAATAAGATTCAGGTTTAGCTGGATAAGTCGTCTCTAAATTTTCTTCCTTGTGCGTTGCTTTCAAATTATAAAAATGTACATGCTCCTTTAAATGCGCCGGTGGTGTTGTCCAGGTGATTGTTATCGAATTTTCATTCGCTCCATTCATCACAACAGTTGGAATAAAAATTGGATCTGAAAAAACATTCACTTTTTTAATCAAATGAAATTGGAATAATTCCGCAAATTTTCAATAAATGTCTTATCATCAAATAAGAAATTTACATTTTCTACTAGTCAGATGACTTCTTACCTTCGTCTAAGGTTGTAATCCATCGGGGATCAATTTGAATATGCGATTTACCAACAGAATTTTCGGCGCTAATTTTAATTTGATATGGCGTTGTTTTTTCTAATCCATTGACAACATAGCTCGTGATACCGCCTCCAATTTGTTCTTTATTATATTGCCATTGATCGGTGCCTTTCTTTAAATTCTGAATATAATACCTTTTTATTGGTTCATTGCCATTGTTTACGGTCCAATTCAAAAATATACTCCCAGCGCCGACTGCCTTCATAAAGTCAATACTGACTTGTGGCACTTCAATCACAAAAAGATGCACTTCAGCTGCCAGACTTCGTTTACTGTAATCTTCCGCGTGACAAATGTAAGTTCCATTGTCCTTTCTCGTCACACTCGGAAAATTCAATGTCAATTGCACATAAGTCTCATTAACACGCGTTATATTCATATGATCCTTCAAGTGTCCTTGATTATCCGAATCGTTGCCTTTCGACCAACTCAAATTATTCACCGGATCACCGTAAATATGACACGTTAATGTCGCCTCTTCCAATACTTTTATTCGCACTTTTTCCCCAGGTTCTATTCTCCCCGGTTCTGGAAACAATTTTTAAAGTTAAAAATTTCTAATTTCTAATTAATAAAATTGAAATGTAAAATAAATTCTAGCTTTCTTTCGGCGCAATGAATTGAATTGGTTTTTATGTCCTCACCTATGACACGAATACCAATTGTTTTATCGACCAATTTGCCAGATTCCGTTTGTGCACGACAAGTGTAATTGCCCGTATCTTGTCGACGAGCCGGTTTCAGATCTAATCTCACTTTTTCCTTTGACTCTTTAACGAAGGTCAAATTTCTTCCTGGCGAAAGCCAAACAATATGACCTGGCTCGCTAAATTGACACGTTAATGAAGGCGTGCTACCGGCTTCAATACCTTCAGCATCCTGAGACACTTCAACATGCATCGACGGCTCTTTTCCTGTTTCCGCATTTTCCGCTGCTCCCAAATCTACAATTTAATTCATTTTTTATCGAAATTCATGAATTTCATAATTCATCAACATTTTCTAATTGTTTATTAATTTTTCTCTATTTAAAAAATATATTATTTTCAATTCTGTTCCATTTTTTAATTTGTAATTAAAAATAATTGTTTTATTTCAAAATTTCTGTTTTAATTGTAAAAAAATTCAAGACAAATAAACCCCAATGGAGTTTGTTTATTCTCTCTGTTGATCTTTCAAACTTAGTGTAACGAATCTTTACCGACGACTAACAAACGCGGATTATTGATTCAATAGTTTACTGATTAAATATTTACTCTTAAATGTTAAAAATTACGCCATTTATTAATTCCTTTCAAACACAAATATTATCTATAATTTACAACAAAATATTTCTAAAAATACATTTTTATTTCTATTATACTTTTAAAGGGAAGGTCACAAGTTTCAGTTTATCAATTTCCCTGATATTAAAATTATTTTTACAGAAAAATATGAATGTTTACGGAAAATTCATAAAATTTATTAATTTTATGAATTTTAATAATTTCTAAAAATTACAATTATAACCCTTCCTGAATTCAATTATTTTCTACAATTTTTCAACTAAACTTCACCTTTTAATAATTCATAAATAATTTAGCTTTTAAATAATTTTACGAAATTTCTTCTAGAATTCAATTATTTAAATACAGAAACTCAATTTTTTATGAAAATTGTAACAGTCCATGTTTTTAAAATATAATATTTTCAAAAAATTATTTTAAAAAAAATTCTTACTATTAATTTTTTGTTTAATATTCTAAAATAATTTTGGAAAAATTAATAGTAATTAATATACAATTGAAAAATTTCCAAACAATTGAAATTTGGTAAAATCTTTTTAAAATAATTGAATTTCTTAAAAGAATTTTTGTATAATTTACATAAACTAATTAAATTTTTGATGATTAATTAATTGTAATTAAAAATTTTTAAAGAGTTTTTTTCTCCAAAATGTTAAAAATAATTCTAAAATGTTATAATTTTTTGTATGTATGTATTTGAATTTTCGGAAATATGTCATAAAGAATATTTTCAACAAAATTTTATAAAATTGAATTCCTTTAAAGAATTTTAAGAATAATTACATTATTCAAGGAATTCGATTAAAATTGTATTAAAAATAATTGAAATTCTGCGATGAGTTTCATTATTTTAAAAAAATAATTGAATTAATGCGGTGAAATTTATAAAATTTCGAGAATTTTTTAAAAATTTTGAACGTAATTGAATTTTTGCGAAGAAGTTTATTACCTTTGAAATAATTGAATTTCTGTGATGGAATTTATTTAAAAAAATTTGTAAATAATTGAATTTCTGTAAAATTTTTATTATTTCTAAATAAATTCAATGTTTGCGTAAAATTGAGGAAAATTTTTGAAAATAATTGAAATTTTACCAAGAATTTTATTAAATTTTTTGAAAATAATTGAATTTTGGAGAAGAATTTTATTATCTATAAAGATAATTGAAATTTTGACGAGAATTTTTCTAAATTTTTTGAAGATAATTGAATTTCTGGGGAAAATTTCATTACTTTTAAAAATACTTGAATTTCTACAATCATTATTGTAACTTCTCCAAAATTCAATTTGAATTTTTCGGAAATATGTAATTGAAAATAGTGAAAGTATTGAATTTATAAAAATTAGAAGTTAATTTTCATAATTTTTATTTTTAAATTTACATCTAAAGATTTTTTATTAACATTGGAAAAAATCAAAATACGTTGCACTCTTTTACTAAAAATTATGGTATTTTGTTTCAATGTTTGGAAAAAAAGTCGAAAAAGTCGCATTTTTTTAAAATAAGTCGAAAAAAGTCTCAATTTTCTTAATTTCCCTGACAAAAATTTTGTTTTCTGATATTTCCCTGACTTTACTGACATGTAGCCACCCTGTTTCAAATATTTTCGAAAACAAGAAAGAAACAAGAAAAAAAACAACTGAAAAACGTCAAATAGATACAAAACAATCTATATTTACATTGTACGATAAGGAATAAAAAACTATTTTCACAAGTTTGTAAATTTTTACCGACAAATAGTAAATCTCGTGTAAATTTACAAACGTATTGCAAACACGGTAAAATTAAAAAAAGGTTACTACTTGAAAAAGTCAAAAACTTGTAAAATTGTAAACTCGACAATGTTCAAGAAGTTATTTTACATTGTCGAGAATAAAAAACGATAAACAATGACACAAACGATTAGTGAATCACTATACAAAACAGGCAATTACAAACAAAAGCAAGAATAATAATAATGTGAACAAAAAGTGAAAACATCGAGTAAAAAATAATTTTTTCAAAACAAATTGTTATGAATAGGTAAAAGTTTGAAAGTGGAAAGCACGTGTTATTTACCAGGAACCACGTGGGTGTATTATACATTTAATTATTTAGCAAAAAATTCCAATAACTTTAATACCGAAAAATCCCTTATCAGTGACCCGACGACACCAAAATCCCCTGATAATTCAAACACATAGAAGGGTCGCCGATAAGGGCGATCGGTGTAAAAACGTTTCCACTTCACTCTTATAGCGTCATTTTCAAGAACAAAACACAATGAAAAAAATCTCTTTTACGTCAAAAAAATAAAATTTCCTTTTTCGAAAAAAAAACACTCACCATTTTGAGACGAAGCACAAGCAAGAAGAAGAGAGTAAAATGTTAGCGTGATAAACTTCGCCATCGGTTTTCGATTGAAAAACATGGCGTCCTGACAGCCGGGTCGGGTGTGAACGAAATACCCGACCTTTTCTGCAATTCCTTGTGTCTCTCTTTGTTTTTGTTATTCTCGAATTTATATATGGTATATTCAATGATTGTACCAGTATCGCGACATGGTCTCTTCAAGGTCCCTCGTGGCCGTGTGATATTAATTCTAAAGCACTCACTGCATAATTATATGTATACGAATTCGATAATCATTTTCGCGAGCGCGACATTACCAAAACCCGTCGGGCACGCGGCGCGCTTTGCACTCATTGCTGTTCGCGCATCGCCCGCCGGTTGGGCTCGGGATGTTCCGAACAATTCTGATTTGTAGAAAGAGAGAGAGGAAAGCTAAAAAATTTGACCCGTTCTCACATACAATGGATGATGAGAGATAAATTTCATAAATTTCTTAATTGTCGTTGTCACTGTATCCACCACCCACGCAATGACATTTTCTCTTTTACAAGCTCACCGAATAAATTACTTTTAATTATATTAGAGAGAAGGGGGGAGGATAAACGATTATCTGCTTTATGACGGTTTTATCGACATGATCGTTTTTTTGAGGTTAGAGTTAGAAAGTTCTCACTTCCTCCGCTTGGAGCGCTGTTAAAATTGCGCGCGAACTTTCAAAAATTTCTTATTCAAGAAAAAATAATTCGAAACAAAATAATAAATATAAAGCATATCTTTAATAGAAATTACATATTTAATTTACATATCTTTAATAGAAATTACCGAAAATAATATTAAAATACGTTTTTTTTTTCAAAATAAGAAAAAAAAATTTTTTTCACAAATTACGTTCAGTGCGTGTTTCTTCTTTTTGGCTTTTCCGTTTTTTATAAAAAACAGTTTGTTTCATTTTATTAGATTTTTTGGCGACAGTAGAAATCTAATAAAAAGAGTAAATTAAATGATAAATTATTTCACTAAAATCTCGAATTTAATTAAAATTAAAAAAAAATGAAATTTAATAAATTTTGTCATAATAATTTATACTTAATTAAATACAAATGATAAAATTTCACTATCAAATTACCTTGTCCAAATTTTTTATTTGCTCTCCTTCCATAACATGTTCTTTTTTGCTTTCAGGGCTAATTAAAATTGAAATTTCATAATTATAATTCCGAATTTTTCAATTTTGTATTTTTATTTAAATAATAAGTTTACCATTTAAAAGTTTTTATTTCCTTCACTCCTTCTGGCATTCTGCAAACATTGAAATGTCGTGTGTCACCAATGCTATACAAGAAAATATCCAAAACAATAAATATAAATTTATTTATTACCTATATTTATTATTAAAAATTTCAAAAACAAAACAATAAAAAATATTTTATTCGTTAAGGGAATTTTTTTTTAGTTGTTGACTACTTACTAATATTCGTTAATATCTAAAAGTTTATTTCTTGTTAAACAATCGTCGATGAATTCGATATTATAAACAATTGGATATTTGTAGCAAAACTTCGACAGAGTGAAGGTGAGAATAAGTTCATCAGGTTTTAGTGTAACTTCTCCACCATTGCTCTAAAAATTATTGCCGCCTTATTATAAAAATATTAAATTAGTAAATTGGAAATAAAATTTGTTTCAATTTAATTTATAATTAATTAAGGTAGAATTCACAATTTTTTACGACGATTTACGTTGTTTCTATTAATTTATTAACTAGTTGTTAATTAATTATTTAATTTATTTAAATTAATTATTTATTTATAATCTAGTATTTATTTCTAGTTTAGAAATTAACAATAGCCAAAAAAAGCGACTGAGATTATTTTGTTGATCAGAGTCAATATATTGTCGTAATGTATTTTTATTTTGTCAAAGAACTGATCAATATAATTATTTTATAAAATATCTAGCTTTCGCTTTATAACAAAGTAAGACCTTTTCGGTTTTCGAGAATCAATTTTAATAACACTGAAATATTTACCTCAATTAGAAATATATACCGAATTAGCAAATTATCTGATAAATCAGTCAAATGAAATTGCAACGGCGTTCCATTTGGACGGACAAATAAATAGGACATTGTTTACAAATTATTTTTCTTATATATTTATATATATTATATATACATATATAAATTAAAAAATAGAACATCACAATAACAAGTATTTTTTTACATTTTTTTGTAAGGTTAGGTTATTATATCCAAACCTTGACAATCAGGGTTGAGTTAGTGCAATAAAATTCAACGTGTATTGCATATATCCGGTGTGAACGAACCCTTAAACTTTCTGTACTTCGGGGATTCACCAAAAGCTAATTAATAACCAAAAGCAAAAAAGCCAGTACTAAATATTAAGTAAATCTAAAAAAAATTGTTAAAATGAGGGTGAATAATTTTTTTTTGCTAAACTCTGCAAAATAGCGGCGTGAAGAGAGAAATTGCCAACGCTTTGAAAAAGGCGCGAAATTCAAATGAACGCATTTATATAATAAATATTTTATTCAAAATTCATTTTAAGCAACAATAAATAAATTGAAAAAAGAAATCATTTTCAAAAAATCGCTTTCAAAATTATCATTTTCAGAAAAATCATTTTTAAAAAAATAATTTTTTTTTTCATCGGCGTATAATTTATGATTTCTTAGAAAAAATCTAGTTTTGTAAGTAATTGTACAATCCGTCTAGTATTGGAAGTGAAACTGCACAATAATAGTAAGTATTGCCCTCCATTGTTATGAACTCATCCACACAGGTTCCTGTTTATTTTGAAAAAAATAATTACCAAAATTAATTTTTTTCAATTAAAAGTTAATATTCTATATGTTTACTATTTATTAACAGTATTCTTGTATTTTAAAACTATGTAAAGAATCATAAATAAATAATATTAAATTAATAAAAAAAATTTTATTACCTTTACCCGTCGAAATTCGATTTCGAGCAGGAATCATTGTACTCAAATAACCAACGCATTCGTAAAAACCGGGATGCCCTTCCACTTCTTGTGTGCAAAATTCTAAAACAATTTTTTAAATATATATTCTTTTTATATTTTTTATTTATTATTTCTTTTCATTTTATATTATTTATTATTTTTGTTCTCATTTATTATATTCATATTATTTATTAATTGATTTTATTTCATTTTTTATTTCATTTCTTTAAACTATTATTAATTAAATTAATCTATCCGGAAAAAAATTTTTTTTTCAAAATAAATCTAATATTTAATGTGTATGTTGAATGTATTTTTGAAAATTAATTTTTAAATTGAAGTATTTTTTGAATATTACACAATTGAAAAAAATTATTGAATGAAAATAAATTTTTAACGCTACCTGCAGCTTCCTCTTCATTTTCAAAATCATATACATCGTAACATTCACAGTTGTAGTAAAAAATTGATAACAAAAATAAAATAACAATTAAACGCATTTTTTCGTCCAAAATGATTTTTTTTTTTAAAAATGTTAAATATATCAGTAATGGAATAAAGTTTCTACTAAACACTCAATTATTATCTGTTTATTACATTAATTAGAATTTTTCGAAATTCGTAATTTTTATACCAGAATCGAGAGACAATAGGAATAAAAAAGAAAGAAATATTTTAAATATCCAAGTTTGAATAAATTAATCTAGAATCTAGTTTTAATTGAATTAAACTTTTAATTGAATTTCATGTATTCTTGATTTAATTTTTTATTGTCCGGAATAATTATTCTTTGCAATTGTTTCTCATAAAATATTCATAATGAATAATTTTTATCTGAACAACATTTTAATTTCAATGATATATATTTTTTTAATTTTATAATTACACTTAGAAAATTAAAAGGAAAAAATGGGAAAAATAAAAAAATTTAATTATTTAAAACTGTTAAAAGTTAATAGAAAATTTTTTTAAAAAATGTCTCACTATTTATTAAATATTAATTAAAAGTATAAAATATTATTTTTTGCATTTTGCAAAGCATATTTATAGTATTTAGTAATTATAATAAAATATCTATAATTATTATAAAAAATTTCTAATTTCTATAAAATAACAATAATAATTTTTATAAAAAAATTAGATAATAGCTATTAAAATATAGTTGTTAATAAATTAGAGTTATATAAAGACCACATTTTTTGCTTGAGTTATTGCAAATAACAAAGTCTGTAAAATATTTAAATTTAAGGAGATTTCTTTTGTTATTTACAACTGTATAAATATGAAAATTTAAATTCAGCTCAATTGTTCGCTATAAGACTGGAAATATTTTTAGAAACAAAAAATAATATTCACGAAAAGAATCTTTTAGATTTTTCTCTATTTTTTGCAAAATTTCGTTAGTCGATTGTTTTTATGATTAATTTTTCTTAATACCATATATAATTATGCATTTTTTCACTACTCTTTTATTTTTCTCTGCATTTTATTGCAGTTGCATATCACTGCCAGACTTTGAATTCTATGATGAAGAAGAAGAAGCAGCTCGTGAGTAATTTTTTTCAAGTGTTTCATCATTTAGCATTATATGGTTATATATATATATATTTTTTTTTTTGTTTTTAATTTTAATGTATTTTTATTATAATACCTATAAATTTTATTTTTTTTATAATTTTATAATAATATTTTTTTTAAATATATTGAAAAATACTAAAAAAATAAATTTATACCACATGTAGGCGAATGCACAAAAAATTCAGAAGAAATGCCAGGTTTTTTCGAGTGCAGGGATTACATATGTCCATTTTTTATTACTGACAGAATAAAAGATGGCGAAGGTTGGTAAATTCTTAATTTTCGAAAAAATTAATTTTCAGTATAAAATTATATGTAATTAATATAAAAAAGAATTGTTTTAAAAAATTGTTCTTAATAATTTATTACAGAATACTGCATTGAGGAATTTATTTCTTATGATGGTAGCGCTTTCTATTACTGTGCAAACTCTCTGCCACAATTGAAGCAATGAAATAATAATTGTACGATTTTACGTTCGTTTTTATGTCAGGTATGCAATTTTGCCAAGAATTAATAAAAATTTTAATATAGAAAAAAGTTATTTCAAAAAATCCAAAAATTAATTTTTTCAAAAATTAAAAAATTTATTGAAAAAAATTTTTTTTTTAGATATTTTTGAAAATTCTTCTGTCTGATTTTTGGTATTCGTGACCGTAATACACCTACAAAATTTTATCAAAATCCGTCAAGACGTGTAAGAGAAAATTTGTCCACAAGAATCGGTGACACACACACACACACACACACACACATCCGGACATTTGTTCCTCTCGACGAATTATATATATACTACACTTGAAAATTTGTAAAAATAATTGATTCTAAAAAATTCAGAAATCGACATCACTATAAGGCTTCCTTTAAGAGGAAGCAAAAAATGGAAAAAATATTAAACATTTTTTTTAATCTTCCTTCGTGATGCAAAAATAAAAACATTAAAATAGAAATTCGACAAAAAAACTAACTTCATCAACAAATAATAATATTGTCAAAAATTTAAATATTATAAAAAAAATTACAAACATTACTTGAAATTAATTTTCGAAAATAAAAAACAAGAAAAAAATCATGCGTCTAGTAATTATTCTGATAATTCTCAATATTTTTTACTTAAACTCAGCATTGAATTATAACAAAAGTGGATATTCGGATATCTTCGATAGTGAAATTAGTGAAAAATACGAAAATAAAGAAGAAGCAGCTAGTGAGTAATTCTTTTTTTCCAGTTTTTCATTATATGATTTAAAGAGTTAAAAATTAAATTTCTATTCCATAATAGTGAATTGCACAAGAGAGGTAGAAGGATTAAATTATTTCGAGTGCACGGGATATGAATGTCCAATTCCTATTACTGACAGGATAAATCAAGTCAAAGGTTGGTAAATTTTTCATTTTTATAAAAAAAAATACATTTATACTGAAATTATTATATTTAAATAAAACAATGTTCTTGATAATTTATTACAGATTATTGTGTTGAGGAAGTAATTCGAGATGATGGTAGCACTTACTATTTTTGTGCATTTGAGATTCCAGAAATGAATAATTAAATTATAATTATTTTTATAATTTTTTCACTTAGAGAAAATAAAATAAAATTTGCTATAGGAACATATTTTTGTGTCAACGAAAATATTTGATAATATTACAATTAAAATAAAAATCTTAACATGAAAGCATCATAATAATAAAATAATTATAAAAAATTATGTATTATTTTTTCAGTTGAACTCTCATATTAGAAAAATATATATTTTTTATGATTATCGTATGAGATTTTATAACGATTTTTAGTTGCTTGCTTTGTGCCATAAATAGCTTATCATTCAAAAATATTAAAAATATTTAAAAAATTTGTTATACTTTCTTTATCATTCGATAGAAGTTAAGTATTTGAAGTAAGAAAATTATAATAGAAATTCGACGAAAAAAAATATTTTTGTCACGCATAGTTGATATTTTTAAAGATACACGTAAAGACTCAGCAAACTGATTATCATAATATTGTAAAAAATTTAAATATTGCTATTAACCAAAAAATGAAACGTAACTTAATTTTTTCCTCGCTTCCACTTGGCAAAGAGCAGTTCAATAAAAAATAAAATTATCGATCCAACATAACCAGCGATCAAAATTCCGATGAGCAGGAATAGAACCTTTCGCATGTCATCTTTTTCATCCCATTTATGCAAATTACCTTCTGGCCCGATATCTAATTGATGCGAAGTTGTGTTCGGTACCATCTTCATTCTCCACTTCTCCAATAGTGCAAATTCACACAATAATCTGTAGATTCGATGAAGTTTCTCAACATACGGTGATCCAGGTTCCAAAAAATAACCAATTCCCACAGAAATAATAAACTCTGGAACAATTTTTACGATATTTTGTTTCATGTGAAATCCGACAAACAATTCTGCTTGTGATAATCTCATAATGCATGTTATGTTCTTGTAGTTTAGGAGCAATTCAATACATTCGCTTTGGGTGGTTACTCGCCCTTTTCTCACCCATTTTTTCATGTCATCGTCATCGACGATTTGAGGCAACATCACTATTTTACTTAATTCAGAACTAAATTGAAGACCTGTGTTCATTAAATCATTGAGGGTATTTATCTCCCTCTCCTCTTCCAATCGAAAATTGAAATCAGTCAACGAAATCAAGATGTTGCAGGAATAGTAAAAATAGATAATCAAGAGACATCCAAAAATGATTCGTTCATTTAACTTCTTCGGCTGAGAATTTGACGCAACTCCAAATAAAATTTGAATCACCAATGTCCAGTTCCAAATTGTTTCTTCGAATTTGAAAATTTTTACAATAATCCAGCTGAGCATTGTAATCAAGAAAGTTAACAGAATTGAAGAGTAAAAGGTATTACCGATTGAAATTGAAAAATTCTTCGACTTCAAAGTAGGAGCTATTGCAACATAGTGATCCAAAGCAAAAATTGTATTCTCAAACAATTCTTTTTTGCATATACTTCTTGATGTGGTGCTCGTGATCGTAATAAGTTGAAGTCTATTTCGTTGAATTGCAGAATTAAAACCTGTAAGCTTTGAAATATTACAGCCATAATGACCAAAATCTTCAGCGTTAGATGGTAAAAAACTTTGTCTGTAATTCATTATTGTAGCAAAAAATTTGCCAACTTCTGCATCTGGACCAGAAACATCAAATGGATGTTTCGTCGAATTTCGCTTCAACAATACATACGGTGGTCGGTACATAATTCCCACCTTCAGTGGATATCCATTTAAGTTTTCAAGTTTGTTTGGAAACAATGGTGTCTTTTTGGAAAAGGATTTTGCTTTATAGAAATTAAGAAACGGATTCAGTCGATGAATCGTAGCTCGTCCTCTGATAACATCGAGAATTGTGACGTCCAGGAATAAATCTCGCCACATTTTTAGCAAAAATTTGTCGTAATTCGAGGTTTGATTGGAATCCAAGTAGCGAACAATTAGACATTTTGGTCGAATACGAACAGTCGATAATTGTTTAACAAATGCCATTATCTCTTCTGTCCATTGAGTGTTGTTTTTATTTGGAAACTCGACAAGAATAAACAACGTAGTATCTCGTGGATTGCTCAAAGAATACCATTTCTCAAACTGATGAATTTCTCCATTAAGATAGAAATCATTGAAATGTAGGATTGGAATATTTTCTTGAAGATCTTGAATAATTCTTGGATTGTCTGCGTTTTCATAGTTACTTATTAACATGATCTGGTAAATTCTAGGATCATTTTTTATTGTTTCTATGACTAGTTGAGACCATTTTAATGTAATCTCTCCTTTCTTTCGAACAATCTTAGAATAAGTTGAAAGATTCTTTTGACGAATTTCAAAAATCGTTGTAGTGATTAATAAAAGCAGAATAAATTGTAACCTCATTCTTTGTACTATTCTACTACTTCAATTTCTTAAAATTTAAAAAACTAAATAATATTCTAATTTTTATTATTAATTTTGAGAACCAAAAATACTATAGTGGTGTAAAACTAACTGCATTGAGTCAAATTCTGAGTATTTTTTTTTGTTTTATGTTTGATTCTTCGTAGCTTAGCAATAACAATTTGCAAGAATTAAAGATTTTTATCTATTGATTTATCAGAATTCAAGGTTTATGACAAGTGGAAAATTATTCTCCAGAAGTAATATAAGTAAATTACTTTATACTTTAATACAGTAGTTTATGTAACTGCAGCAAAAAGTATGATAACCTTAGATTTAACTAATACTTTAATTTCTGGTTATCTAATACTTTCATTTCCGTCTCTTTTCCATCTTACCAAGAACCAATTCGACAAGAAATGTAAGAATTGATGTAAAATAACCAGCAATCATTATGCCCAATAACAAAGATTCTATCTTCCAATCATCAGCACTGTCATCTAAATTATAAAATTTATCTTTCGTTGCGATACCCAGTTGAAGATACCTAGTTGCATTCGGTTTTTTCGAGATTTTCCATTTTTGCAAAAGTCCAACTTCCTTCAATGATCTGTGAATTTGTTCGAATTTCTCGACATACGGAGATCCTGGTTCCAGAAAAAATCCAGTTCCTACAGATGCAAAATATTCTGGAATGAATTTTACTAGATTATTTTCTTTATAAAATCCAGCGAACCATTCAGCATGTGCCAATTTCATAATGCAAGTTATGTTCTTGAACTCGACAAGAAATTCAATACACTCTTCCAATGCTACTACTCGTCCTTTTTTCACCCAAGCTGTAAAGTTATCTTGGTCGAAAAGTCTAGGCAGCATTTCATTTGAATTTATTTCTGAACAGAACTGAAGACCGCTTTTCATTAAATCATCAACGTTGTTTAACTCTTTTTCATTATCTATTCGAAAATTGAAATCCGTCAGAGATTCCAGAATGTAGAAAGAATAATAAAAATTCACAAGAAAAAGGATTGCGCAGAAGACTCGTTCTTTTATTTTCGAAGGCCGTAAATCTACTGCGACTCCAAATAAAACTTGAATAATCACCGTCCAATTCCAAATGAGTGCGTCAAACTTGAAGATTATCATCGTTATCCAGCCAATTACTGTAATCAGTAGAGTTAAAGCAATGGAGTAGAAAAAGGTTTCTCCAATAGTCACTGAATATTTCCCTGACTTTAGTATTGGAGCAACTGCAACATAGTGATCTAATGAAAAAATTGCATTCTCAGTTACTTCCTGCTCACACATTCTTCGAGGTAGTGAAGTAGTCACACAAATAAAACGGATTTTCCTCTTTTGAGCCAAAGAGTTGAAACCTGTAATTTTTTTTACATTACAAGAAAAAGAACCGAATCGTTCTACTTCTGATGGTACCAATACTTGGCTGTAATTCATCATTTCGGCGAAAGTGTGACCAACTACTGAATCGGGTCCAATAATATTAAAAGGATGGTTTGTCGAATTGCGTTTCAATGTTACATAAGGTGGTCTGATGATATAAGCCACCTTCAATGGATAACCATTCAAATTGCGAAGTTTCTGTGGAAACAGTAAAGTTTTCCTAGAAAACACCTTTCTTCGGTAGGAAATAAACGGATTCAGCCTGTGAATCGTAGTTCTTCCTTTAACAACATCGAGAATTGTTAAATCCAGGAAGTAGTCATTCCACATTTTTGTTAGGAATGTTGTGTAATTCGAGGTTTGTTGGGAATCCAAAAAGCGCACAATTAGACATTTTGGTCGAATACGAACAGTTGACAATTGTTTAATGGATGCCATCATCTCTTCTGTCCATTGGGTATTGTTTTTGTTTGGAAATTCGACAAGAATAAACAACGTAGTATCTCGTGGATTGCTCAAAGAATACCATTTCTTAAACTGATGAATTCCTCCATTAAGATAGGAATCATTGAAATGCAGGGTCGGAATATTTTCTTGAAGATCTTGAATAATTCTTGGATTGTTTGCATTTTCATAGTTACTTATTAACATGATCTGATAAATTCTTGGATCTTTCTTAATTGTTTCTATGACTAGTTGTGACCATTTGAATGTAATCTCTTTTTTCTTTCGAACAATCTTAGAATAAGTTGAATGATTCTTTTGATGAATTTCAAAAATCATCGTAGTGATGAATAGAAACAGAATAAACTGTAACCTCATTCTTTATTCTATAAACCAATTTTTATTATGATCCTGAATCCAAAAATGAAATTGGACAACTAATTACTTAAGTTAAAATAACAAATTAATTTAGTTTTACGAACTCAATTTCTTAAAACTTAAAATAAACCTAAATAATATTGTAATTTTTATTATTAATTTTGAGAACCAAAAATACTATAGATTCACTATTCACTATTGTAAAACTAACTGCATTGAGTCAAATTCTGAGTATTTTCTTTGTTTTATGTTTGATTTTTTGTAGCTTAGCAATAACAATTTGCAAGAATTAAAGATTTCTATCTATTGATTTATCAGTTTTGAAGGTTGATGACAAGTGGAAAGTTATTTTCCAGAAGTTATAAGTAAATTACTTTAGTTTAATACACTAGTTTATTTTTCTGCAGCATAAAGTATAAAGATTTATCTAATATTTGATTTCTGGTTCCTTTCATCTTATTGATTGGAAATTTGACTATATAGACAACAATAGTATGAAGTTTGTGAACAATAATATGAAATCGAATACTCAGGTAATCAATGACTTTAAGCTTTGGCAATTGAATTGAACATTTATCAGTAGACTAATAGTTCAAATTCTTAATAATACCTTCAAACCGTTTGAAGTCTCCGTCTCTTTTCTCTCTTGCCAAGAACCAATTCGAGAAGAAATGAAAGAGCAGATGCAAAATAACCAGCAATCATTATCCCAAACAACAAAGATTGTATCTTCCAATCATCAACACTGTCATCTGAATTATGAAATTTATCTTGCGTTGCGATACCAAGTTGAAGAATCCTAGTTGCATTCGGTTTTTTCGAGATTTTCCATTTTTCCAAAATTCCAACTTCCTTCAATGATCTGTGAATTTGTTCGAATTTCTCGACATACGGAGATCCAGGTTCCAGAAAAAATCCAATTCCTACAGATCCAAAATATTCTGGAATGAATTTTACTAGATTATTTTCTTTGTAAAATCCAGCGAACCATTCAGCATGTGCCAATTTCATAATGCAAGTTACGTTCTTGAACTCGACAAGAAATTCAATACACTCTTCTAATGCTAATAATCGTCCTCTTTTCACCCAAGCTGTGAAGTTATCTTGGCCGAAAACTCCAGGCATAATATTTCTTGTGTTTACTTCTGAACCGAACTGAAGACCGCTTTTCATTAAATCATCAATGTTATTTAACTCTTTTTCTTTATCCATTCGAAAATTAAAATCCGTCAAAGATTCCAGTATGTGGAAAGAATAATAAAAATTCACAAGAAAAAGGATTGCGCAGAAGACTTGTTCTTTTATTTTCGTAGGTTGTAAATTTACTGCCACTCCAAATAAAACTTGAATAATCACCGTCCAATTCCAAATGAGTGCGTCAAACTTGAAGATTATCATCGTTATCCAGCCAATTACTGTAATCAGTAGAGTTAAAGCAATGGAGTAGAAAAAGGTTTCTCCAATAGTCACTGTATAATCTCCTGACTTCAGTATTGGAGCGACTGCAACATAGTGATCTAATGCAAAAATTGCATTCTCAATTACTTCCTTCTTACAAAGTGTTCTAACTAATGTAGTGGTCACACTAATAAAATGGACTATCCTCTTTTGAACCAACGAATCAAAGCCTGTTATTTTATTAACATTACAAGAAAAATTACCAAATTCTTCGTTTTTTGATGGTACCAATACTTGGTTGTAATTCATCATTTCGGCGAAAGTGTGACCAACTACTGAATCGGGACCAATAATATTAAAAGGATGATTTGTCGAATTGCGTTTCAATGTTGCATAAGGTGGTCTGGTGATATAAGCCACCTTCAATGGATAACCATTCAAATTGCGAAGTTTCTGTGGAAACAGTAAAGTTTTCCTAGAAAACACCTTTCTTCGGTAGGAAATAAACGGATTCAGCCTGTGAATCGTAGTTCGTCCTTTAACAACATCGAGAATTGTTAAATCCAGGAAGTAGTCATTCCACATTTTTGTTAGGAATGTTGTGTAATTCGAGGTTTGTTGGGAATCCAAAAAGCGAACAATTAGACATTTTGGTCGAATACGAACAGTTGACAATTGTTTAATGAATGCCATCATCTCTTCTGTCCATTGGGTATTGTTTTTGTTTGGAAATTCGACAAGAATAAACAACGTAGTATCTCGTGGATGACTCAAAGAAGTCCTTTTCTGCAAATTCTGAATTTCTCGTTTTAAATAGACCTCGTTGAAATACAAGGTAGGCAGATGTTGTCGTAAATCTTGAACAAATCTGATATATTTTTTCGCATTATTACTCAGAAGCATAATCTGGTAAAGTTTTGGATCGTTTATTAATGTCATTATGACTTCTTGAGACCATTCTGATTGGTTCTGTCGTTTGTTTTCGATGATTTCAGACTTTGTTATATAATTCTTTTGACTAACTTCAAAAATTAGTGTTGCTATTAAAAGGGTAAAGAGTATTAGCAGCTTCATTCTGTATGTTCCCTACGACTATTGAAATGTTACACCAAGTTGTATTGTTATTATTCCTTTTGTTGTGTGTTTCTTTCTTTGTAGCTTAGTAACGGCAAGAAAGAATGTTTTGTCTATTGATTCACTAGAAGTCAAGTTTGATGATAAGTAATACGTCATATTACTGCATTTTACAATCTCTAAATTTCAATCAGCAATAAGTAAAGAACATTAATTTGAAAATGTTTATACTAACTTATTAGAATAAGTAGAATCATGATAATTAGTCAATTATGCATCCAATTTTAATAAAATGATCACCTCTGCTTCCATTTAACAAGTATAACTTCAACCAGAAAAGAAATCATTGATGTTAGATAGCCGACAACTAGTACCCCAATCAACAGAGAAAGTATTTTCCACGCTTCATTCGGTATTTTTTTGACTTTCCATTTTTTTCAATAGCGCATATTCCGTTATTGATCTGTGTACTTTACGCATTTTTTCCACATATGGTGACCCAGTCTCTAGAAAAAAGCCAATTCCCACAGACATAATAAATTAAGGAACAAATTTTACCAAATCATATTTTTTATAATATCCTGCGAACCATTCAGCTTGTGACAATTTCATAATACAAGTCACGTTTCTATAATCGACTAGAAATTCAATACATTCCTCGAATGATAATATTCGACCTTTCTTCACCCAGGCTGTGAAATCATTTCGATTAATGATTGAAGGCATAATTGTTACAGAGTTTATCTCCGAAATGAATTGTAGACCACTTTTTATTAAATCATTCAATGTTTTAATTTCCTTTTCTTTTTTCATTCGGAAATTAAAATCAGTTAGCGATTCGAATATATAGAAAGAATAATAAAAATTCACGATCAAGAGGCAACTGAAAAAGATTTGTTCCTTTAATTTTCTCGGATTGAAATTGACTCCAACTCCAAACATTAATTGAAAGATTACTGTCCAATTCCAAATTGTTTTCTCAAATTTGAAGACTTTGATGACAATCCAGCTAAGCAGCATAATCAATAAAGTTCTTCATCTACTGTGCAAACATTACATCATTCAGTCGAATTGTTGGTATTTCTTTTGTTATATGTTTCTTTCTTGGTATCTTAGCAACTAAGAAATTGTATTTTGTTTATTGATTTATTGCGTGTCTTTACGTAATCTTTTTAAAAATTTGAAATAAAACTATTAGTGCTAATTGATTAAAAAAGTATTACCTTATTTTGTAACGCTTAAATGTCAATAAATATTTTAAAGTAATGATGATTGCATTATTTCTTTAAAAGTTTAAAGTCAACAAGAATTGCGGTGGATAAAATGTCGATCGAATTTTTATAAAATGTTCAATAATTTCTGTAAATGTGTTTGAAATCAAACGAAATCAATGTAGAAAAGTGTTGGAGCAGAGAAAGTGTCTTTGAAAGCTATTCGAATGAATTATTAACAATCCCATCATACCTTCTAAGATATTAAAATCTTCGTCTTCTATCCCACTTGTCAAGAACCAATTCAATAAAAAATGAAACAATTGACGCAAGATAACCAGAAATCATTACTCCAATTAACAAAGACAGTAATTTCCATTCACCATCATCGTCCGAATTACCAAATTTATCTTTTGTTGCGACATCAAGTTGAAGAAACCTAGCATTCGGCATTTTTACAACCTTCCATCTGTCCAAAAGTCCAAATTCCTTCAATAATTTGTGAATTTGATGAAATTTGTCAACATACGGAGATCCGGTTTCCAGAAAATATCCAATCCCCACTGAAATGATATACTCTGGTACGAATTTCACGAGATTTTGTTCTCTGTAAATTCCTGCATGCCATTCTGCTTGGGATAATCTCATAATACAGGTTATATTCTTATAATCGAGAAGAAATTCAATACAATGGTCATAAGTGCTCACTCGACCACTTGTAACCCATTGGGTAAAATTATCTTGTCTGATGGCTAACGGTAGCATTGTTAGTTTATCTAATTCGGAACTGAATTGAAGACCACTGTCCATTAAATCATTCAGGGTATTGATTTCCCTTTCCTCACCCATTCGAAAATTAAAATCAGTCAACGACACCAAGATGTTACAGGAATAATACAAATTTAAGATCAAGAAGCATACGAACAAAATTCGTTCCCTTAATTTTCTCGGTTGCGTTTCTATTGAAATTCCAAATAAAATTTGAATTACCACTGTCCAGTTCCAAATTGTTTTCTCAAATTTAAAGACATTCATGATAATACAGCTGAACATTGTAATCAACACTGTCAGCAGAATTGGATAATAAAATGTTTCTCCCACAGTAATGGAAACATTGTTCGTCATAAAAATTGGAGTAATTGCGACATAGTGATCTACAGCAAGAATTGTATTCTCAATCATTTCTACCGGACAATTTTTTTTAGACGTTGTACCAGTTACGCCAATGAACTGAATTTCATTTCGTTGAACAGCAGAATTAAAACCAGTCAATTTCTTTGTATCGCAAGAATAAATTCCAAAATCTTCAACTGTTGACGGTGTCCACAATTGTTCGTAATTCATTACTTGAGCGAATATTCTTCCAACTTCCGCATCTGGACCAGAAACATTAACTGGATGATTTGTCGAATTCCGACTCAATTTTATGTATGGCGGACGGTACATAATTCCTACTTTTAGTGGATATCTGTGTAAATTTCGAAGCTTATTTGGAAACAATGGTGTTTTTTTGAAAAAGGGTTTTGCTTCGTAGGAATTAACGAAAGGATTCAACTGATGTATCACTGCTCGTTCTTGAAAAACATCCAAAATTGTGACGTCTAGAAATAAATCTCGCCACATATTTTGCAGAAATTTTGCGTAATTCGAGGTTTGTTGGGAATCCAAAAAGCGAACAATTAGACATTTTGGTCGAATACGAACAGTTGACAATTGTTTAATGAATGACATCATCTCTTCTGTCCATTGGGTGTTGTTTTTGTTTGGAAATTTGACAAGAATAAACAACGTAGTATCTCGTGGATTGCTTAAAGAATACCATTTCTGCAGATGTTGAATTTCTGCTTTAAGATAGGAATCATTGAAATGCAGGGTTGGAAAATTTTCTTGAACATCTTGGACAATTTTGGGAGTACCTACATTTTTATTGTTACTCAACAACATGATTTGATAAATTCTAGGATCATTTTTTATCGTTGTTATGACTCGTTGAGTCCATTTTGATTGAATCTCTTTCTTTTTTATGATAATTTCAGACCTACTGAAATTCTGACCAATTTCAAAATCCGCCATAATTAAAAAAATGAAGACGACAACTTGCAGCTTCATCATTTGTATCTATAAATAATATTTTTAGTGCAAAGATTGTCAAAATTATTTTTTTTATTTTTGCAAATATTTATCGTAACAGATAAATGTCAATGTTTTTAATAATTTTTTAATAAAAATTACATTAATTTATTCTACATTTACCTTATTGTTGCACGGTTGTTCAAACTTTACAACAAGCTGCATTCTGATATTATTACTTTTATTACAAGTTTGTTTCCTCGTAGCTTAGCAATGACATTTGCAATAATGAAAGTTTTTTCATCTATTGATTTATCAGAGGTCAAGTTTCATAATATGTAAAAATGGTAAAAATACATATTTGCTGATAAAATTTACAATCTTTGAAATTCAATCAACGACAAGTATGACACTTATTCAGGTAATAGAGGTTACCCTTTGTAAAACTCATAAAAACGATAAAAACTTACGAATAAGAAATATTTTTTTTTACTTTTCAAATAGAACTTTAAAAGTAATTAAAATTTTCAAATCACAAAATTTTAGACCTTTTGCACTCGTATTAAATTAAAACAACTATTTATTAAAAACAAAAATATTATTTATATAAATTTTTTTTGCAAGAATTCAATTATTTTCATAAATAATCAAATTCTTTGCTGGAATTCAATTATTTTCAAAAATTTTAACAACATTCGTGTAAAAAATTCAATTATCTTCATAAATAATAAAATTCTTCTAAAAAATTTAATAAAAGTTAAAGGTTCCCAACCCTGGGAGTATTTTCGCTTTGTTTCGCCGTGTTTACAATGAGAAACAAGGAGAAATTTTTTCTCCATAAACTCGTAAAGAATCTACCAAGATTTATTGATGGGGATTTTTTAATTATCTAATTATTATTATTCCAATATTATTAATTCAAAATAGAGCAGGAAGAAGAGAAATAAAGTTATTTGTAAATTGTAAGGGTGCGATCCCATGTGAGCAGAATACGTCGACCGAAAGCAGAAAATCATGAGAGTGAAAAGAACAACAATATCTATATATCTCTTTTGCACTCAAGATTTTCTGCTTTCGGTCGACATATTCTGTTCACATGGGATCTCACCCTAAGTTAAGAATTGTCTACTTACCTTTACGTTTTCTGCGTTGATATGTGAATACTCCTTAAATTTGCTTATGTCACGTACACACTGTCTCATTTTTCATATTTGGAATTGCACGCTTCCTGCAACAATATAAATAACAATATTTGTGTAAAAATAGAAATATTTCAGTTATAGTATTAAAAGGTATATAAAATTTTTTAATATACAGTTTTTCAGTTTTATTCATTCTATTCAGTTAATTTATTATTTATAATAAATAAATTTATTTCTAAAACAAATGAAAAAAGAACATAACCTAAAAATGCATATGTCGGATTCATTGTTACGATTGTTACAGATCAACAATGGATAATAAAACACGATTCAAGTGGATAATTCGAAATTACAAGAAATCAGTTATTGGAGATAAATCGCTTAACTCGCCGACATTTACAATGCAAAATTTTCCCTATAAGCGTTGGTTTTTAAATGTAGATAAACTTTACATAAACGATCACGTTTCCGTAACGGTTCGTTCAATGGAGTCCTACGAGGAGCATTTATTCAACTTTACCATGAGTTTGTCAATAATGGATTCATCAAATCAGGAAGTATCAACTCTAATCAACAGATATACAGGAAAATTTGAAGCCAAATGGTTTAAAATCGGTTTATTGGACCATCGACACCTCCTTGACAATTTAGTCGAAAATGATCTTATTTTCGTTTTCGAAATAGACGTCAGTTTTGTTTGTTTAGAAATCACAGCAGGCAATGTAAAAACAGAGCAGGAAAATAACGATAACAGTTTTTTAAATGACAAAACATTCAGTGACGTAACTATTCACATTGGAAGAAGAAAAATTTTCGCACACAAAATTATTTTGTCCGTGAAAAGTAAAGTATTTCATCAAATGTTTTTAAATGAACCATCATTGGATAAAATTAAAATAAATCCTACCCAAGTAAATTATGAAGATCTTATGAAAGTTCTGCGATATTTTTACACAGGGAAAATTGAAAAATCGCCAGAATCAGCTACTTTGGATATTTTAAAAGTTGCACATTTGTACGAAATTGGCGAATTAAGGGATATTTGTTCAAAATCACTGTCAACGAATATTAATTTCGATAATGTGATGAATACTTTGATGGTCGCGGATAATTGTCGGGCAAAAACATTAAAAGAAGCGTGTTTGACAAAAATTCAATGTAATTTTGAAAAGTTTCGAAATTCCAAAGAATTGGAACAATTGACAAAAAGTCACGCGCATCTTCTATTAGAAATCATTAAAGAATTGCCAATAGAAAAAAAATCAAGTCCATTAAATGAAAATTTCCAAGAATTTAATTACAGTAGTTCGAAATTTTCAAGATACTCCTAAAAGTTTCCAATTTCCAAAAGCGAAAAATTTCTTCTAGAAAGTTTGTATATTTTTATTTCTGTGTTTGAAAAACAGTGTTTAAAAAAAAGTATATTTTGTTCGTTAAATATTTGTCGATATTTATAAAATGTAAAAAAGAGTTTATTTAATATTTGACCAAGTTTGTTTTCTGCTGGAAGCTTATCAGAAATTCAAGGTCAATTTTTCATTATCTCGGTCACGAAGGATTAAAGGAGATGCGAATTATTATCTTAATTTTTAAAGAAAAACACAACATTGCAATTAGAACCGTGTAAAAAAATGTTTTGTTATCACTAAGATCGAAACTAAATATATAATCAAGTCATTGATTGTCTTAGATTTTCTGTTTATTTTTATATTTTCGTAATGTAATGTAATTTCTATTTTGTATTTATTTTTGTCTGTTTTGACTTTAAAACTAAAATGTATTCATATACAGTAAAAATAATATTAATGAAAAAAACAGTTGTTTGTCTATTTGACTATAAATAATAGTTATTGTTTTATCAGTAAGGGATTAAAATCTTTGATCTCGGAAGATAATCCGATAAGAATGTGGTTACTGATGCACTTCCTATATAAAAAGACGTTAATTCGTTTCCTTATGTCACTAGCAGTATTAAACTTGAACTTTACGTTTGAATTTTGAGAAAATTGTTTTTGAAAAAAATTGAAAGGCTGTTTTTAATTTACAATGAAAGAAGTCACGACGCTTGGCGTCTTACAATTGGCTATAATTTTCTCTCTTTCGATTCCTCATGTTTTTTCAAATACAGGTATTTTTCTTTTTATAAAATCAAAATATTTAATTGATTTTTCACTTATAAATTTTTAAAAAAATTTTTCTACTTACAGATTGCACAAAATGTCAGCGGTACGAGCCGCTTTTAAGTAATTTGGCGTTTTTGGATATTCGATTTGAATTAGATGTGAGTATAAATATTTTCCATAAAAAAAAAATATAATAATACAGTAAAATTTCGAAATAATTTATTAGTATTTTTAAGTATTAAATTATTATTTTTTATAGTAAAAAAATAAGATTTTCTATGAAATTAATTTTATGTCAATTTTTCACATTCCAGACTTATGAACTTTTGAATATTAGAAGTTTATTAAAAGAATGTGCTTTCTGTCAAAGTGAGTAATTTTTTTTCCATTTATATTTCATTGCAATTTTGAAAATTGTTTCTAATGTAAAAAGTGTTAACAAATTTTATAAAGTCAACAAATTTTCCTTTAGATTGAAAAAAATTTTTTTAACAGATTGAAATTTATTTCAATCAAGAAAATTCGAATCGAAAAAACAAAAAGTATTAAAATTTTTTTTAAAATACGGAAATTAAAATCAAATAAATAAAATCAATTCAAAAAAATTGTTTCTAATCGAGATAAAATTGATAATAATCTATTGAAATTATTTATTATTTAAAGTAATTAATTAATAATTAAGAAAATTTCTGTTGGGATAAGAACATTTTTTTCTGCAAAGTAAAAGATTTCCGAGGATAATTTTTTTTAAATTAAAAACCGAATTGTTTTCTTTTAAATATTTAAACAATTTATAACTTGAATTTCAAGATATTAATGTTAACGATATTTTCAGGTATTATAAACATTGAAAATCTCAGCTTTAACAGTTTGAAGAATGTAACCGGAAATATTTGCCCTGGAATGCTTCGACAATGCGACGAACACGCCAAATGCATTTCAATCGGTTTTAAGCAGTATTTATGCAGGGTAATGAATTTTTAATTATATTTTCTCTTTTCTTACACTTATTAGACTTTATTTATTTATAAAGAGAGTGAATTTCAATAAAATTTCTCAGAAGAATTCAATTATTTTGAAAAATTTTGATTTAATTTTTTATGAGGATTGGAATATTTTTATTACAGTTTTTATTAAATTCCTCGAAAAAATTCAATTATTTTCGAAAATTTCTTGACATTAATTTAATCATTATCAAAAATGTTAATAACATTCTTGGTCAGAATTCAATAATCTTTATAAATAATAAAATTCTTCTAAAAAACTTAATGCCTAATTTAAAGAATTTCGATAAAATTCTTTGTCAAAAATTGAATTATTTTAACAAACAATAAAATTCTCCGAAGGAGAATTGAATTATTTTAAAGAATTTTAATAAAATTCTTAGCAAGATAAATTAATTAAATTAATTTTAAACTCAAAATGCAAAAAGAAAGGATGTGATGATCGAATTTTATTTTTAGTGCATGATTGGATGGGCGGGAAACGGATTTAAATGTGGATTAGACTCTGATCTCGATGGCTATCCAGATAAGGCTCTCAATTGTTGCTCGCGAGAATGTCACGTCGACAATTGTCCAAATATCGCGAATAGCGGACAAGAAGACGCCGATGGCGATGGAATAGGCGACGTTTGCGATCCGGACGCCGATAATGATGGCATTGAAAATCCCCATGACAATTGCTGGCTAAATGTAAATCCAGAACAGCAAGACGAAGACGGTGATAAAATTGGAGACGTTTGCGATAATTGTCCAACAATTCCGAATCCCGATCAGGAGGACACTGACGGCGATGGTGTTGGCGATGTCTGCGACCCCGACATGGATGGCGACGGTATTTTTTATTCAAAATTCACGCAAATCTCTATCAATCTCTACCTGAATCTCTAAAATTAAATTAATTAATCTCTAAATGATGCAATAAATAATAATAATTAATCATTCAATTGATTGGAATAATTAAAATTAGAAATGTGAATATAAATTAAGCGAGTAAAAAAAATTATTTTTCCGTAGAAATAATGAATCCTGACGATAATTGTCCGAAAGTGAGTAATAAGGATCAGAAAGATACGGATGGCGATGGAGTCGGTGACGCTTGTGATAATTGTCCATTTGTAAAGAATCCAGGCCAGGAAGATGAGGATGACAATGGAGTTGGCGACGCTTGCGAAACTGGAAAAGACACCGACAAGGATGGTATTCAGGACGACTTTGACAATTGTCCAAAAGTTCCGAATGCAAATCAAAAAGACACTGATAAGGATGGTTTAGGCGATGCCTGTGACGATGATATCGACGGCGATGGAGTTCCCAATAATGTTGATAACTGCATTTTCGTCTACAATCCTGATCAAAAAGCAACACACGGTGAGAGCATTGAATTCGCAAGAATTCAATTATTTTCATAATTAACCAAATTCTCCGCAGGAATTAAAGAATTAAAATATTTTCATAAATAATAAAATTCTTCTGAGAAATTCAATTATTTTCAATACAATTTTAATAAAATTTCTATTGGAAAAAATTCAATTATATTCAAGATAATTTTAATAAACTTTCTCTTACAGGTACAATTATTTTTAAAAGATTGTAATAAAATTTTTCTATGCAATTCAATTGTTCTCAAAACTTTTTAATAAAATTTGTTGTAAATTCCAATTATTTTCAAAATTTTTAATTAAAATTATTTTTAAAAAAATGTAATTATTTAGAAAAACTCTAATAAAATTGTTTAAAAGAATTCAATTTTCTATGAATAATTTTAATATAATTTAATAGAAAAATCGTTAATTACATTTAACAAATTTCTACAAATAATTGAATTTTTGCAAAACTTAAAAAAAATAAGTGGATTTTTGAAAAGAATTTTATTAAAATTGTATTTAAAATAATTGAATTCCTGTGAAAAATGTACTATTTATTGATATTATTGAATTCTTTCGAAGAATTAAAAAACAATGTTTAAAAATAATAATTTAATTTTCCCTGGAATTCAATTAAAATTGTATTTAAAATAATTGAATTCCAGTAAAAATTTCATTATTTATGAAAATAATTTAATTCTTGAACTGAATTTTATTAAAGTTTTTTAAATAATTGAACTCCTGTAAAAAATTCAATTTTTAAAAATAATTGAAATTTTCGAAGAAATCAATTAAAATTGTATTGAAAATAAGTGAAATCCTGATAAGAATTTTATTATTCATAAATTAACTTTTTGCAAAGAATTTTATTACAATTATTGAAAATAATTAATTAAAGAAAATTAAAGAATATTTATATAAATTCTTAAAAACAATTCAATTATTACAAAGAATTTTAATGAAAATCTTGCCAAGAATTAGATTATTTTCAATACAATTTTAAATACATTTTCTCGAAAGAATTCAAATATTGAAAAAAAAAATGTTGATAAAATTCTCGAAATGAATTCGATTATTTTCAAATCTTTGCTATAATTCAATGATTTCCAGTACATTAATTTTAAAATTGAAAACGTTTTAAAAGAAAAATTATTTAAAAAGTTGGAAATTTTTTCAAGAATATTTCTTTTCTGATTATTTTCCTATTTTTCTAATTTCTTATTAGTGAACACGGATATTGGTGATGCTTGCTGGAATGACAATGACAATGACACCATCATCAACAGTGTCGACAATTGTCCAAATAATAGTGACATACATGCCACAGACTTCCGGAAAATTAAGACTATCGATCTGGATCCAACGACTGGTTCCGGTCAGGCGAATCCCAAATGGATTATCAATAATCATGGCCAAGAAATTATTCAAACACTCAACAGCAATCCCGGCATTGGCATTGGTTTGTAATTTTCTTTTTCAACCTTTTCAATATTTTATTCCCTATTTGTAAGAAATAGGAAAGGATTTTGCAAAAGTAGAAAAAATTGTTTTTTCTACTTTTGCAAAATACTTTTCAACTTCTTACAAATAAGAAATAAAATAAAAAATAATAAATATTAAAATAATAATCTTCATCTTTAAAAAAAATATTATTACCAAAGTAAGTACATATTCCATTTTTTTCCAAAATGCAGGAAAAGAAAAATTCGACGGCATCGACTACGATGGAACATTTTACGTGAATACAAAGCAGGACGACGATTTTATTGGTTTTATATTCTCGTATCAGAGTAATCGCAAATTTTATGTGGTAATGTGGAAAAAGGGAAAACAACAGTACTGGATGAATAAACCATTTAAGGCGTACGCCGATCCGGGAATTCAGATAAAATTAGTCGATTCAAAAACAGGACCTGGACCAATGTTACGAAATAGTTTATGGAACACAAAAGGACATAAGAATGAAGTAAAATTACTTTGGCATGATCCAAAGAAAATTCCATGGAAAGAATTTACATCGTATCGATGGGAACTCAATCATCGACCAACCATTGGTTTAATAAGACTGAAACTTTATAATGGAAAACAATTAATTGCCGACTCGAAGAATATTTATGACAGTACATTGAAGGGAGGAAAACTCGGTGTCTATTGCTTTTCGCAGGAAAATATTATTTGGTCGAATATTAATTACAAATGTCGAGGTGAGAAAACAAAATTATTTAAATATAATTTCAATTGACAAATATGAGTAAATAAATTATTATTTTTATTAATTTAAAATAATTTCGTTCAATAATAATTAAAAAAATAATAATTTAAACTTTCATACTTTAGTTTTGTCAATTTTAATTAATTTAATTTTAAATCCTTCATAAATTTTTTTAATTATATTTTTACTTAATATTTTTGCAGAAACTGTGAATAAGGAAATTTATAAAGATCTGGATCCTAAATTGCAGAAATTGGTTCAAATGGAAGAGGATCATTATTAAATTAATAATTAAATATAATTTAATACTTCATTAATCATTAATCGTTAAAAATCATATTTAGCAATAAGAAAAGTAAAAATGTGATAATACTGTTAAAAATATTGAATAAATGAAATTTTTTATTAAACTATTTTACTGTAATAATAATAATAGGAATAATCATAATAACAACAAATAATATTTATAAAAAAATATAAAACTTTTAAAAATTAAAACTTATTTTTACTTATTCTTATCCTTTGCGTTTTACATAAAATTTTTAATGCGAAAAAATCTCACGTGTAATTAATATAAAAAATTTATTAATAATGTAAATAAATTCCGTTTAATTGAATTTTTTAATTCTTAATAGAAAATCTTTAAATTTCATATTTTTGTTTACATCGTTGAATTTTAGAGAAAATGTTACTTTTTTGGGAAAATTGTGTCAAACTCGTAAAATATTGAAGTTCTAAAAGTTTATTATCAGATAAAAAGTGAAGTTATTTTATATAAAGACAATAATGCTTTTTTTCAATAATTTTCGACACACAAAAACACTGATAATATTTTCATAGTAAATAATTAATTTGATAATTTAATATTATTTTTTTATATTAAAAGATAATTTAAGGAAAAGAAAATTGTTATTTGTTTTTATTGCGAAAATTTGATTTTGATGAATCAGTGAATTTAAAATCGTTAATCCCATAGGAAGTTAAAATGTTCTTAACCTGCGACTATTATGTATTACTGATTGTTTCTTTTTTAATTTATATAATAGTATTGATTTATAAGTCTGTCTTAACCTTGAACTTTTATTTGAAACAATTTTTCAAAGGCAGTCTTTTCAATTTTTTCATCAATACATACTCGATGACTCTGTACCTTTAATAATTTTACATTTGTTTAAAAGTTCAATAATATATACTTTTTAGTTTTTTTTATTTATTTGTAATTTTTTTTATTTCAATTATTATTTTTGTTTTTTAATTTATATTTATTTAAATTTACTTTTTGGTTTTTTTATACTTTAATTTACTTATTCAATTCTTTTATATTTTTCTTACTTATTTATCCAATTTTTTAATTTTTATTTAATTTATTTCAATTATGAATTATTATTAATTTTCATCTACAAAAAACAATTTTTTGCTTATACATTTTAACAATATATTTTAATCCCAATATATGTAAGATGATAAAAAAATTACTGCGAAAAAAAAATTGTAATGAAATTTCCTAAATTGATATAGAGACAAATTTCTAAAAACAATTACCTTTAATTTTTTTATCGTTATATATACATATGTATTTCGAAATATTTTATGATTTAACAAAAGTGATAATTTAATTGATAACAAAACTCTTAGAATTTCTTATAAATAGACAATCAACTCCCTTGTTTCCCGTTATTTGACAAAAATACACGAACAATGTTTGTTGAAAAAAACTAATTTTATTTTTTTAGTGTAATTTAATTTTTTTCAAAAATGCAAAAAATTGCTGCTATTGTTATATTTGCAACAATTGTTGCTCTAGCATATTCCAATAATTCCTCAATCTCAGGTATTTGCGATTTATAATATTATTATAATTGTTATTATTTTTATTACTTGTTTTTATTATTTCTATTGTTATTATTATTATGATTGTTTCTTTTACTATTTTTATTATTATAGTTGTTGTTATTATTCTAATCAAAATTGTTAAACCAAAAAAAAATTGAACCAATTTGTATTAAAATAGATTTAAAAAATAAAAAAAATTATTGAATTCATCAGTTTTTCCTTATTTTTGAATTTTTAAATAAAATCTTTTTTATTGAACTGTTTTCATATTATCAACTAAAATTAACTTTCTTCTATTACAGTTTGCAAAAAATGTAATCATTTTAATCAATTACTAAATAATCTGGCCCACTTGGATGTAAAATTAAAAATAGACGTAAGTTTAAGAAAAAAATAAATAAATGATATAAAAAATAACAATTATTATCATTATATAAAAATTATTAAAATAAATAATATTTCAAAATTATTTGTCTTTCTTATTTTATCAGACTTTTGAGGCTTTGAATATTCCTGATTTACTAAAAGAATGTTCCTCCTGCAAGAGTAAGTATCAATTGTTTAATAAATAATTTTTCAAATTTTTAAATTATATGGAAATTTGAAAAAGACTAATTTCCTTGATATTTATTCTTCTTTTCTCATAAGAAAATAAAAAAAAAATTTGATTTAACTTAAGACAGAATATAAAAATAATTTTTCGCTACTTTCAGAAACTTTAGGACATGACGTATCTTTTAATAAAAATACAATTGAAAATATATGTCCTGGAATGATTAGAAAATGCGACGATCATGCAAAATGTGTACCAATTGTATCTAATCAGTACTTGTGCAGGGTAATAATTAATTAACAGCAGGAAAAAAATTTAATATCGTAACAATTAATTAAATTACGTATTTTATCTGATATATTATAGATAATGTATTATTAAAAGTGAACGTAACGTTTTTTCAAGTATTTTTGGTTATATGAATAACAATCGAATTTAATTTCACTTTAATCATTTTTTGATATTTGATAAAAATCATTTTTTGAAATTATTAAGAAAAAGTACGGTTCTAATATTTTCAATACAATTTTAATTTCAATTTTAATTGTTTTAATGTAATTTTAACAAAAATTAGTTTTTAAAAAAAAAATTGCGAATAAAAAAAAATTTATTACTAATTTTTCAATTTGTACGTAGTGTCTAGTTGGCTATGCAGGCAATGGATGGAAATGTGGAATAGACTCGGACAATGATGGATATCCAGATGAGGCACTCAAATGCTGTTCACACGAGTGTAGAGCTGATAATTGTCCAAAAATTTCAAACAGTGGTCAAGAGGACACCGATGGTGATGGAATTGGCGATCTTTGCGATCCTGACGCTGACAATGATGGAAAACCAAATAATGTCGACAATTGTTGGTTGATTGTCAATCCAGAACAAGTGGATACTGACAAGGATAAAATAGGTGATGCCTGTGATAATTGTCCATTTATTCCAAATTTCTATCAGGAAGACATCGATAAAGATGGAATTGGCGATGTCTGTGACACGGACATGGATGGCGATGGTAATATGAATAAACTAAATCAACACTGAAATAACACTGTCATTTTTAACACTGAAAATTATTAAAAATAATAATAATCACAATAAAAAAATTTCAAACTTTTGCAGATATTTTAAACTCAAATGATAATTGTCCGAAAGTGAGTAACAAGGATCAGAAAGATTCGGATGGCGATGGAGTTGGTGATGCTTGCGATAATTGTCCAACTGTCAAGAATCCTAATCAGGAAGATAAAGACGATAATGGAGTTGGCGACGCTTGCGAAACTGGAAAAGATGCCGACAAGGATGGTATTCAGGATGATTTTGACAATTGTTGGAATGTAACTAATGCCGATCAGAAAGACACTGACAAGGATGGAATCGGCGATGCCTGTGACGATGATATCGACGGCGATGGAGTTCCCAATAATGTTGACAATTGTATTTTCGTCTACAATCCTGATCAGACAGCGACACACTGTGAGTATATTTTTTCCTTATAATATATTCCAAAAAAAGACAATCATTTCACTCACTTGTTTTACTATTTATATTCACTATTAGAAAATAATTACGTGAAATAAAAATAAAGATAAAAACGTGATAAAAACTTACAATACGATGTAGGCCTAATACGATGATCAGCGCTCCGATCTGTATTTCCAAATGTTGCGGAAAAAACACGATTTAAATAATATCGAACACTTTCAAAATCACTTTTAAAAAATTATTCTTTTGCATCTTTGCATAATTATATAAACAAATTGTAAATTATTTCCTTGTCAACTACAAAAAAGCAAAATACTATTTGAAATGACATAACCTAAAAAAGTCAATTATAGTTACGATCGTCATGAAAACATCAATTCCATTCAATCGTTTTACAACCAAAACTGTTTAGTTCTAATTCACGCTAATTAATAACATTCAAATATTGTGAAATAATTTTTAATTAATTTGCACACGAGAAGAAAGTTCAATAATGATCAGCGGAGCGTGAAATGTTGCCAAAACTGTCAAAACAACTATACCAGGGTTGGAAAGATGAAATTCTGAATGTATATATAACAGAGTTGGGTAGCAATGGGTTTAATCGTTTTTTACATTTTTTTGTAAATATTTATGAATTTTATAAAAGAAAACATCAATTCTATACTATTTTAAGAATTTTATAGAAGAATAATTTGTACTTAATTGTTCATAATCACAAAAATGTTGAAATTAGGAAACTACTTTGCAAGTGTAAACGTACCATTACTTTGAAAATAGGAAACATCGCTGCCCAACCCTGTTCTATCGCTTCGCGGTAGGTATTCCCTGACATTTATTTTTAAATCTTTACATTTATTCTTGTTTTTATTATTAATCAGCAAACACAGAAATCGGCGACGCATGTTGGAATGACAACGATAATGATAATGTCATTAACATCAATGATAATTGTCCGAATAATAGTGACATTTGGACAACGGACTTGAGGAAAATAAACACTATTGCTCTGGATCCGACAGTTGGTTCCGGACAGGAGAATCCTAAATGGGAATTCAATAATGACGGAAAAGAAATTGTACAAAAGCTTAACAGCAATCCTGGAATTGGCGTTGGTTTGTAAACTTTTTTCTTAAACAAATTTACTTAATTTCTAATTAATTGTGACGCGCTCCCAAGAAAGGTACCTAAGAAGCAAACGAATTTTAGGTTAGATTCGTGTTAGATTTATCTTGATTAAAAGTTTATTTTTAATTTTTTGTTTCTTATAAAAATAAATAATAAAATACACAAATTTTCCAAAATAGGTTTAGTAAATTTCGGCGGTGTTGATTATGATGGGACATTTTTCATAAACAATGCAAATGGTGACGATGATTTTGTTGGCTTTATATTTTCCTATCAAAGCAATAAAAAATTCTACGTTGTCATGTGGAAGAAGGGACTGCAAAATTATTGGGTCAATACACCATTTCCAGCACGTGGAGATCCGGGAATTCAGATAAAATTAGTTGATTCAAAAAGTGGACCGGGACCAATGTTACGAAACAGTTTATGGAACACTGACGGTCATCCTGGAGAAGTGAAACTTCTTTGGCATGATCCAAAACGAATTCCTTGGGAACAATTTGTTTCCTATCGATGGAATCTCGTTCATCGACCCTCTATTGGATTAATAAGACTCAAACTTTACAGTGGACAGGAATTAATTGCCGATTCACAGAATATTTTTGATAATACCCTGAAAGGAGGAAAACTCGGCGTTTATTGCTTCTCACAGGAAAATATTGTCTGGTCCAATATTGAATACAAATGTCGAGGTGAGATTTTTATTTTTTATTTATTGATAAATTTAATATTATTAATTAATTAATAATAATAAATATTAAATTTTTAGAATAGATTTAAAATCACTGAGATGGTTTTTGAATTAAATATTTAAATATTACAATAATTTTTCAGAGACTGTCACAGAAGAAATTTATCGAGATCTAGATCCAAAATTGCAGAAAATGATTTCTAAGGAATAGTTATTATCAAAACAAACTAGACAAGTAAGAAATAGATAATAAATTAATTAACGAAAAAAATTATAAATTAGATAATTGACTAATTAACGAGTCTCTATTGATGAAAATCAATTTAATTATTGTAATCAAATTAGGAACCTAATCAAATTCTGATCATTACTTCAACTTTCATATATTTTTTCAACTTCGTCGTCGGTCTAAAGAAATTATTTTTTATAATTCATTTTCGAAGAATTAACAATCTTTATTTTTCCCTCAATTTTTATTCCATTAATGTACAATTCATTTAAATGCATTTTTTAGTACACAATTTCATAACTTTCATAATTTACATTTATTTCGTTTAAAAAATCTTAACTACCAATAAAATATAAGATTTTTATATAGAAATCTAGACAGGAAGTCTTTAATTATTCCTCCTTCACGTCACGTCCGGTAATTTTTTTTCCTTCTTTTTCTCATAACCAAAGGATAAAAAAAACCTTTTGTTTGATAAATTGTGCCCGAAAATTGAATTTTTTTTACAACTTTATTTTATTTAAAAAAAATTAATGCTGCATCCATCCTGCGCCGTCTGAATAAATATCTTTGTGGATCAACTTTTGCGCACTTGCCGGAAGTTCTCGATACACTTCTTCCGATACTCCTTCTACAAAAATAAATTGAAAGAAAAGTATTAATTACAATTTTATCGTTTTATTAACTAATTTTTATAGACAAATTTATGTTATTTTGTTACTCTTATTGAAATATTTTACAATTAAATACTTCTCTAATGAAACAAAAAATATTTTGAAACAAAATTTCAAATAAGAAGAAATAGAAAAAAAATGTTATAAAGTAATAAAATTACCTCGACACTTGTAGTGTAAACTGGACCAGATAATCATTTCCTGAGAGAAGCATAAAACACCGAGACTTCCACCCTTGAGGGTCATGTCGAAAATATTCTTCGAATCAGCCACGAGTCGATCACCCTCGTAGATCCACAATCGAATTAGTCCAATTTTCGGCCTGTGAATTAAACGCCATCGATAGGCAGTGTGCTCCTTCCATCCCACATTCCTTGGATCCTTCCACAACAGTTTCACCTGATTCGCCGTGTCGCCAGTTCTCCATAAACTATTTCTCAACATTTTTCCCGGTCCCGTTTCTGAATTCACTAATTTTATTTGTATTCCCGGCTCGGCTACCGCTCTAAATGGCACTGGTTCCCAATACGTTTGCGACGCCTTCTTCCACATCACTGTGTAAAATCGTCGCGAATTTTGATAGGAGAAGACAAAGCCCACATAATCGTCGTCAATTGGCGTGTTTATAAAGAATGTGCCGTCGAAATCGACCCCATCGAATCTGTCCATGCCTGTAAAAATTATTTTCATTATAATTAAGTAATAAAATTTTAAAAATCTTATTTTTTTCTTATGGCTTACCAACTGCGAGACCGGGATCACTATTCAAAGTTTGTACAATCTCGGACCCATTGTGATGTATCTGCCAGTTGGGATCCGTTTGGGATTCTCCTTCCGGGTCCAGGACGACTCTCGTGTATTGCCGGAAGTCTGTGGTCCAAATGGCACTATTATTCGGACAATTGTCCATACTGTTGATCACTGTGTCATTGTCGTTATCGTTCCAGCAGTCGTCTCCATAAACGTCGTCTGAAAATAGAAAAAAGGATTTAATTTCTATTCTATTCCCTTGAAACTGAAAAAAATCAATAGAAATCTATTTCTATTCTCTATTAATTATTTTCAATTGTGATTTTTGTCGGCTTACTGTGAGTTCGTCTCTGACTGGGATTGTAGACAAAAACGCAATTATCGCGTCCATTTGGAATTCCGTCGCCGTCCATGTCATCGTCACATCTGTCGCCAATTCCATCGTCATCGATGTCTCTCTGATCTGAATTCGAAACGTGAGGACAGTTATCCAAATTATCCTGAATTCCATCCTGATCCTCGTCTCGATCGTTGTCGCAAATATCGCCCACTCCATCATTGTCCGAATCCAATTGACTGGGATTCGCGTATTCCACACAATTATCGCAGGCGTCGCCAATCCCGTCGTTGTCAATATCCTCCTGCTCTCGATTCATCACTCTCGGACAATTGTCCTCGTCATCGAAAATTCCTACACAAAAAAACAATTCAATATAGTTGATCAAATATTAATTAATATCAATCAAATTTTTTTTTGTCTAAATCCGAATGAATTGTGTTATTATTGAATTTGAAACAATTCTACTTTCCCTGACATTATTTATTTGTAAATAAAGAAATTAGGTTTAATTAAATTGTCTAATACCGTCATTATCGCTGTCCTCGTCACAGGCATCACCCCGACGATCATTGTCAGTGTCGGTCTGATTGGCGTTCGGCACCGAGGGACAATTATCGCAAATATCTCCGATTCCATCGCCGTCCTTGTCCTCCTGCTCGGAATTCGCGTGATGCGGACAATTGTCGACTAGATTTCCAATCTGATCATTATCGGCGTCACTGTCGCAAGCGTCGCCCTCGCCATCGTTGTCCACGTCCTCCTGACCACTGTTCGACGTCGTGGGACAATTGTCAGCTCTACATCTTTCCTCATGACACGCCAAATTATAATCCGGATAGCCGTCATTGTCCGTGTCCAATCCACACACGTGTCCATTTCCCGCCCATCCAATGTTGCACTAAAGATAAAATTATTTTTAATTTCTTTCTTTTAGAAACAACAATTTTGTTCATGACAATTTTTTGTTCATTAAAAAGAATTTCCTCCACGAGGAATAGAAAAATAGATTTAATTTTGAAAATAAATGGTAAAGAAAGCGAAAGAATGAAACTAAAAAAATTGACAAAAAGTAGACAAAAAAAGAAAATTGGTAAATTTTCTAGAGAAAAAATAAATTACCCTGCAGATGTATTGATTGACACCGACACATTCGCATTTGGCATGTCCATCACACCTGGTAACCATGTCTTCGCACAATCCAGCGGCCACATGACAGCCGACAGTTTGGTTGCCAATGAAACCTTCTCTGCAAGGTCCGCATCTAACTGACCCCTGAGAAAAGAATCCTTTACACGCCTTCTTAAAAACAATTCCTTCCTTTTTCGTCCTCACTTTTATCAGACAAGTTTTACATTCAAAACAAAATGGAAAATGGAAATTTATCCTTCCAAAGAAAACAATTTTCTAAAGACAACGATTACTTAAAAAATTCTTATTTTCTTATTATTTTGAAAAACAACTTTTTAAAACTTTTAAATCATAAATATTAGTTTTTTTAAAATTTAAATTACAAAAAATGCTTTTATTATTTTTATAACTTTAAAATAGAATATTTTGAAGCAGGTGGGATTTTTTTTTAAATAGAGCAAAAGAGTCATTCAATTTTTTTTGAAATGTTTAAATATAGGAGAAAGAATAGAAAAGATAATATATGTAAATAGAGTGAAATTTTGAAAAGTTCCTTTGGTTAAATAACATCTTCCATGAATTTATAATTAAATTAAAAACTGAAAATTGATCGATTGGCGAGAAATAAAATATAAAATACTTTATCTTTCGAAGATGAAAAGTAAAGGAAGAAAAGGAGGAAGGAAAACGTAAACATGCTTTCTCGTATCGTGCACTAAATATATTCTCAATAGTACAAAAAAAGGATAACTTTCGAAGGAAAGTGTTTGATTTTTATGTGCAAGATTATTATTTTTGTGTTTTTTAAGGTGTGATCGACCAGAAGTAGAAAGATTGACTCGTTCCTGGCTTAGAAGAGTAATCACGGACAATTCACCTCGGAGTCGTAGCAGCGCGAATTTGGTACACAGCCTCCATTTCTTCCATCGTTACAGCTCTCGGTTATTCTCTCGCATATTTGTTTGTTCCTTCGTGCGTCATCCACACTTGAGCCGTGCGGTTGATTTCCTGTGTATCCTTCTGGACATGGACCGCATCTGCAATTTTCACATTTTCTTCCTTTTCTTTTTTTTCTTTTAATAAAAAAATATTTTAGGTCGATTTTTTCTCATTTTTCAAATTCAGAGCTGAATTACAGTAGAAATTATATTCGAATTTTATTTTCGATTCCAAGCGAAATTTTTGACCCAGGGTACAATTTACCACGATTTTTACCTTCGGGGGTTTGAAATGAATAAAGTTGACAGATTAATTAATTTAACAAAATTGAGGGTTAAATATTCGTTACCTGAAGCCGGAGTCGACGTTGTGACACGATGCCAATGGAGAGCAGGGTCTTTCAAGATCGCAAAGATCGAGAGAACAGTGAGTTCCATTGCCGTGCATGGGATGAGGACAAGCGCCACAAGAGAAGTATGGATACGAATCTCTTTGATAACACTTGACAGAAGTGTAACAGGGCTTTAAGTCGCAGCCCGTTCGAACCCTTGAACATTGTCTGCCATCTCCGGTGTATCCTCTTGGACATGGACCACATCTACACAACAATAATATAAATGATTGACAATTATTTCGGGATAGTTGAAATAAATCTTTTTCTTATTTACTATTCAATATAAATAAATAAATAAGTAAATAAATAAATTACCTGAAACCTTCCGGTACATCGTAACATTGAACAACTTCAGAGCAAGGATTATCAGCGCACGAAGGTAATCTGTTGCATCTTCGACCATCTCCACTGTATCTATCTGGACATGAACCGCACTGTGGCTCACCATATTGATTCTTTGCACAACGAACACCAGGATAACAGTAATTTGTGCAAGGATCTATTATTGGTTGCGCTGGAACTAAAAGAATGGAAAACTCATAATTAAAAATATATCCTTCAATTTTTAATTATTATTAATCCGGTAGAAATAATAAGAGAATGTATAATTACCCTTGCAAGCAAGACAAGTGTCCAGAAGATTTCTCACTGCACGTGTTTCTTCCATCTAAAATGAAAAAGAAAATAAGAAATAAGAAGAAGAAAATAAAAATAAAAGATGATAGAAAATAAAAATTCACATTGCAGTAACTATTTCATTTTCACACTAATATTATTATATTTTTGTTATTATTACCTATGTATTATTATTGTTAGTATTACTTTTTTATTTTTATTGCATATTGCATTTACTATTATAGTTTCTTACGTTTATTTTGAGTTCGTCGCGGATTGCAATGACATTTTTCACAAGACGATTTATAACGTCAGCCAATTCTCCATGACCGATACATTCTGAAAACGAAAATAATGAATTACTTAAATTATCAATTAATTAATATTACTTAAAAAATCGAAAAACAAATTTTTGCAAAAAGTTGTGTTTACAATTTTAATAAAATTCTTGTCGAAATTTCAATTATTTTCAAAAATATTCCTCAATTCTACTATTTTAATAAAATTTTCTAAAAGAATTCAATTATTTCAAAAAAAAATGTTAATAAAATTCTACGCAAACATTTAATCATTTTCATAAATAATAAAAATTTCACAAGAATTCAATTATTTAAAGATTTTTTCGCAATAATTAAATTACAATTTTCATAAATAAAGAAATTTTTCATAGGGATTCAAATATTTTCATAAATTATAAAATTCTTTGCAAAAATGTAATTATTCGGAATACAATTTTAATAAAACTTTTTTAAAGATTTCAATACCTAACTTTCAAATGTTTAAATAACATTCTTTATAAAAATTCGATTCTGTATTTTGAATGCAATTTTAATTTAGATTCATTATTTTCGGGCTCTTCAAAAATACTTTACCCAATTTTTTATCTCAGCCCTTTGGTTAAAAAAAAATTACAAAATTTACGAAAAATCGAAATTTTGAAAATTTTATATTTTTCTTTTTTTTTATGGTATTAAGCTTCATTATTTTTGGGCTCTTCAAAAACACTTTGTACAATTTTTTATCTCAGCGCTTTGATTAAAAAACTACTTTTTTGAAATTTGCGAAAAATCGAAATTTTGAAAATTCAACGTTTTTGCTTCTTTTTTATGGCATTTAGCTTCATTATTTTTGGGCTCTTCAAAAACACTTCAACCAATTTTTTATCTCAGCGCTTTGGTTAAAAAACTACTTTTCTGAAATTTGGGAAAAATTGAAATTTTGAAAATTCAACATTTTTGCCTCTTTTTTATGGCATTTAGCTTTATTATTTTTGGGCTCTTTAATTTTTAGCTTAATTTTAATCAAATTTTTAGAAATTAATTTTTTTGAAAAGATTAATTCAATTTTTCTTGTAATTATTTGAAGTTTTTATTTTATAATTTTATATATTTAATTGAAGAATTTCCGAATTTCGTCTGGAAATCAGAGAAAAGTCAGGGAAAAACAATATTAAATTTTTGTGGCAACCCTGATAATTAATTGAATTAATTGAGGCTCCGGATCTTAAAAGGGCACTTTCAGCATTGATTTTAAATGGTAAAAGTGCTCTTTTAAGATGCGGAGCTTCAATTAATTTTATGAGTTTTAAATTTAGTTTTTAAGTTCATAGGAAAAAAAATTAGAAATACCTGATGAGCTGATATAAACAGGAGCAGGAATATCTCCTCTATCCCGACGAACTCGATCAACTTGCGTCGCTTCTTGTTCTTTAAGATCATCGAAAACATCAGTAAGACTTGTAGGACAATTTTCACCCCTTAATATGCTCTCCACATTTCCAGATCTGTGGATTTTTATTCTACATCTTCTGTCCTTGAACTGCAATAGAAAAAAAGATTAATTTTCATTTTTCTTTTAATTCGTCAAACATATTGACTAATTAATAATTATAATAATAATAAATTTTTTCATTTCATAATAATCAAAATATAATAGAAAATATTAATTGAAAATTGCATTCTCTGTCCATAAATAGTCCTCGAAAAATTGTTGTTCATTAAAGGAGTAAAGAAGAATAAATTCTGAAAGTGTTTATATGTATCGCAAATCGGGATGCTGGTCACGGATGCGGGTTAGGCAAGTGCTTATAGGCGGTGTGTGTAGAGAACCTTTGTAACCTTACTGATTGCCATCCATATTTGGCTAGACTTCGTCCCACGAGCAAAGCGTAAACTTATACATATACATCGTATATACATATAAATAAAATTGTTTACTCGCGACAAACAGTAAAGAAAGACGTAAAATTTACCTAATGGTGAAAAAAATTCATCTAAAGTTCCGCGCCGCGAACGCGTAAAATCCAAACTGAAATTTTCAATTTGTCTAAATAATCAGAAGATTTACAGATTATGAGAGTTAGACATGAAATTGAAAATATTTCCTTTAAATTATTCGAATATTCTAATTAATAATAAATATGAAGTTCATTAAGAAAGTAAAATAATAATATATTTCTATAGTTTTGAAATTAAATTTCAAATTAGCGTGGATAAAATAGTTTTTGTATTCGCATTAGTTATGGTTGCAAAATTCGCGATGATCGCAGGTATCACCAGAGAGACCGTGAAATTTTGAATTAATGCGACGACGCTCGGTTTTTATGGAATGCACGTGGGTTAAGTGCCCACACAACCCTTTTTCTAGAACACGGACGAAGGCTACTTTCCATTTTGCTATTATTTTCGTATTATTATCGCTGAAATCAAAACTAAACAATTAACTTTTTCCGATTTTTTATCAAATTCTGCTTATCAAAGTTTAAGAAGAATAAAATCTAAATTTTGAATAAATTATTATTATCAAACCAATTAATAAAATTTATTTTTCTGTTTACGATTACAATTATTATTGCTATTTTAATTATTTTATTTTTATTGTTATTTATATTCTTATTGTCATAATTATTTTCTTTATTGTTTCTTGGAAGCAATGAAGTCCTTCCTTTCTTAGAAGGATTATTTTAATTAATTAATTTATTAATAAACGGGTTTTGGACATTTCTATGTCGAAAAATTTCCGAAAGAATAAAAATTGAAAAGAAAATTGATATTCTCACCACTCGTAGCGTGGACGAATCCTCACGTTCTGACATTTCTTTAATGGTTTTTTTAATGGGAATTTCCCCCTGATAGAGGCAATCAATGTAAATTTCGAGATGCGCCGGATGATTTTGTCGAACAAGCACAACGAGACTTTTGACAGGTTCAATCACGTCCAATGTGTCAATCACCAAATGTTCCGATCGTTGACGACCATTTTCCACCGTTTCGAGAATTACTGTCAAATAAAAAATTATTTATTTTTAAATTATTATTCTCGGACGTTAAATTTCTATACAAAATAAAAAATTCAATTTCAAATTACAATTCAAATATTAAAACACAAGGGAGTAAAAAAAATGTTTCCAAATTTTTAATTCAAGAGAGAAAAATTGAAAAATTGAACAGAAGTTTGTTTTGAATTTTTTTTGTTCTATTGTAGAAGAAAAATGGTGTCATCATACCTCTTTTGGTGTGCCTGTCGAGCATAAGTACAAATTTATTTCTAGACTTGGAGAATTCAGCGGCGAGTAAAATTTCGTCTCCACCTACTTGCTTTTTCTTAGGCCTAATGTGATTTATAGAAATTGCAAAATTATCGTCCTGCAGTGCATTCTCCAGGTGTGTCGTAAGAACTGCAACACAAAACAAAACAATCAAATAATAAAAAACCACTCAACGATGTAATAACAATAAAATTACCTTTTTGTTTAGTAATAAAAATTTATCTAAAGCAAAAAAAAGCTTTATATTTATTTATTAATTTTATTATTTATAATCTATTATTTCAATAATTTTTATAAAATTAAATTAAATTTAAAGGCCTAATTATGTTAAATTGAAGCGTAAAAAATTGTTTTTAAAATATAAGGAAGATGACAATTTATATAATTATAAATTAATTAACTTCGATAATTTCTAAACATCCATAAATTGTGCTTTTGCCTTGCACTTAGTGACGTCGAATGATTTGAAGAAAATTCAGACACGGTACCCTTATAATTAATATGGTAAAATCATTAATTTAAAATATTAATTATCATCATTAATTAAGAAAGTCATTTTATTTTAACAGACTTAATGTTTTTTCAAACAAATTTTATTCAGACAATATTTTATTTATTTCTATTTTATTTACTTCTTTTAGTTTCGAACGAAATCAAACAAATAAAACAATTTAAATGCTTAATTATTAAAATTGATAGTAATAAATAATAATAAAAAATAAGTTATTTACATAATAAAAAATTAAATTTAAATAAATATTTACATATTTTATTAATTAATATAATTAATAATTAAAATAATAATGTAAAAATAATTTATTAAAATTATTATAATTAATTTTTTAAAAGTAATAATAATAATAATAAAAATAATAATTAGAAAAAATTAATTACAATGCAGAAAACTTAAGCATTGTTCAAAATAAATGAATAGTATTTAAAAAAAACAATTGAAAAACAATTTTATTGCTGCAAATCAATAAGAATAATCAAAACAAGAGAAGACGGAGGAAGAAAGTGATCGTTATCTGAGAATGACACTGAAAAGGTGTGGGTGTGAAAATTTATTAGCATTGGATGAATGTCGAGGATCATATTAATGAGTTTATTGACTTTTTCTCTGGACATTATTTTCATATCATATGCAAAATAATTAAATTCTGAAAACTTCAATTAAAAACTTATTTTTTCGTTTTTGAAAACCCCTTTTTTTAAATTTGCCATTTATAAATTATTTTAATATATATTTTATTAATTTATTTCTTAAGGGAATTCTTTCGTAGAAAAAAATTTATTTCCTAACTATTCGCTTTTGCGAATAAATAAATTAATTACAACTGGTAAAATAAATTTTTAAAAATTAAAAAAAAATAGTTTCTTTCTTATTATCTTAAATAATTATTATTAAAAATTATTATTAAAAAAAATAAATAAAAATACCAAAATGAATTCAGCATTCAGTGAAAAAGTAGAAAAAACTATTAATAATACTGATAAATATAAAAAAATCAAACAATTAAAAGAAAAAAATGTATTTGAACAGAATAAACAATATATATAATGTTTTACAAAAGTTTACTGAACTCAAAGTCCAGCTGCAAACTACCGGGGTTTTTGCTGAAACTCAGGACAGGTTTCAGTAATGCAATCGTGTTGCAATGTGTGCAAAACTGTCCTGTTCGATCTTGCATCGACGTGTGATGGACAAACAGTTGACATGCATTTCTACAATTCTACAATATTTACACTTTTCTCTAAAAAAAAAAACAAAAAAAACTAGGTAACACTATACAAACTTACATACAAATATTTTCTCGCGAATAGAATTAATTCGAACTTTTTTATCATGAAAATAAGAAAAGAAAAAAATCTGAAACAAATTCAATTTCATCTTCTATAATTAGAAAAGAATTGAAATTTATTTATTAATCACTTTTTGTAATTATTTTAAATTAGTTTAAATTTTTTTCTTTTTTTCTTAGTTAATATTTTAAATATTTTTTCAATTTTTAATTCGAGATTTAATTTCACTTTGGAAATTCAAATTCTGAAAAAAAAACTGTTTTTAAATGCACGAAATTCCCTCACTCTGATTGAACCGTATATTATTTTTAACTCCTTTATATTGACTGTATCTAATTTATTTTTAATTGAGTAAATAGGCCGCATATAAGAACCGTAAAAACTGTGTCAGTTTTAGTATATAACTTGGAAATCTAAAATAGATAATTGGGAGGGTTTTCTCAGTTCCAAGTAAAAATGATGGTTAAAAATACATTATGTACAATAATATATGTTTCATCGGGACTAGAAAAATATATTCGACATTTTACTGTGAAAAAAAGCGTATCTATTTTTATTTTAAATTATTTAGGTTACTGTGATTTTGCTTTCAGTTTCAAAAAAAAAAAAAACCGAAAGTAATAAAGAGTTCAAAAGCACTATTTTCAAATATATATTTCACAGAAAAAAAATCATCATCTTTCCTATAAATATAAATAACGAAACTTTTCTAAGAGAGTGAAAACGAGAAAGTATTTTCGAGAAATAAATATATGTTAAAAAATTTTGCTATTATTGGGAATTATTTTTACAAAATTTTATAAATATTTTGAAACATTTTGAAGTAAATTTAAAAAATTAAAAAAAGTAAAATTAAAACAAATAAAATCGAAACAAATAAAATTAAAACAAATTAAATTGAAAAATTAAAATTAAAACAAATAAAATTAAAAAATTAAAATTAAAACAAAATTAACAAAAATATTAAATGTAAATTGAAATAAATATTAAAAGTGAATTTAAAAAAACGTTTGGAAAATAAATTAATTAAATTTGAATAATATAGATTTTTTAATTTGAAAAACACGTCAAGAGGAAGGTAAACATTTTCAAAAATGTTCGAAAAGTCGAAAATCTTCCTTAATTAAAAATTCTTAATCAGCATATAATTTCCTACATTAATTTTCAAAAATAGTTTTAAAGTGTAGTTTTCATTTAATGAAAATTTTAAAAAGTAATTTTTGAATTCCAAAAAATAAACTTTACATTTTTAATCAAATTTGAAAGAAAAGAATATAGAATAATATTAATAATGACAGAGGGTTGAAATTAATATAAAATAATATAGAAAGTAAAAAAAGAAACCGAAAATTAAAAAAAAGAGGTAGAAAAATCGATAAAAGAAAAGTTAAGAAACATTCGAAACCGAAGTAACAATAAATCCGATTTTTTGAATTAAATTCAATAAAATAGAAAATCGAATAAAAAACATGAATTGTAAATAAAATAAAAAAAACAAACAAAAACGAAAAATATCAATTTGTACCTTCGTCCGGCGCAATATTGGAACCGGAAAGAGTGATGATCATCCCCAGGAGGGTAAAAGTCGCGATACCTCGCATCGCGACAATTTTTTTTTCGAAAAACTTTTTCTATAAACTAATTAAAAAGTACTATCAATCACAATTTAGAGAACACATAAACACTGCCTTCGTTTTTCTCAATTTCCACTGTCACAAAAAATAATAATCGAAAGAATTTTCTAATTTTGTAATTCTATTAAAAAAAAAGGAAATTTAGATAAAAATTTTGTTTTCCTTTTTTTCGAAAAAATAATAGAGTTGATGAAGATGCACATAAGAATGGTCGAGACGACCATTCACAGGAGCACCGGTCTCACTGAACCACGGAAACGAATCAACGACGTTTTATACGGCGCCCACGGTGTTTCCTATAAGAATTTATTTCTCATTGTATATTGAAGACTTTAGGGGAAAGATGTTGGTATTTTTAATTTTTTTCATTTCGAGTTCGTTTTCACTATTCATTCACAATTGTTTTTGCCTGCAATTATAAACAATTTAAATGCGAATTAGTTCATTTTTTACGTTTAATTAAATATCTAAAAATTAATTACTGGTAAATTTTTAAAATAAAAAAAAACAATGAGATTAAATTATTTTTTATTTTATACATTTTCTGCAGTTCTAAAGGTTCAAAATAATAATAATTTTTATTAAATAAATAAAATAAATAAATAATAATATCAACAATAATAATAAAAACATGAGAATGTAATAATTATTAAATTGAATAATAAATAAAATAATAATAAAATAAAAATATTTGAATCTCGTTATAAAATTTCGAACTAATTTGAATTCTATTTCTGGAATTGAAATTTGGAAATAGTACAAAAAAATTTGCTACTATAAGGAAATTTAAAATGCATCCAGAATTTGTTGAAATTTATCAAAAAGATTTCGAAAAAAATAACTAAAAGTTAGTGAAACTAAATATAATAAAATTAAACAATTATTTATTAAACACGAGAAATTTAACATTTAATTAAGAAAATTAAAATTTCACGGAAATTTAAGAAAAAATGGGGTCAAAATTGAACGCTATAGTGAATAATAAAAAAATGAACTAATTTAAAACCCTCAGATGCATTTAGAAGCAGTAAAATATTTTTTGAAAAAAATTAAATAAATTTACTTTATTTACTATGATTAATTAATTTTATTTATTACTCTATTCGTCTTTTATTTAATTCACAGTTAATTTACGTCGGTGAAGTTCGCAACGTTTATGATCAACGATTGAAAGGAAAAAATTATTTTTCTACCAAAAAGAATAAAATTATTTGTTCATAAATATTTCGTTTATAAATTATTATTCAAAAAACGAACTAAAAAATTTTCTATACAAAGAGTAATAAAAATTTGCGTAAAAAAATATTTTTCTTCTGAAATCATTTATTGTAAACGTTGTGGACTGCACCAACGTGTTGATTTGCAGTCAATTTGATTAATTAACTGCAAAATTCGGAATAAATTTACAAAGTAAAAAACAAAATTGTAGAAAAATTTAATTATTTTAAATAAATAAAAAAATTAAGAATTCCGGAAAAATTTTTTAAAAAATTAAGAATTTCGATAAAGAATAACAAATTGAAATGGAAAAAAGAAAGAAAAATAGTTCGGGAGTAAAAAATAAATAAAATACGAATAAAAGTATTAAGAAAATAAATAAAAGAAAAATGAAAACATAATTAAATATTGGAATTATCCTGAGAAAAACGAGAGGCATTGGAACTGAAATAAACGATCCGAAAGCTCCACTGAACGGCGCTAGTCGGCGATATGTGAAAATTGAATTCTCCGATGGAAGCTTTTTAATTGTTATTCGGCGAATAATTTTTTTCATTATTTTTTTTTAATAATTTTTAGGCGCGGCTTGTTCCACATATACGACCTTGCAACATGTATAACAGTAAACGTATGTACCAGTTTCAATTGAGTGGGAAGTAGTTCCACCTACGAAACGTTTAATTCGTATTTTCGAATCAGAGAACTTCTCTTCTTTCCTGTCTGCACCAGCTAGCAATTTTTTTCTACACGCTTTTATCCCCCTAACACTTATTACTCAATCAATTCGCGATATTGCTAATTATGGAAAGTACACAATCATCATTTCTTTTATTTTCATTTTCCAAAAGTGTAAACAAATCAATAGAAATATTTTAATTACAAAAAAAATACTTTTTTACTGTTTACTTTTCTTTTATTAAAAATGAAAAAAAAAATTAAAAATCATTTTACTACTAAAATTACAAAAAAATTTTAAAGTGTAAATTAAATTTAATTAAATTGACTAATTATAGGCAGTGAAGTATTTTTTTAAATGAACTTATTAATTTAATTCAAATCAACCAAAAAGTACTCACTCTGAACTTTTTAAATTCCCAATCCAGGGTTGAAGATTTATCGTTACGAATATTTTCGGAATTTTCATTTCTCCACTTTTTCTTCTTCTTCTTCTTCTTCTTCTTCTTCTTCTTCTTCTTCATCTTTTTTTAAATAAAATTTATAAATATTATCCGATTTGAAAAATTGACGTATTTGAATTTTTTTCCCGCTGGAAATTATTATAATGAAATCCTTGAAATTTGTTTGGAAAAAGAAAGAACGAAACCTCTGGATTTGTTTTTAAAGAACTGTCGTGTTGTAATTATTTTCTACTGCAAAAGAAAAAAAATTATTTAGAACAAAAAACATTTTTAGAAAAGTATTTTGTTTTTCAGGATTTCTTATATATATATTTTTAGACAATTTTAGAATTGAATTTTTTCGAAATACTCTATTTTTTGTGAAAGAAAAATACTTTTTTATGGGGAAATTCATTTTCCAGATAAAGTTTATAGTTTTTGTGGGGAAAATAAAATAAAAAGTATAAATATACCTTAATTCTTTTTTTAGTGTACGAAAGCAGATGTTGACTTACTCTTTTGAACGTTGCAGATGTCAACACCGAATTCAGTTAATTTAATCTTTTCCGTGGAATTATTTTTGTTCTGGGTCAATGAATTTTTATAACTTTTGAAATTAACACTTTTCTTTCCTTTCCAGGATTCTTGCCGGACATCAGTCGGCAATGCTTTCTTCTCCGTGCTCAATATCCTCTGTGACGTTGGTTCCTGCGTACATTTATTAATTCCAAAAAATTAAGAAAAAAAACTTGAATAAAAAAATTTCTTCTTATTACGTAAAAAATAACTAATTTTCGAAAAACAAAAATACTTTTCCACCAAAAAATCAAGTTTCGGTAAAAATTTTAAGTTACAAAAAATTATTTATTTAAATATTTTTTATTATATGATTCTATTACTTGTATAAAAAAATATAAGTATCAAATCAAGTAGTCAATTTATTACAAATTCTATTTTTTCTTAAATATAAATAAATTAAACTAATCTTCATTCGTAATTAATAAATTAAACTATTATATATAAATAGTGATTAAGTTAGGAATATTCATGAGATCACTTTGAGTATTAAATTTATCGAAAATAATTCGAAGGAACTAAAAAAATCTCTTATTATGACTGTTTTCAGTTTCCTGTCAGCCAAGAAGTTTCACAGAGAGTGAAAGTGGAGTCGCCCTTGTTTCTATGGTGCCCGCTCGAACCGGCGCCTATAATAAATTTAATAGAATATTCTTTTACAGATATTTTTGGCTTTTTATTCCAGAAAAAACAACCAGAAAGCTATATAATCTTCCAGAGGCGAAAAAACAACACTAAAACGATCACAGTCTCAATCGGATACAATTATTTTCAATTCCAAAACAATTAGAATTTGAAGCAAAATAAAAATTCCAAGATGAAAAAATAAATCCAAATCCAAATTTTTTACAAAAATACTTTAAATAGAGAAAGAAAATTAAAGATAAAAATAAAATAACGGAAGAAAATTGATTTAAATAACTAAAAGTATAAAAATGAAAAAGAAAGATAGAAAACAAAATATTTCAATAATTTTATTATTGAAAATCAGAAAAACAATTGAGGAAAGTTTTAATATTTTTAATATTATAACGAAAGTTAGAGGGGTTGAATTATAGAATTCAAATTTACTCGAAGTTATTACTGTAGTTATTTTTTTCAGAAGAAGCGTTAGAGGAAAAACTAATTTTTTTTCTGATCTTTCAACACAAAATCCAAGAGTATTAATTATTAGTTCGCTTTCACGAAACCAAAAGCTTTTACGCTGCATTTCGAGAAATTAAAAATTGCGTAATTAAAATAAAAAATAGAAACTAGTGGATTCTTACCTTTTTTCTCTTACGAATGTTGAAAACTCCATAAACTATGGGATTCATGCAGGAATTCGTGCAAGCGAATAAAAACAAAGCTCTTTGTATTTTCTGATCCACTTTTATCGCAGAACTTCTATCGACCCAGTACCTGTAAAAAATTCAATTTTGTACATATTTTTTACTTTTTCAAATTTTTTATTTAATTTATTTTGAAATTATTCGACTACTTCGATAATTTTATTACTTGATTAATTTTGTTCTACTTTAAAAAAAAGAATTAAACTCAAAATAGAAATAGAAGAAATAATTTTCAATTACATAGAAGAAAATATTTTTTTTTACCACAGACTCATAACGTAATACGGAGTCCAACAAACGAAGAATACAAGAACAATAATTATTGTCATTTTAAGAGTACGAATTCTCGCCCTTCCCAAATATCCCAATGAGGATCGACGAATTTTATCTGAAAAAGAAGGAAAAATTTATTTTCCTATTTATAAGTGTAGAAATGAATTCTAAATAAAAAAAGAACAGAAAAGTTCATTTTTAAAATAGTTAAACAAAGAAAGCAGATTAAAAATTAAATTTAGAAAATAAAAATTTAGAAAAATGTAAATTTAGTAACTAGAGAAGTAGTATAAAAAATACGAAATAAAAATAAAATAACAAGAGAATAAAAGCCGAAAACAAAAGAGATAGTTAAAAAAAGAAAAAAAGTAACAAAGAAACAAGAAAAGAAGAAACATATCAACAATTAACTAATAATTAATATTGAAACTTACACAAATTGTCTACTTTCGAGCTGAGTGTAATTAATCTATTCTTACCAACGTCGGAATCTCGTGAGCGTTTATAAATTTCAATTAAAATACTGGTGTATGTGTAAATGATAACTGTCAGTGGAACCCAATACATCATTAACATTCCAAATAGAGAATAAGTTAATTCATGCGTAGAACTCGGGAACGTATTGAATGTTATGCACTGTTGATACCACGTGAAATTCGGATGATTTTCCACGTGAAATACTATCATCTGTAGAATAACAAAATTTATAGATGATACTTAATAGATTTATTCTTGTATCTAAATTTATATTCATATTTATTCTAAATCAATTTCATAATTATCTGTAAAAAAAAATTAAAATCTTTGTTCTTTTTCTTTGTTAAAAATTAAAATCAATTTTCCCATTACCTGAGGTGTCGAACAAACTACAGAACCCATCCAAGCACCGACAAGCATTATTTTCCCCCTTTTTTGAATATTTCCAAGTTGTAATGGTTTTATTACTGCATAATATCTAAAATTTAATGTAAATAAATAGTTTTTAAATTTATAGAAAAATTCCCTTTTGAAACTTTCGAATTAAATAAAATTTATTCAATCGAAGTTGAAGGGAAACGCTTCCTTTGAAGGAAAAAATTTGCCATTCCTTTCATTTTTAATGAAACAATGTTATTAAAGAAACTAAAATAATTGTTAATAAAATAATAATAATTAATTTACCTGTCGACACTTATGCAAACGAGTATAAAAGACGATAAATACAGGCCAAACATTCGGAAAAAAGCCATTATTCTGCACATCACATCGCCTGCTTGCCATGAGACAGTAATCGCCCAACCGATTTCGAATGGCATCATTAAAAATGTCACCTGATTAATAATTAACAAAAGTATATTAATTTCTTGTGTACAATTTCTTCATATTTATTAATATCACACAATTCGAATAAATATAACGTCTTTTTTTTATCGCGAACCTCGCGAACTTTCCCGAATTTTCCATTTTCCCTTTTTCCCCCTCCACTGAACTTTAAGGTAGAACCGGTAGAACCTCCGAAATGCGACACAATTGACGAGTGACCTTTATACCTTTATTCAAGATCATAAAAGTCTGATAAGTTTTGCCCACGTTTATTACTGGGGAAAATATCAATTATAGGTAGAAAAATTCGTGCAATATAATTTTATTAGTAGAAATACTATCATTTAGTTATTGCATTTATTCTATTTTTTACTTTTTGTCGCGTTTTTTAGCATTCGTGTGAATTCGCCTTAATGACCCTTGTGAAGTATTTGCCTACCCACCCCTGTTTTCTAAGTTGGCAACTCTGTTCAGAGTTTCAGATAACTTTCTTTTGTGCTTCCGGTGCTTTCTTGTGTCATTTTAATAAAAACAAGTAAGCCAAAGAAAAAAAAGAATAAAAACAAGTAAAAATGTGCAGTGTTAATTGTTAAAGAGGAAAAAAGTGTTTATCATTAGTGCCTAACGGAGTAATTTATGACAAATTGAAAGAGAAAAATTCGTCAAAACACGAGATAAATACCTACAAGTAGTCAAGAAACTTGGGTGCAACTTATTTTGTCGGGAGAAGAAAATTTGGAGAAATGGATAAAGAACATAATTCGATTCATCATAGACGAAAAAGCACTTCTTTCGAAGGTAAGATATAAATAATAATTTGCGAAACATACGTTTTAAATATACTTACAAATAAATCTGCAATCGCTAGATGCATCAGCATTGTATTAATTCTCGTCCTGGAAGTTCTGCGTCTTTGACAAATGAGGACCAGAACTGTTATATTTCCTATCGCTGATATTACCATAAGTACACTGTATGTTATGATACTAACGACGTGCCCGTCATTAAATTGCATATCAATCGGAAGATCCATTTCCGTCGAGTATTTTTCGCTATTCGTCAAATTCATCTCCATTTCACTTAAATTCACAATAATCGACATTTTCCCGAGTCACCTAAAATTTTAATTAGCGCAACAAAGTTTATTTTAACAAATTACTTTTAATCGATTCGATTAATTAGTCGTTTATTTTACTATTTACTTTAAAGTTTAAAATATTAGCAGAAATTATCAAAATTAGTAAATTTGCGTAATTTCTCGATAGAAATAAATTTCAATATTATTTATAAATAGAATAGAATTTTCGTAACTGTTAATTAAAATGTGAAAAGTGAAAAAATGTTTAATTGAAATTTAAAAATTATGATTCTATTCAGAAATAATTGTTTCTTTTTTGGGGACGGTCTTTTTTTCTGAATCTGAAAAGAAAAATTGGCACGCATCAAGGTCGCTCCTTAACCGAATAAACGGATTACGAAGTACAATAGTCACGAGTGTCATTTTCATTGTAAATATTTGAACTGAATGGTTTACTTAAGATTCGATTGTGTTCGACGTATGCCATCGAAAATCCGGAAATAATCCATAGAAGATTATATTCGAATAAAATTTCTCGCATTCTCCGCATTTCATTCAAATCAATATTTAATTTCAAATATAATTCCTATAATTCCAATAAACTTTTCAAATTATTTTTATCTCTTTTATTTATATAATATATTGTTCACGAGGTATTTCTCTATGTTTGCTTTCAATTTATTAAAGAAAAAAAATGGTAACAAATATATTTTAGACAAAAAATAATAGAAATTTCCAAATTTTTCAAAAATAATTAGTAATTTTTTTTCATTGGGCTAGAAAAATTCTAGTGATTTTTTTTTATTTCTTGAATGATTGTTTCTTATTAATTTTTTTTTTTTTGAATCGGATGTGTCGTGAAGAAGTATAATTGAATTGCTCATTGAATTATTAGATAATTAAGTGTGACACTGTAGAAATTGAAACAAGTCGGATCGACGACGTGGGTCAAGGAAAGCCAGTATTTTATAGAAAAAAAATTAATCCAATGCACCATAATAAAAGATTCCGTTCATTAAATAAATAATTATTATTAAATTATTATTATAACTCAAAATATTTTTAATTATATTATTATATAAAAATATTTAAAAAATTGTTTAACGAACAAGTAAATAATATTTTACATCTAATTTTTACCACGTAAAAATAATCATTTTGACATTTTAACAATACTTTTGTCATTGTATTTAAAAAAAAAATCGAATTCACTTGATCATTCTATTTAATTCCCCGACCAAATTCTATTAAAATTTTAATTGTATTTTATTATTTAATATTAATAATTATAATTTAATATTCATTAATAACTAGTATTAATTTTAATTGAATTTTTAAAAAATCAAAAAGTAGAAATAAAAAAAATTAAGTGAAGTAAATAATTTTTTTTGTCAAAAAGATCCCAAAAAACTCACCTTTTAGGATTTACGAGAAATTCTTTATCAATCGATAAAAAAATCATCGGTTAGAAAATAAAAATCATAAACTTATTATAAAATCGAAATCTGAAAATAAATAGTGTGAAAAATTATCGAAAAATTGATATAAATTTTCTCGACAACAAATAATTGAGGAGGAAATTAATTGAAATTATTTTAATTTGACTAATTGGACTAATTAAGTTGTTACAGAAATAAATTAAAATAAATAAATTAAAATTGCGTTATTTACGCAATAAAATGGAAAAATTGAGAAAAATGTAGAATTATGAGAGAAATTTATAAATAACCAGTACCTTTTAATACAATGATCATGATAATGAGGTATTATCTTGTAATAATTCAAATTAAGTTGAGTTATTGCTTCAGTATTGATACTTCCTTCACTGCTGATATTAGCCTTTAAATCATTGTGTCATCGACCCTATTATACATAATACACTTTTATTGAAGAAAATTTCTCCTCTGAAAGCAAAATTGATTTTATTCCAATTTTTTTTAATCAAAGTCAGAATTTTGAAAAATCATCCAATATTTTTTTTTTAATCAAAAAATATTTTTAATTTATATCTTTATAAAAAAACCAAAAAATATTTGTTATTTCTCTTAACAATTAATTAAACAAAAAATATTTGTAATTTATAAGTTGTTAAATTTTAAAAGCAAAACACATTTTTTGAAACATTGAAAATTACTTTTTTCTCAATAAAAAAAAAAATTACAAAATTTACGATTCAGTTTTTAGACTGAATTTTAAAATCCAGTGAAATTATTTACTTGAAAAAAGAAAATCTTGAATTTGTTTGCAAAATGATCATGTTTAGAAAAATTTTTTTTATTAATAAAGTGAATTAATTTTTTTCTCTTTGAACAGGGGGTGTGAAAGCTGGGAAAACTTTCGCGGTCAAAAATACGAAACACACTGAAAGGTTTGATGAAAAAGTTTTCATGGAGTTGAAATCAAAACAAGCGCTTGCGCAGCTTTCGGGTTTAATTTCAAATTTTATTCAATAATAAATTACAAATATATTTCAATTAATGATTACAAGATAAACAATAATAGTCTCTATAACATTGTATATCTGAATAAATTTAAAATTTATATTTTAATAAAAATGAAATGAAAGAAAAATTAAAATACATTTTTTTTTTTGAAATTTAAATAGCAAAAATAATAAAATTTTCTCAATTATAAATTTTAAAAAATTTAAATTGTGTAATAACACAATAGTTAAATACAAATTTATAATTTATTTGAATTTAAATTTATTTTAAATAAAAGAAAAAAAAAAAGAAAAAATTTTGAAAAATAATTTTAAAGCAGATAAAAATAGATAGACACAAGTAAAAATAATGTTAATTATGTAAAATAAGAGTAAAATAAGTAATTATAACAGAAATGAGTTAAAAAAGCAATTAGCCACTATTTCTAAAAAAATGATTATAAAATATAACTTAAATAAAAGGTTATCGCCGTTAGACACAACTTTTTAATCTCGAGTTTTGCAAATTTTACAATCAATTTAAAAGAATAAAAAATGTTTTACAATTTTTCCAACTATAAAATTTTTATATTTCAAAATTTTTAAATTTTTTTTCTATTCAATTTTTTTTATTTGAAATTATAACTAATTATAAATATAATTATGATCAAAGATTTTACAATCAATTTAAAAGAATAAAAAATATTTTTTAAATATTTACAACTATAAAATTTTTTAATTTTCTTTATATTCAATTTTTTTCGTTTTCTTTTTATCAAAATTCTGCAAAGTTGAAATTATAATTATAAATATAATTTATTATTAACATAATTATTGTTGAAAATAAATTAAAACTATGAAAAAATGGGGGAATTATTATTATTATTTTTACTATTCTTAATTAAATATTTTTACTATTTAATTCTTAATTAAGGCTTGTCCCTTAAATATCTGTCAAATAAAAAAATTATTATTACTATTATTATTGTTTATTAATATTTTTATTTGTTATTTATTTTCAAAAAATTAACAAAAAAATAGAATATGATTCATGGTGACAAAATACATATAATTTTTGCTCCTAATAAAAAAAAGTACTTGAGGCAACAAAGTTTATTGTCAGATATGTAATTAGCATTCATATTTATTGATAAATCAGACATCTCCTCCCTTATCTGGATCCTCGTTATCAAATGACCTTGAAATTCTAATAGAAATTTTATCGATCATCTTGTGTTTTTATACGAAAACATCGATATAAAACTATAATAATAATACCAACAATATTAATAATCTTCGGACAGCGCACAATCTTATATTTAATTTACTAAAATTTCCGCTGTTAATTTAACTAATTATAGAATTTATTAATTAAAATTTCCCCTATTCATTCATTATACCCTCCTCTTCCCCTACTTATAACTTTTTAATTAATATACAAATTATCTCCTCATTGAAACGAAATTAAAAAAAATTACGAAAACTGAAAATAATTTTAAGCCTTGTCACGTTTTTTTTGAAAATTTTATTTTCTGATTTTCGAAAATTAAAAATTTGATTCAAGAAATATTAATACTTATAATAAAATTTTTATTTAATTTTTAATTATATAGAATTTAATTTTGATTTGATAATTCAATTTTCATTTGATAATTCAATTAGAAATTAAAAAAGGTTTTTAAATAATAAATTTTTAAATAATTAATAAACATTAAAAAAAGTAGTGGTATGATTTATAGTGTGTAAAGAAGAAAATGTGGAAATGTATTGATCAGAATGTGGAAAAAAAACACAGAAAACAAAGTTGATTGAGATATTATCATAAATCAAAAGTACATATACTTGTTATTTTTCTGACACTTTGTCAAAAGGCTCGGAATAAAAGATAAATTTAAAAAATAGTAAATTTTTATTGACAAAATCATTTTCTAATTTTTTTTTTTAATATTTCGACCGTTTATGTTAAATAAATAATGATAAGAAATATCTAATAAATTTATGATTTAATAATTTAAGAAGATTTAAGATTTAAGAATTAAAAGAAGTTTAATTCGGAAATAATAATAATAATAATAATAATAATAATAATAATAATAATAATAATAATAGCTCCCAATATTGTTTAAATAAATAATGATGATATAGTAATAATAATAATAACCCCGAATATTGTTTAAATAAATAATTATAATAACAATAATAATAAAAATTAAAAAGTCACTTTTCGGATCTTGAAGAAAAAATTATTTACAATAAAAAAAAAATTTTTGTCATCAGTTAAAATACAGCGATAACAAAAGAAGGGAGAAATATTCTTATTTCTGTCAACAATGAAAAGAAGACTGAATATAAAAAGTGAGAAAAAAATACAAACAAAAAAAGTAAATGAAAAAACATAAAAAAAAGTTTTTATCTCACCAGTTTTCCAATATAATCCGTGGTCTTTCTTTCTTGACTGTTTTAAAGAAAAAAACGACACTTTTTACACACACGTGAAAAAACAATATTTTTTTCCCCACTTTAACTTTTATACGTACACTAACTGAATTTTTTTTATAAATTAATATAAAAATTTATATTTGTATTTCGATTATAAATGCGCCAATAATGAGTAATTTTCATCACCACAGTGCATAACTAACATAATGATCACAAGCTAAAAGCCTGACAACTGTTTGCAAAGAACGAAAATAAATCAGACTTCGATCGACGACGAGCAAAACATTTTCAATAATTAAATATTTAATGAATAAAAAAAAAGTAGACGGAAAAAAGTTTTCTTTTTTTTTTTTCTTTAATATAAACGATTACAAGAGTAGTTAATCATAAGCGTAACTGACTCACACTCTCTATAAGAATTGTTTAAATTTCTATAAATGCTCGCTTTTTATAACTTAATAGAGAGACAATTCCGATTCCTCGAGACCAATTAAATCATTGAATGATATTTATAAGATCGGTGAGAGAGAGACTGCGGAATCCTCTTGAGACGAACCCTGAACCGGGCACTTGGGACAGTATATCGTAGGTCAAATGTCAATCAGCTTCTGATAGTTTATAAGAGATGATTGTTGATTTTCATATAATTTACACGATTGGAAAAATCAGTCGTTTCAAAATTAAAAAAAAAATAATTATCACGTGTTTTTTAAATCAGGGTTGAAACAGAATTTTTTTTTCATAACTTTTTCCTGATTTACAGACTAAATTTTGAATTTTTCCCTGAACCATAAAAAAAAATTCGGTTCACTCTAAAAATTATTAGATACTTCAAAAAATGCTCTATTGCATTTATTTACCTAAAAGTAAAATTATTCAAAAACATCAATAACTTTATTTTTAAATAAATATTTCATCATTATTATTTTTCCGTAGAAATTAAAATTCTTCAAAATATTCAAACTCAAAACTTTTTGAAATTCAACAACTTATTTATTATAAAACATGAAAATATCGATCACTCCGAGTCGAAGACTCGGAGTAATCAATTTCTTCATGTTTTATAATAAATAAGTTGTTGAATTTCAAAAAGATAAAAAACATTTTTTAAATTTTAAGTTAAAATCTTCCTAAAAATCTTTAAACACAGGCAAAATTTAAGAAATTTTTTTTTAATTAAAAAAAAAATTGTTTACTGGTCCTAAACTATTACTAGAACAATTCCAATTAATATTTGGGTCATAAAAATTAATTCGATTCACAATTCATAAAAAGTAACCACAGCCGATAATCAGCAGAAGATGAAAAACTTTTTGAACGAATTTATTTTCAGTTTACTCTAACAATTTTTAGTCACAAAATTTTTTACTGGTCCTAAACTATTGCTAGAGCAATTCCAATTAATATCTGGGTCACAAAAATTAATTTAATTCACAATTCATAAAAAGTAACCACAGCCGATAATCAGCAGAAGATGAAAAACTATTTTTTGAACGAATTTATCTTCCATTTACTAACAATTCTTAGTCACAAAATTTTTTCCTGGTCCTAAACTATTGCTAGAACAATTTCAATTAACTTTTTATTGCTTAAAATTTTATATAATTTAGGATAATAATTAAAATCTTTCGAGGAATTTAATTAAAATTGCATTCGAAATACAGTATTGAATTTTTATAAAGAATTTTATTTAAATTTTTAAAAATAATTGAATTTCTAAAGAGAATTTTTTTATTTAAGAAAATCATTGAAGAAATGTAAAAAATTTTATTATTTATATCAATAATTGAATTATTGCAAATTATTGTGAAATTTTTATAAATTAAAATTTTTTTTAAATGATTGAATTCTTTTGGTAAACGTTATTAAAATTTATTCAAAATCATTAAATTGAGAAAAAGTTTTTAAACTTTTATTATTTTTTTTTACATTTTTTCTATTAAGAAGAAAATTCGGTTAAAATTTTTTTTGGTGAAAAAAGAATGCGTGAAAAGTGAGAAAAATAAAGAAATAAGAGAGGCTGATGTATAATTTTCGAATACATCATTCGAAGCTGTCACTCATCTGCACTTGTTTTTACACTTGATTCTCATTTTCATCATTTGACCATTTGACCCATTAGCTCGAACCTATTTACTCGGAAATCAAATTGGTAATTATATCGCTTATTTCCCCTTTCAAATTGTTTCAAATTTACCGTTAATATTCACCTGAAGTTTTTCTTTTGTTCTCTAATTTATTTTTCTTTTTCTTTATTGAATGAATTATATTTATTATATTATATTTATTTTAATAATATTTCGTTATTTTGTTATTTTCAATTTTTACCTAATAGTATTAGAAAGCAAAATAGAATTTCGAAAAGTGTGATTTGACAGAAAAGAATTCAGTAAACTTTCGAAAAATCCCGCCTTCGTTTCACATAAGCACCAACCGTTACAATTCCGTTTAATGTACTGCCAACTTCCGGGGAATCACCTGCATTTGCAATTAAAAATTGGGATTTACATATTTAACAATTTGTTGCTTATTTTTTTTTATTAAAACTATTTTGAACTTCTGAATTAAAGAAAGCAATTCCATAAGTTAATAATTATGAAATTAAGAGATAAAAAAATATATCTTAATTTTTCAAAGATTTAATTTAAACTAAGAAAAAGAGAAGATTTAAATTTAGAAAAAATTAAAAACAAATTCCATGAAAGAAAAAGAAATTTTGTTTATATTTTAGAAAATAATTTATTATATATACAATTATTTTAAATATTTTTATGCGAAAAAATTCATTGTTGAAAAAATACAATTTTATATTTTTTAAATTAAAAGAAAATTTTTTAACCCACTTACATGGATCTATGCGACGTAATGCCTACTTTAAGAAACAAGAAGACGCATAATTTATTAATACTTAATACAAATTTATTTGCGTAGAAAATGTGTTAACTAATAAAAAGCATAAATTTGTTTTTCTTTAATTTTTTCAATAAGTGAAAGTTGGTCCTTTTTATCAAAAAGGAATAAACCTCTAAAAGAGATAACACACTGCAAATTTTGCAATTACACTCCAACACTAAGAAAACAGTTTAATTGTTGTTCGCTGTAAGTTTTCGAAATATTTTCTAAAATGTTTGTAGGAAGAAACTAGGCAGTTGAGTTAAATTACAATAGATAAATTTTAGAATTAATGAAATGAATGGATTAAAATTATTCTGTATAGATTGGTTAATAAAAATATGATTTTCTATTCACATCGCTGAAATTTATCGAAATCACTAAATTAATAGTGAAAAATATGATGAATAATATAAGTAAAAGGGTTTTTTTCTTCACATCGCTGTAATTTTTCGAAATAACTATTAATGCTTTGTTTTAGAAAATCGAAATGCATATTAATTACAATTACGTAAAGTAATTGTAAATCATGAGTTAAACTTTGTTTGTACTTACAAAGTGAATAGAAGTGAATTGTCCCAAAGATCGAAAACGAACTTTCAAGAATGAAAATAGTAAGTGTCAAAGTGTAAACATGTAGAATTCAGTAAATCCGTTATTTCGTTTTAAAGATTCTCAATATTAAAAAACTGGTTTACAGAATTATTTTTACTGTTCTGTATTTTACACTTGCAATGAATTATTAATAATCGATATGAAAATATTACGAATTATGATTATAATCTAAATCCTTAAAAGATTTTTCTTATTTTGATCGCTTTAAATTTTCGAATTAACTATTAATCTTAGGAGTGAATTTTTGAGTCACATCTAATAAAACATGAAATTTGTAATTTTTTGCAACAGTGATAAATTTAATGATTCAGTTCTCTTTGGAATGACAATTTTTTAAAATTTTCTTTCGTTGACTAATTATTGATAGACTTACCGAAAATTGAATTATACAATTCATTTTTCGCACTATCCGTCCAAGTGTCATTGTACGTTATTGGAGCCATGAAATTCACCAATTTCTGATGAACAACGTAACGAATTCGTCGGCCTTTTGTTGCACGAGTGTCGATATTCCTCTTCATTTTACTCCTCATGTTTTGCAATTGAGCCCACTGTCTACTGAGTTGAACAGGATCTGTATTCTCGGCACACTTGGACTCAATTACTTCTCGTAATAGTTGCTGATAAAAATCGTCGTCGTCGAAAATTTCTGGATCATAGTCCTGCACGTGCCTTCCGTCCTGATCCATTTCAATGATATTTGCTTTACCCAAAGTTTTGTAATTCGAACGCTTTAGTTGAGTTCTTTTCATAAGTTTCTCTCTATCGTTGAGAACGAATTCTATCTGTTTCAGCACTGATTGGTTTTGTGTACCTTTGTTTGACTTTCCCGATGAAATTTTTGTCTTGTCGTCGAATTTCTGAATTACTGAGTTACGAAATTGTAAAAATTGTTTGTGATTCTGACTGATGATTGTTTCGTAGTCGTTGAGTTTTCTTCGTTTTACGGGCTTCTTGATTTCGGTCTCGGAATCTTCTTCCGAATCTTGAGCTGAATCGTCTTCTGAATTTGACGGAATTTCCTCGTTCATATCCTCATCACTCGTAATTTCTTCATCTTCTTCTGAATTTCGTTTTTTGTCCTTCGAACTAAACCGTTTAATTTCGGAAGTTGTCTCCAAAAAGTTGTTCTGTAATTCCAAGAGATTATCCAAAAGTTTCGAGACTTCGGAAATTGTTTTCGCCTTTAATTCCTTATTTTCCGAATTGGACATGAATGTTTCATGAACATCGTGTTGAGGCATTTCATTGCTAATTGCGAGACACTTTTGCATCAGAATTCTTGTTTTCAGCAATTTCTCCCAGCGTTCCAATTGATTTTTCACACACCTTCCTTTTTCAACTTCAGAATTTAGATTTGTGTCGGAAATAATTTTAATTCCCGTTTCGCCTTGGAATGAATTCTCTTCGTCGGATACTTCTTCTTCTTCTTCTTCTTCATCGTCATCATTTTCTTTGAAATCTTCATCAAAATCCGATTGAGAATCATTGTCAGAATTGTCGGAAGATTCTAAAGGTGATTGAGATTTTTTATCAGAGCCTGATATCGATTCATCGTCCTCGGAAATTAATTCTTCATCAGATAATTCCTCACTTAATTCGTCTTCTGATTCATTGCCAAATGCAGCTTTCCGGGATATTTTTTTACCGGCATATCTGAAAAAATATAATAAAATTAGTTTCTTTGAAAAATTTGTCATAAAATATTGAGGAATTTGTAATTAGAAATTTTAAAAAATTAAAAAGAAATAATTACATTTTAATTTATTAATTAACTATAGCATTCAGATATTCAGTTTATTATTATTATGCAAATTACAACATTTTTTATTAACTAACTTACTAATTAATTTTATCAAATCTATGCAAAAATTAAATTATTATTCTCAAAAATATTTTACTAAAGAATCTTTGCAAAAATTCAATTATATTTAAAACAATTTCACAAAAGACTTCATTTTTTTCTTAATTTGTTATAAAAAATTTCAATAGAATTCAATTATTTTCTAAAATTTGAATAAAATTTAGAATTTATAAAATTAAAATTGAATTTTAAAAACATTTTCCCAATATTTGCATATTTGGAAAATGTTTATATTTTATAAAGTCTTAATAACAAAGTTTTAATTAATTATTAAATCAATAAATATTAATAAAAATAGTATTAATGATAGTTACGAAAAGAATAAAGAATTGTAATCAAGAAAAAACGATATTACCGACAGGGTAAGGTAATAAGGGCATCAATGTTATCGTAGAATAATCAATAAACGACACATACAAACTTCTAGAATTTTGCAAGTGTATGAATCGTATAAATTGCTGTAAGCGTCCAAAGTTTACTAGTGTGACAAATGAAGGAAAATTAAAATTTAATTATTTAATCATCGAGTGAAAATTATATTTGAAAAAAAATGACAGTTACTTGCATAGTGTGTAAGGGAAAAGCAGAAGGAAGACCAGAACTCATGTTTCACAAGTAAGAACCTAACCTCAAAATAAAGAAAATAAGCGTAAAAATAATATGTCAAAAAAACAGTAAAATAATAATTAATAATAATTTTACTAAAAATAGTAAAAATTTTGTCTTTCTTTAAAAAAATAGATTTCCCAAGAATGAAGATTTACGAAAAATTTGGATGAGAAATATGAATATTGAAAGAGAATTATCGAAAAGTTCTCGCCTTTGCTCCATTCATTTTTCTCAAAAATGCTTTAAACCAACTTTTTATACCGGAAATCCACGACTAATTGAAGGTGCAATTCCAACAATTAAAACCTTGGAAGAATTCATAGAATTGGAAACTGAAGACGATATTACAAATATGGAATCAGACGATAATTTCGAAACAATTGAAAACGAAAGTTTAGAAGTAATTTCAAATTTCGAAACAATTGAAAACAAAAGTGAAATTCCTATAATCGAGAATGTTCAATCATTAGAAGAGTGTAATAATTATAGTGAAGGAACAATCGAAACGTTTCAGGAAAAAACAGAAACTTTTGATTATGAGAATCTTGAGGAATTCAGTCCAGACGAATTCAGGTTTGTAGAATTACTTTTTTCCAATAACAGTTTTAGTATAAAAATTAAGAGTAAAAAGAAGAATTGAATTTCATTATAATTTTAGTGAAGTCGAAGAAAAACCTGTCGTCGAGGAAGTACCATTTAGTTATAGAAGAATGACAGTAAGGACATTAAACGAAGAGACATTTAGTAAATTACCGGATAAACAGAAAGTCCTGTATTTTATGGAAGCCAAACAATTGATTGAAAAATTAGATTCAAAAGTGACATCACTTCAACGGAGTAATAATAATTTCAAAAGAAAATCCGAAAATTTACAGACTTTCGTCAAGAGCATGAAGAGCGAAATTAAAAAGAGAAATAAGAATGCAAAGATTGAATGGTAAGTGTAAATTTAAAAATATATTGTATAAATAAATAATATTGTGTTATCATTTTGTAAGAAAAAGTGTAAATTAAACAATTCGTAAATCAAATATAATTGTCTCTTTGAAGTTAATTTTCCCGAACACAACAATTTTTTATGAACGTTTTTAAAAGACTTTTTATCTAAATTTAAATTTTGATTCTAAATCTTGATTTTAAATCTAAATTCTAAAACTGAATAATTATCATTTAAACCAAACGATTTAAACCAACGAAACAAGCATCGTGTCGAGAATTGAAAAAGTGAGGTTATGTTTTTCGCATATTCAACAGTCCGATTGGTAAACAATAAATTATCAATTAGTAAATAAATTTACCTCTCGTCTTCGTCAGCTAAAAGTGGAGCAGTTTTCTTACGAATACTCGATGTTTGATATTCATCTTCGGAAATATCACTGTCGTCACGTTCGACTGTCTTTGCTTTCGTTAATTCATCCTCATCTGAATCGAAATTCGTTTGCTTTGTGGTCATCAATTTATTGATTTCCTCCGTCAAACTTTTCTTCTTTCCTTTTGGCAACATTTTCCTTGAAACATCAAGTGCCAATTTTTGGAAAAGTAGATGATAATATTCTCACAATTAGAAAGAAACTACTTAAAGGGACAACAGTGAAAAGAAGTGAAAATTCACTGACTGCACGTGTCATTTAGCTTAGCAAATTGCCGGTAACCGGAAATGAACGTGACGTCGTCTATTTGACACTTAAAATTATTTTTTTTTTACAAAATATGAATAAATTTTTGTGAAAAAGAATATATTCTCTAATTTTTTAGAATAAATTTAATAAATTAATAAAAAAGGTAATTTTTTTAAATAGTTAATCATTAGTAGGTGTCGCTGTATAAATGGCGGGAAATTTAAAATGTCAAATGTATAATTTTATAAAAGTTTGTCTCAAGTATTTACTATTATTAATTGAATTTTACTAAAACACAGAACAAAAAATTTCTTTTCAGAAATGGAACTGTAAAGAAATTTTTTGTTTAGTTTTTTTAGTAATTTTTTAGTTATTTATTTAAAACGACAAATAAAATCGATAATTTGTTAAAATTTCATGCGACATCTACAGTGTGAAAGTTAAACTTTAGTACAAATGAGATGTCAACATGTCGTCGTCGCTTTCTTTTTCCTCTTGATATTTATTATTTTTATTTGTATAAAAAAGTGACATGTTTGACTTAAATTTATTGTCTCGAAAATTTTTGTAATTATGTCAACTTCACAAGGTTTTGGTTCTTTGTGTGAAATTATTCATTTGAACGTCGGTGGAACAAGGTAAAAAAAATCAGATCGATTTCCTTCCCTTGTGTATTATTACCCTTCTTTTTAAATATTTAATATTAGTTTCTCCTCCCTTTGGTATTGCTACAATTTATTTTTGCACAATTCCACATTATTCGAAGTTGTCTACATATTTTATTTTATTTTTTTTTTATTTATTTAAAAAGAAATCGAGAAATAGATATTTTTACTATGACAGCTGTTTTCTTGAAAATTTGTTTACTTTTTTATGACAATAAAAATTGATGATTGAATGAAGAATAGCAATAATTGATAAATAGAATAAGGAAATTTATTGTTTAATTGTTCAACACTTGGAAATTAAACTTGTTTTTAAGTATCAAAAATGATACAATTTTTTTGTTATCGAAATTTTTAGTAATAATTTTTTGTTTGTTTTTCTTTTCTTTATTTAATAATTTTTCTTTTTCAAGATTTTCGACATCACGTCAAACTCTATCGTGGATTCCGGATTCATTTTTCACCGCTCTGTTGAGCAACAGGATCGCGAGTCGTCGAGACGAGAATGGAGCACTTTTCATTGATCGCGATCCAAAAGTATTTTCAATTATACTCAATTATTTAAGAACAAAGGACATTGACTTGAAAAATATTGATATTCGTGCATTGAGACACGAGGCAGAATATTATGGTATTACTCCTCTCGTCAAGAGATTAATGCTCTGCGAAGATTTGTCGCAATCCTCCTGTGGTGATGTTTTATTTTATGGCTATTTGCCACCTCCAAGTGAGTATTTTTTATTTCTTTTTTTTATTTATTTGTTCTTTTATTTTATTATTCTATTTTATTAGAAAATATTTTATTATAAATAAATAATACCGAAAATCTTCGGTACTTTTGAATAAGAAACTTTTTTGGTACTTTTTGAATGAAAGAATTGAATTTAGTTGCAAAGCGAAGTAATGATTGAAAGAGTTAAAATTTTTATAGATTAAAATTTTTCTTCATTTGAAAATTTATTTTTAAAATTGCAGATGTTCCTCTACAAGAGCCAGCAAGCGTTTCAGCGAGCATAAGTGATGTTTCTATTCATGGGAGACCTGCAGGTGCTCCTCAAGTTCCTCGGACGGAAGCTGCGACTTCCACGACAGCTGCAGCTCCACAATCCTCGGGATCGTCCTCTAATTCTTCTAATCAGCCCAGCAACTCCAACAGTTAATACTTTTTGATTTTTAATATTTTTCCATCTTTTTTCTCTACTGAAAACTCTTAATTAATTAATTACTTGTCAATATTTGAAAAAAATAGGCAATAATAATAAAATAAATTATAATTAATTATAAACAATTAAATTTTAACTTATTAAATTTAGTTAATTGTAATTTAGTTACTAAATAATTTAATTTACGCTTTTTTGTCATTTAGATCAACAAAATCACAGAGCGTCGTTACCAACTCATGCTCGGAATTCGTCACTGGATTATCGGGTTTCCAGAGGTGTTCCACATTCACGAACGCCTTCGCTTGACCTTCGACATGCTCGGAACAGTTCTGCAGATTTGAACAAGGTTTTCAAGAACGATATCAGCCTTGTCTTTGGGCCTCAACAAGGTAATGGATCAACTTTCGTTTACGCAGCTGAATTAAATATTTTATACAATATAATTCTGCTTTTGAATAAATTTGTAAATAAATGTAATAGAACATTTTTTTGAGTACATATTTAATAATTTTTAGAGTAAATCAAAAAGGGATTTAGGGTCAGGGAAGAAGTCGAAATTTAGTCTGTAAATCAGGGAAAATTCAGGAAAAGCAAAATGAAATTTTTGTGACGAAACCTGATAATTATACTACTAAGTGCAAACAAGAAGAGAGTTATTATTTATTCAGAAAATAAATAATAATATTATTAATTGAAATAGTTTCAGGTTGGGTTGATCCTTTACGTGTACAAATAATAAAGGCGCATCACAATTGGATTGTGATTGCGTACGCTCATTTTATCACTTGTTATCGCCTCAAGGATTCTTCAGGCTGGCAGCATGCATTCACCAGTCCTCATATTGAATTTATCATCGAACGTGTGGCAATTAATGCAAAAATTAGTGGCGCCGATGGAAAAATGGTGGCAATTTCGTTTGGCAGTCAAGTGCGTCTTTGGAGTGTGTCAGAGGGTGGAATTAAAACGAACGTTGGCACATTCAATTTAAATGTGCGCGTTGAATATCTTTTCTTTATTGGCAGCCAATTGGTGGCACTATCGCCAACTGGAAAAATTGGCGTTTGGCACGCAATGACACATCATTGGCAAATTCAAGATGTCGTGCCAATATCGTCCTTCGACACGGCTGGTTCTTTTCTTCTTTTGGGCTGTAATAATGGCTCTATTTATTATATTGGTGAGCTTTCGATTTTATTATTATCTATATCTATATTTCAATTTTATCATAAAAATAAAAAAAATTAGTAATTTTAAATCTAAAATTTAAAAGTTCAAATATTTTTATACCTATATAGAAATGAAAATATTGATACCTAATAATCATTTTCATTCTACTTCCCTAGTAGCACGTAATGTTCCAGTAACATTGGCAACATTAAATAAGTAAAGTGTTTTTGAAGAGCCCAAAAATAATAAAGCTAAATGCAGTAAAAGAGAAGAAAAAATGTTGAATTTTAAGAAATTCAGTTTTTTGAATTTTTGCTAATTTTCCATAATTTTAGATTTTTTACCAAAGGGTGGAGACTATTAAATAAGTAAAGTATTTTTGAAGAGCACAAAAATAATGAAGCTAAATGCAATAAAAAAGAAGGAAAAATGTTGAATTTTAAGAAATTCAGTTTTTTGAATTTTTGCTAATTTATCATAATTTTAGATTTTTTACGAAAGGGTGGAGATAACAAATTAAGTAAAGTATTTTTAAAGAGCACAAAAATAATAAAGCTAAATCCTATGAAAGAGAGGAAAAAATGTTGAATTTTAAAAAAATCGGTTTTTCGAATTTTTGGTAATTTTTAATAATTTTAAATTTTTAACCAAAGGACATAGATAAAAAAATTGGGTAAAGTGTTCTTGAAGAGCCCAAAAATAATGAAGCTAAATGCAGTAAATAAAAAGAAAAAATGCTGAATTTTAAGAAATTTGGTTTTTCGAATTTTTGAACATTTTTAATAATTTTTGATTCTTTGCTAAAGGGGGACACTATTCAAATAGTAATATTTTCCTACCGAAATAGCTAATGGTAACTTATTATTATTTTTTTCCGGTCAAATTAAAATAATAAAATAAAAATAAAATAATAGTAATTATTTAATGTCGCTAATTTTTTTAGATATGCAAAAATTTCCCCTGAGAATGAAAGACAACGATTTATTGGTCACGGAATTGTACAGAGATCCGAGTCACGATCCAATCACGGCAATTTCGGTGTATCTCACCCCAAAAACAAGTGAGTTAAAATTTATTTAGTGCAAACTTGCTTTTTAATTATTAAAAACTCGAAGGCTAGAAAATTTATTTATTGCAAAAAATGGAAATTTTTTGGAAAAAAAGAAAAATAGATTTTTTACTACGACAAACTTTTAAAATTTATTTTACGGATTTTGTACGATTTATTCAAAATTATGAAAATTTTATTTCAATATTAGTCCTCTATTTTTTCAGTTTCTTTTAGTTTTTTGAAAAATGATTTGAAAATGATTTAAAAATTTTTTTAAGCTGTAAGTTTTGATTTGAATATAAAAAATATCTAAATATTCAAAGTCTCGAGTTTTTAGTGTATAAGATTTATTTTTAACTTTATTGAACAGCTATATAATAAGAATGCGGATAATTGAAAAAGGAAAATTGAATCACTGATCATTAACATTTTTCACGCCTTGAATCATCATTTTTTCGCTCATTAATTAGTTTTTTGAGAAAATAATTTCAGATTCATTTTCATTCTCTCAGAGATCAATTATTTTTTTTGTGGGTTTTTTTTTCTCTCCGAAATAAATGAAAACTTAATGATACATTTTTTATTTTTGCTTCTTGAAATTCGTACCGTACAACTGGATACATAGCGCAAGGCAAGTATGGGTTAATAATAATAATACCTTTATCATTTTTTTAGTCTCAACAAACAATCATCACAGTCATTGATTCACGCAATTGTTTATCTTGCATCGCATCTCGTTCGCATTTTTTATATTATCTACATATAAACGTTGTTGCATTTGCGTTTGTAGTTACACTTTTCGTTTCTCCCCGAGAAAATGGGATGTCAATTTTGTTTTCTTAATTTTAATAAACAAAATAAAAGAAAAAATAAATAAAATTAATAAAATTAATTTGAATTAATTTAATAAACTTTGATTTAAAACATATTTTTCCAAGAGAATTTTAAAAGTATAAAATTTTACCTTTTTCTCAGTTTAATTATTAATATTCATATTTATATGAAAACAATTTGACTTTCTAATTTTTAATTATTTGATAATTAAAAATATTTTGAGTATGAATGAATATGAATTTGAATTAAATTTTATCAATTTCCCTTTAGAATTTTGAAATTAAATTCATAATAAATATTATGATTAAAATCAAGAAAGAAGAGATAATTTTTCAAAAATTTGTCCATTTATAGAAATCAATTAAAAACTTGAGTTAAAATTAAATAATTGACAGTCTAATTTCTCTTTTCATAACCACGTGTGACTATTATCGTATTAATGTATATTGTGTACTAGAATTTCGAAAATAATTTTCCTTTGCAATCGACAATGGCTTTTTAGATTTTTAAATTGAAAATTAGAAAAAAATTCCCTAAAATAAAGGGGAAAGAAATTTTATGTGCAATTAGAAGAAAATTTGTTTATTAAACTAGTGAATTATAAATTAATTAATTAATTAGAGATTGTGGAATTGAGATGTGTGATATAATTCCTTAATTTTTCAGGCACTTGAATATTAAATTCTATAGCAAAATGCACCCTGCTATCCTCATGTGTCCAGTTGTACTAATGCAAAAATTATGCATTTTATATTTAAGTTCAATGAACGTTAATTATATGATTCTCTTTTTTTTTGTATATTTATAAAAAAAAAATTCTTTGAATTGGTTCGATTATTAGAGCTGCCTGCTTGCTCTCCCTATTCATAGTATTATGTTCCATGCCAGCATCTGAGAGGGGGAGGGAAGGTAACAGAAAAACAATTGTATTTATTGATCCTTTAAATTATTAAGTGAAAAAAAATGTTCAAATATTTTTACTATTTTTTATTATTAAAACTATTAAAACTATTTTTCAATATAAATTTTCTTCCTTTTTAAATATTTTTTTCCAAAAATTTATTATTTTTATATCAATAATAGGATTAATTATTATTTGCGAAAATTTTAATGACGATTTATTTAAAATTTTTAAAAGAAACATTCAATGATAAATTTATAAATTTATTTCTTATGAATTTTCGCCTGCAAGGACGAGATTTTTTTATGCCTTAGAGAGCTTTAGTCGCTTTTTAAAAATATTTGTTTTTATTCAATGTTATTACGTCGCATGAATTTATTATTCTTTTCGTAATAAGAAAAATTCTATTTTTGTTGCATGTTACTTAAATTGAACGTCATTTCATAAAAATCATTCATTCACATCATTCTTCATTTTAAATTCATTATATTGTTAACTATTATATTATAATTAATTAATTACAATCATTGCTATTGTAACTCATAATTTAAAATGTTATTATAATTGAATAAAGTTAGTTGAAAAAATGAAATAAGATAAAAAAATATCGAGAAAATAATTTATATTTTATAATTACAGTTATTAATAAATTTTTTTTATTTACTGTTTTAATTGTTTGATAAACGTATCAAAATAACTGAGTAATTATTTGATTCGTTTATTTAATAAATTACTGATTAATTAATTGCTTGGCCGACTAAGTACCTGTACCTTTTAATTAATTGGTATTCAAGTCAAATTGCACGTTTTATTATTTTTTTTATAAAAATATGAATATTTAGTAGAAAACTTGTGAGACTGTGTTGAAAAAGATTTTTAGTTTATAATTAGAAAAATAACTTTTACTCCTCAATTTCACAGGTTTGTGTGGAAATTGGATCGAAATTGCTTACGGAACAAAATCTGGAAGTGTAAGAGTAATCGTTCAGCATCCGGAAACCGTGGGACATGGACCACAACTTTTTCAAACTTTCACGGTCCATCAAAGCAGCGTTACCAAGGTTGAAATAAATATAATTTCGATATAAACAGTAATTCTAATCAATTTTTCAAAGAGAATATTTATTTAATTATTAACGAGCAAATATAATTAAATAATTTCGGCAATATTTATTGCCGAAAGTTTATTTTCGGCATTATATTTTAGTTTCTGTTTTTATATTAATTTTCTATTTTTTTCAAATTTATCTTTTTAATTCTTTTTCATTAATTATTTGCTTCTCTTTCTATATTTTTATTTTTTCTATTTCTATATTTTCTTTCCTGATTTCTTTAATTTTGTGTTAAAAATTTGTAATTTTGTATTTTTATTTGAATTTGAAGTAAAAATTCTTTAATTTTATGTTAAAAATTTGTAATTTTGTATTTTATTTGAATTCGAAGTAAAAATTATTATTTATATTGAGTTGAAAAAAGGGAAAATTAGTAAAATGTAAAATTCTCTGATATTAATTTTCTTCCCAACAGGTAACTCTGTCCGAAAAATATTTAGTGTCCGTTTGCTCGGAATATAATCACGTACGAAGTTGGGCAGTGACAAGATTTCGTGGTATGATTTCAACTCAACCCGGTTCCATGCCCGAAGCAAGTTTCAAAATCGTTTCTTTGGACGCCATCGATCCCTGCATTAGTTACAATGCTGGCAATGATTTCGGTAATTAACTAACTAAATAAAAAAAATTCACAATTCGACGAAGTAATTAATTACTCGATTAAAATTAAATTAAATTATTTTTACATTACTATATTTAAAATTTGAATACGAAATGTCGAGTGTATAAGTTTGATTGAAGATTATAAAGGAAATATATTTTTTATGCATGTATTGAAATTAAATTGAAATTTCAGGTCCATTTGGTGAGCAAGATGACGAGCAGGTTTTCGTCCAGAAAGTTGTTCCCGAAACGGATCAATTGTTCGTACGATTGGCATCTAATGGAAAAAGAGTCTGTGTGATACAATCGGTGGATGGGAGTGTGATATCTTCTTTTTGCGTTCACGAATGTGAAGGTTCCAGTCGAATGGGCTCCAGGCCACGACGATTTATTTTCACCGGTCATTCTAACGGCGCTATTCAAATGTGGGACCTTACAACCGCCCTCGATCCCTCTTTCAATGCCGTTCCCGGTTTGTCACATTTTTCTTCTTCTTCTTCTTCTTCTTTCGAAATAACAATAAAAAAAGCAACTCATTTCAATATTTAATTTTCATTCTCAAACTACATTTTACATTCTTTTTTCAATTTTTATTTAAATACATTTCCATTTAAATAAATTTCCATTATATGGAATTTTTCTTCAGTCAAAATTATATCGAACTAAATTTTTATTCTGTTAAATATTTATTCCAAAGAATTTTCGTTTAATCGAATGTTTATTTAGTTAAAAATTCATTTAGTCAAATATTTATTTTATTAAGTTTTTATTTACTTAAATTTTAAATTAGTTTATTTTTATTAGTTAAATTTCCTTTCTAAGGAATTTTTATTCAGTCAAAATTATATCGAACTAAATTTTTATTCTGTTAAATATTCATTCTGGTGAATTTTCATTTAATCGAATGAATTTTTAGAAAAAAATTCATTTAGTTACATTATTGTGATTTTTTCTTTATTTAAATTTTTAGAGAGTAAACATTTTAGTTATAGTTAAATTTTTAGACAATAAAAATTGCAGTTATAATTAATTTTTTAGACAGCAAAAAATTCCTTTTAATTAAATATTTGTATCACCAAATTAATGAGCATTAAAATGAAATTTGCCTTTTAGATAAAGAATTTTCGGGCGGACCAACACCAGAGGAGTTGTGGAAACTTTTGGATCAGTGCGATTTAAGTAACAGCTATTGTTCCACCCCGTGCATTAGTCCCTGTCCATCGATGGCGGCAACTGGACCGAGAATTAAGGCAAGCAACGTTTTATTTCTCAATCAATCTCAAAATGTTGAACCTTCTCCGAGTCTGAGTCAAACTTAGAATGAAATTCACAATCAATGAAAGAAATTCTCAATTTATTTTCTTTATTACCACTTGAAAAATTGCTCACGATCTGAATTTTTAGTATTTTAAGATTATTAAATTTTTTGCATTTATTAGCAAATAATTTTCTATTTACTAGAATATTTTTTTCAGTTTTTTCAGTATTTATTGTTTCTCTTTTTGAGTCGAAAGTTACTGAGAGATTATTTTCTTAAAAGTAAATATTTTATTAATAATTATTAACTGTAGTAAATTGATATTTTTTCGTTAATAGTATTATTGTATGATGGTAATAATTAAGACAAGAAAAATTATAATAATGTAATAATTACATTACGTATTGATTATAATTATATTAGTTATATTTTTGTACAATAGTATTATTAACAGATAGTTAATTGTTTTTGTATATATTTTTAGTTCTTTCGACATTGAATTTTTTCTATTTATTCCTCTAGAGTTTCAATGATTTAATAATTAGTTGTTCGTTGATTTCAATACTTAATTAATTAGTTGTAAAATTATTAGATATTATTATTTTGTAAATTCAAGCAAAAATGAGAAAAAAAGATTGATATTAATAAGAGAAGAGAAAATATTTATCTCGAAAAAAAATTCTTTGTCCAAATTTTATGTCTTTGAGACCAGGAAAAATTAGTCGAATTTATAATTATAATTGTAAAGTGCAATTTATGGTTTTCTGTTGAGAATGAATGGAAACTGTTAATTTTATATTTTCTTTATTCGCATTTTAATAATTTTATTTAGAACTTTTTTACGGCATTTTCTAATGAAATAATTAAATTTCCCTTCTTTTTTTTGTAAGGGGTTAAGGAAGGTTCTATTAATTTTATTTATTAAATGTGATTTTTTGATGGGGGGGGGGGATTTAAAATATGAGAAAAAAAATTAATAATTCTTCTGGTGATAATAATTAGGGAAGAAAAATGAAACAGTTGTTATTTGTAAGAACTCTTATATTTTTGTTACGTTCGAATGTGTGATTATAAATATTTTAAATCGTAACGACGTTGTAATAACTGTTTTTCTCTGTGATCTGAATTATTATCAATAAATGCGCAGATTCTTAAGAGTTAAAAATTAACAGCTTTCAGTGTCATATTATTTCAGAATCTTTATAATTTCAGAATATGTTTAGTTTGATATTTAGTTTTAGGAAAAAATTTGTTTTTCAATTTTAAATAATTTTTTTGAAAATTCTCCCCTTATTGCATTATTGGTAGAATTTTAGAAAAATTTAATTACTTAATAGTATTTAAATATTATTAATATTCAAGTTTAATTTTGTTAATAATTTTTAATTATTTTATATTTTACAATAAAAATTTGTAATTGTTAAAAATTTATTAATAATATTCAAATAATATTTTTTGACTATTTACATTTAAAGTAATTGAAAAATTGCAAAATTGGCCAACAATTTTCTTTTTTAGGAGAGGAAAATTTTCTGAAAATTGATTAAATTTGTTAATTATGTTATTTAGTAAGTAATGACTAGTTTTTACCACAAATACGGAACAATTTCATGTTGGAAATTTCAAATAGAATTCGACAACGCTTTCTTTTTGCATACAAAAGGAGTAGTTTTCTATTTGAAATTTTTACAATCGAGTATATAATATTCTATCACAAACGTCAATGTTTTTTTAATGGCAGAGGTTCTTGGCATTTCAACATAACTACAAGTGATCGAATTCATTTCGATTCTGAGGCACAACGGTGATTTTACATTAATTTATAATTTTATAAATACAATTGCTAAATTTTCTCCTCTATATTTCAGTTTTCTAAGGAATTTTCTTTTGTCTTTCCTCGAAATAATTATTTATTAAACGAAAAAATTTCGTTATTTGCGACTATTTTTTAGAATTTGAGAAACATCGTTGTTTCTTGATTAACAAATTTTCTTAATTAAAAAATTCTTGTAAAGAATTCTTCTTAAGAATTCTTCTAAAGAATACTTCTAAAAATTTTTGTCTATTTAAAGAATTTTTAAAAATAAAAAAATGATTTCTAATTAAAGAATTCTAATTTCTTTTGTCGAATTGTCATTTCATGATCAAGAAATTCTAAATTACGGAAAAGAAATGAATATACTATTTCATTAACTTAACAGAAAGGGTTTCACTCTACAAAGTAATAATTAAAAAAATGCAAAACTCTTTGATCCTAAATATGCTTCGTTGGTAAAAATAGTCAGTCGATTAATTAGTCTAATAAAAAAAATTAATAATTAAAAATTGTAATTATTACAAAAATTATTAAGTGAACTTTTAGATTTCACATAATTTTTTATCAACTACAAAAATGTTTTCTTCAAAATTAAAAAAAGTGAGTGAAATTTTTTTTCAGTATTTTTGTAATTGAAAAGAAAATTACGAGTATTATTCTATTAAAATAATAATTTCTCATTTTGAAAAATACGAGTGCGATAAAAGTATTTTTCAAACGAGTTGTTTGTGCCAAAATAAATTATTACTAAAAAAAGATGGATTCGTCATTGGCGTTAAGAAGAAACACCAGGCAATGAGTCCTAGAACAAATAAGGACATAAGTCCTGCTCGTTTCCATGGACCCTCGTAAGTTGCGACTTCCGATAAATCCGGAAATCCCATGTGATTGCAGAACGAATGGGCGGCGAACGGCGCCACAAAGTGTCCTTAAAAAAAATGCACGAAAAGATTATTTATAAATATCACGCATTTTAATAGAAATAAATAAGTTAACGCCAAAATTGTTCAAAAAGAAAATAGCGTTTTTTGATAAGTGTATTTAGTTATATTTAATATGAAATTAATTATTTAATTAAATAAATAATTATTAGTAAATTAAAATTTAATTAAGAAATTATTTATTAGTTATTTAATTACTAAAAAATTTACCGGTTTTAAAGAAGAGGAATGCGGCGTAAGCGCCAAAAAGTGTTGTGTACGAAAATTGGAAACCTGTTGGAAAAAAATTTGTTAGAATTTTTTTTCGACTATAAAAAATGAATATTAAATTAAATAATAAAAAATGAATATTATAAATGAACTTACAGGATACGATGAGGGCGTGTTTGACTTCCATTCCCATTTTTATTCTCTCGTGAACGTGATGAAAATGTGCGACTCCAAAAAATAATGGACATATGAAAATTGCCGTCGTTGGGGAAAAACACTGCAAAAGCAGTGGGAGCATACACGCCCTAAAAGTCCATTCTTCTGAAAGGGGAGCGATCACTTGATTCCTCCACCAAATTAACGTCCTCGCACTTCCCAACCAGTACATTGGCTCTAATTAGCAGAAATTTTAATTATTATTAATATCAAACTACAAAAATTATAGTGAACTATTAATTTATTTTTATTTTAAAAAAGGAAAAAAATCAGACTAAATATAATAGAAAAATTAATAAATTAATAATAATAGGTAATTAATTCAATAATAATATTTTTTTTTATTTCCTTTTTTGTACTTGTGATGAGAAATTAGGTCAGAATAAAAACCTGCGTATAATTTCCAAATTCCATTAATGACTTGCAAGCTGAGCGGTCCTAAAAATAAAATCATCGTGAGACACAGAGGCAGAATGATTGCTTGAATAAAACCAGGCCATCTCAGACCCAATAATTCCCATATCGTTGCCTATAAAAAAATTCCAAACAGTTAAGTTTAAAAAAAAATATGTACAATTAATAAATTCAATATAAGAAATAAAAATAATAATAATAACAATAATATTAATAATAATAATAATAATATTAATTAATTAATCAATTCTCGTATTACCGATTGAAAAACTTTTTCACTTAGGCCAAAGTACAGTGAGGCTGGAGAAATTAGTGTCATAACAAAACAACTAAAAAATCGTTTCTTTATTGTGCTTGGATGCTCCCTGAAAAAGAAATTAATTTTAATTTTCCCTATTCATTAATTTATTTTATTTATTTTCATAAATTATTTTTAAAACAGTGTAAGAATTAGTAAAAATACAACAAAGGTTTATTGTTTTCTTGATAAAAAAACAAATACCTGCGAAAAATTATTTTCCATTAAAAAATTTCCGAATTTTGGTAAATTTTCCATTTTCCCGTGAAAGAAAATTCTTTTTTTTAAAAAAGATTTGTGCACACTCATGTGAAGGATATAGTGAAAGTTGTGAATAGTATTCATAGTAACATAGTACAACTACACTTGAAATTGACCAATCAGCAGTCATTCATGTCTCTCACATGAATTAAATGATCGTACCCAGAGCCGTACTTACAAAAACGTTATCCCGAGGCATTTTATCCTGTGCACAATTATTCTACTTCTTTTTTTTTTTGTATTTTTTGCCAAATATTGTTAAAATTATTAAAATTTCTTCTAAATTAAATTTTATGAATAAACAAATTTTTCGATTTCAAATAATATCAGTTTAAGTATTAAATTCATGAAAATTTAATCCCTAACCTAGACTTCAGATTTGAATGATTTAGATTTTTTATATCTAAGAAATATTTAATTATAAAAAAAAATTTTTTTGTACTAATGTAAATCAGATTTTATATTATTAATTAAAAGAAATAATTTTTATTAAGAGAGAAAATCTTAGAGGGCGGCACATGGTTCCTAACCTCAAATCGGCAGATCGTCGGTGATCACCGTGATCACTAACTTGGAGAGAGGGGGAAAGAACAGGTTTCGTCCAATAACACTTTTATGGGTTTAAAATTTGACTCGCTGTTGCGTACACCCCTGGGGTTATGTATATGTGAGTTTCTGTGTTCCATGGGAAGATCGCGGTGCAGCGTTGCCGAGTTTCGGCATTTCGATGTGGGCAGGAAATATGTGTGTGTAGTGTAAGGGAAACGTGCGTGGCGGAATCGCGGAGAGATAATCAACTCCGAAAAGCGGAGCACTGTTTGGAGCTGTGGGAGAAGAGCATACCTGTTGTGTTGTGAATTCCAAACGTACAAGCTGGCCACGTAAACAACAGAGAGAACGAGACACGAGCTGATCGCGGAAATACATGGTAAATAGGAATTTCTGTTGTCCGCGGTCTCCATAACTCCATACTGACATCGATCCCCTTACTTGTGTCGCGTTCCAATTTTACGGTGAAGCGGGGCACCGGGGCGAGGGGCCCCGCCCAGGAGCGTATACTATCTAAGCGTGAAATATTAACCCTTTTCTCTCTCTCGAAAAAAAAATGAATTTTATCATAGAGCCTTCTAATCTTTTGAGGTATGTTTATATTTATTAATTCTTGATAATCAAATTACTGGTGTTTTATATCGTGGAAACAAATCTTGATAACCGTTACGATTTACAAAGAACTTGACATACCGATACGCCGATACCATAAAACCGTAATTAGTAGCGTTACGTCTAGTTCTTTTGTTGCAAATTTTTTCCGATTTTTCTATTTTATCAATTTTTTGATAAATTAATCATCAGTTTTGTTTCCTGAAAATTTGTATTCTTTTGTGTGCATTTTTATCACTATCTCTGTAAACTGGGATCATCTTTCAAGAAATATTCTTAGAAAAAAGTGACAGCTGATAAAAGTCAGAATTTTTTATCTTAACCTATAAAAAGCCAATTCTATTAACGATCGTGATAAAACCTATAAAACCTTCTTTACATCAAATAAAAACTCTTCAATAATTAAACCAATAATTTTAATTATAAATTATATTTTTAATTCTGGTAATTCAAATATTTGTTTTTGATCGAAATTATCAGAAAAAAATATTGTCGCACGACAAAAATAATTTTCGACTGTTTTTATTTACACAAGATTAATTACTTTCGATATGATAAAAAAAAATTTTAATTTCAAGGACAATAGGAAAGAAAAATATTCCATTTCTTTTCGAACGTCATATTTCAGAAACATTAAATTAATGACAATAGACCGCATTTAATTGATTATTAATTAATGTCTCATAAAAAGATCTTGTGTAATAAATTCCGAGATAAAATACAGATTATGAATAATGCAGAGGCATTTGATTAAAATATTTTTTCCCAGAATTTAAAAAGGTTTGCAAAAAATTGATTGAATTTTATTTAATTAATTGAATTAATTTAATGAATAACTGATTTGAATAAATTGATTGAATTATTATGATTTAAGTATTTATACTGCACAAGTGTTGACACTTGGGGGAAATCAATTAAATGAACAAAAAAGAGAAAACAATGAAAAGTTTTTATTGATCGTATCGAATAATATTTTTCTTCCTTTTTGTGGTATAATTTTACAAAGCCGAACGATAGTCACTATAGAGACGTGGAAAGGAGAGAGAGAAACAGAAAAAAAATTGATAAATCCGACCGGTCATCCTTAAAATAAAACCCCGCCTGCGCAGATGAACGTGAATGGGGCCCGGTGATGACTGGCTACGTACCTGATGCATGTGGAACGAGGACAAGTTAACTATCGAGAAAGGAAGCGCAAGTGAGACAGAAGCGACGGAAAATATCACCGCATACACCCAATTGGCGCTGCGATCGCTCACTTTCTGCCGTCAATGACAAAATGGCTGCCGTGCTCAGTGGAAGTGTCGCCATTGTTTAGTGTTTAGTTGAGTTTTATCTGGTTTTTCTTCTAATTTTACACGCAACCTGGGGGCTCACGACGCCAATATGCCAAGCGCCTCGTTTTCTGGGCGCGGCTACGTCCGTCGTTCGCGAAGAAAAGGTGCAAATAGGATTCCTTTACCATCGAGAGCTTCTGGTAAGTAACACACACACTCGCCACTTTTTTCCCCTTTATATACCTTTTTAACACTCTCTCGCCTTCACCTGCCGAGCCCCAATTTTTTTTTAAAACACTCTTTCCATATCTATATGCTAAAAATACATTTCTTCAATTTTTCTCCAACTATTACAACACTCTCTCCTTGAAGCATTTTCCTTTCAACCCTATTTTTTTGATTGTGAGAAATTAATTTTCTCTGTGAATATAGAGAATTGAGAGGAGAAAAAAAATTGAAGTTTACATTCTCCTTTGTCCCGTGACTTTTCTCTCCCTTGATGAGTATAATATGGGTTTGTGTCAAATTCCGGCTTTCGACGACGATCCTTTCCCAAATCCCTTCGGGCCTTTCTTAATTCGTGATGAAAGAAATTTTTTAAATCTGACCTGATAAAAAATTAAAATGGTAGGACCAAAGTTTGAGGTTTTTTTATTTCTCTCCGTTCACGATTTATCAATTGGGAAAAGTTGGACGAGTTTTTCGTGATTGAGATAAATTTACAAATTATCGCTGTTCGAGTTTCGACAATCTTTTTTTGATTTCTTTTTTTCTTCGGAGGAATTTTAAAGATGCTGCGGGAAATTAGTTAAGAAAACTTTTTCAGTTTTTAGAATTTTAATTATTTTTTTTAGTGATTAATTTTCCTATATTTACATTGTTGTAGGAAAATGACGAAATTGTATTGTGCGTGAATAATAGTTTTTCACTTTTGTTTCTTTTTTCCTGTGTATTAAACTTCTAATTTCAATTTTTTGACTCCTATCTATTAATCGTAATAATTTATTTTCGTTTAGTAATAATTATAGATTGTTTTAAACACAAGAAGTATTGTAATTTTCTTTGCCAAATTTATTTTAATTGGGTAAATATTTTCAAATTTTTTTCATTTCAAGAGCAATATGTTGGGACAATTTTTTCTGAAAGCACTGCAATTTCAAAGAATTAACACTTGAAAGCGTGAGAGTTATAAGTAACGGAATTAGAATATAGTTAATTTGGAAGGCAATCAGAAAGTTGTTCTTTATAGTTAGTAAATATTTAAATGGAAAACTCAACTTGAATTATAAATGTAGAATAAATTACATTTCATATTCTTCGTTAAAATGTATTTTATTTTTATCATAATTTGAAAATTTTCCAGAATGATAAATTTAAAAAATGCTATGAATTACAAAAGATAAGTTCTTATTTTTTTGTTATTGTTATTATTTCAAAAAATATTTTCATTTTATTAATTTTCTGACAATTATTTCCTTACTATTATTTATTATTATTATTATTATTATTATTTATATTAAAAAATACTCCTATTATCAATTTTGTTTTATTTGTTATAGAACATCTACAATAATACGTAATTTAATTAAAATTTTCACTCTATTGAGTTTGTATGGAAAATTGATTAGAAAATTGTGCTAAAAGCAGAAATGTATTATTATCACTCGCCAGTAATGAGTAATTAATTCTTTTTTATTGACAATATTTTTGACGTGTGAAAAGGAATTCTTTTCTTTTTTTACAAGCGGAAAAAAATTATTATAAATTCTTTCAACGAAATTATGTAATTTTGCAAATACTTTTTCTCATATTTCTATTTAGTTTATTATTATATAAACCGTGACTCAAAGATTATTATGAATCCTTGTTTAAGTACAAGGTCGTGGAATTTCCTTCCTTTCCTTTTTATTTTATTTTTTTTGTTGTTCAGCTCTCACAATTATGACAATTGAAATTCTAATTCTGTTTTTTCCATTGACACTCGTATATTCATGCTCCTCTGATTTTTTTATATACACTCGCAAAAATTCCGATTCCTGCGATTTCGTAATTTCCTTCCTAAACATTTTTTTTATACGGGCTTATAAGAGAAAAAAAATTTGCTCTTATGGCCCAAATTAAATATATTAAATAACAAAAATTAATTATCTTTTTTAATTTTATTTTTTTATATTTTATTTCTGTATTGTTATTTACTGTATTTTAATTATTCATTGTATTTTATTTATATAAGATTTTATTTTTGGAAATTTGGTTTACTTTTGGAATTTAATTTAAATTTTAACATTTTATTTTTTTTCTGAATTTTATTTCAATTTTTGGAGCTAAATCTTTATTTTATTTTCAGATTAAGATCCTGAATTTAAAAATAAATTGTTATAGGTGGCAAAAAATGAGTTTGCGAAAATTAAATTTATCTGCAGAATAAGTGCTTTTTGGTTGAATTCCTTTTAAAATTTCGAATATGAACATACTTTCTAATTTAATGAAAAATATTTTTTCAAAATTTAATGAAAAATATTTTCAAAAGCTTTCCTCAATTCAATAATTTTTAATATCTACTGCTTTAATAAAAATTCATTAAAGAATTCAATTAGTTAAAAAAAAATTTAATAAAATTCTACGCAGAATTCCAATTATGTTTAAAAATTTACAAAAATTCTCGTCAAAATTTCAATTATTTTTAAAAATAATGAAATTCTTCTCTAAAATTAAATTATTTTCAAAAATTTTTTAAAAATCGCGTACAAATTTCAATTATCTTTAAAAATAATAAAATTCTTCTTTAAAATTCAATTATTTTTAAAAATAATAAAATTCTTCTCTAAAATTCCATTATTTTCAAAAATTTGTTTAAATTCTCGTAGAAATTTCTAATAAATATTGATTTAATAATGAATTTCAAATTAAAATCTTTGAACACTTCTTTTGTTGCCTTTTTCACTAGAATTTATTTTATTTTTGCATATTTCATTTTAATTGAACTAATTTCACAATAATTCGTTTTGTTCCTTTTTTTATGCTTTTAAAGATTTGTGTAAAATACTTGAATCGAAGCAAAAAAAATATTAATTTACGTAACGTTATTTCAAAAATGAATTTTTTGTGTTATTTTCAGTTTTTTTGAAATTTCCAATAAAAAAGTCTTTTTAAAAACATTTTTTCTATAAGTAAAATTTACATGAGAAAATTTTCCAATTTATGGTAAATAATAATTAGAAATGAAAAGTAAATTTAAAATATTGTATTTTCTTAGAAGAGAAAATGGAGAAATGTAAATATTTTTGTTTTATGGTTGACACGTTGATGGAGGTGCATTAAATAAAAAGAAGTGACATGTATAAATGAATGTGAAATTAATTGATATGTAAATGTAATTTTCAGACGAGGCGTACGATTTGCCATGCCCGGCATCGAATCAAATTGCACTAGGAGGCGGTGGCGGTGTCAGCGGTGGAAGCGGAGGTCGAGGACCTTTTCCGAGTACTTCAGGGGTCGCAGCGCCTTCGTCGTCGCACTCCTCGCCATATGACCTCAGACGAAAAAGTCCCCCTCATCCGGATCCGGCACCCGGAACCAGCTCTGCATTACCTCCAGCAGGCGGCAGCAGTTACGCCGCCGCCATATTTGTCTCATCCTCTCTTCCGGCGAGAAAACGACCCCGGCGAGCATGTTCATTATCCATCGATGGTAATTTTTTTTTCACCTTCAAATCAATCTCTCTCGCTAAAACACTTTATGTCAAGAATAAAATTCAATTTAAATTCATTCCCTCGAAATGCATTTTTTCAAAGAGAAAATGCTTTTTTTTGAAATCTATAAAATCTAAAAATGGTACTAATGCAATTATTTTCACAGGCACATACACACACACGGCAGCCCATTATCTCCAGTACGAATTACCGGACGAGGTTCTGTTGACAATATTTAATTATTTCATGGAACAGGACCTGTGTCGAGTGGCACAAGTTTGTAAACGATTTCAAGTAATTGCAAACGACACCGAACTATGGAAGTCATTATATCAACAAATTTACGAATACGATATTCCACTATTCAATCCGGAGCCGTGTAAATTTGAATTCATCTCGCCCGATGAGTCGGACTACGCGAATCCCTGGAAGGAGAGCTTTCGACAACTCTATCGTGGCGTTCACGTCAGGCCCGGCTTTCAAAATCATCGAAGCAAATTCAAAAATCTTCCTTACTTCAACACAATACAAAGTGCGATTGATCATGCCGATGAATATCGAAGTAATAGCAGTAGCAGTAGTTCGTCGTCGAGTAGTAGTAGCACGTCGAGTTCAAGCAGTTCTGGAAATTGTTGCGGCAATACACAAACAACGGAGGACACTTATCAGCATTTAGTATTTTTACACGCCGGCACTTATCGCGGTGAATTTTTGGTCATTGATCACGATGTGGCGTTGGTTGGTTCGGCGCCTGGAAATGTTGCCGAGTCCGTTATACTCGAGCGTGAAAGCGAATCAACAGTGATGTTCATTGAGGGAGCGAAGAAAGCGTACGTTGGACATCTTACACTTAAATTTACTCCCGATGTTGCGAGTACAGTGCCACATCATAAACATTATTGTCTCGAGGTCGGCGAGAATTGTAGTCCGACCATTGATCATTGCATTATTCGCAGTTCCAGTGTTGGTGAGTTTTTCTTTTTTCAATTTTTTGTCTTTTCAACCAATTGAAACAAGTTCTGGGATTTTTATTAAAAGTATACTGAAAAAAAGTAAATTATTAGAATTCATAAGAAAATTCTGAATTTTTGTGAAATTGACACGAATTCTAATACAAAACCTTCAATTTTTTATATTTCTGACAAGAATTTCTCTTTAAATAATTAATTCTTCAAGAACTATCCGCCGAAAATTATTACTTAGAAATTATTTAATGAATAATTTTACTTAAATATTTCTAAATTAATTTAATTTTAAAAAACTTGAATTTACAATTTTCATAAATAAATTAACATCAAAAGGTTTTAATTTAAAATTTTAGAAAATTTCAATTTTGAATGAATTTAATTAGAAATTTTAAAGAACTAAGATTTTGGAAAAATGTAATAATTCAAATTCTTCTAAAATTAGTTACATTTTTAAATAATTGTAGAAATCTAATTATTTTCGAAAGTAATAAAATTCTTTGCAAAAATTCAATTATGTATTTTCAAATTTTTTTTGTAAGTTCTCGTGAAAATTACAATTATTTTTAAAAATAATCAAATTCTTCTCTGAAATTCAGTTATTTTCAAAAATTTTCCCCAATTCAATGATTTTCAATATCTTTTATTTTAATGTTTTCCAAAAGAATTCAATTATGTAAAAAAAATTTTGAATAAAGTTTTAAACAAACATTTAATTATTTTCATAAATAATAAAAAATTCACAAGAATTCAATTATTTACAAATTTTCCACAGGGATTCAATTATTTTCATAAATAATGAAACTCAGCACAGAATTTCAATTATATTTCACTACAATTTTAATTAGATTTTTTAAAAGAATTCAATTATTCTTAAAAATGCTATTAAAAATTGAAATTCTTCTTAATAATTCAATTATTTAAAAATTTGTTGATAAAATTCTTTATTAGAATTCAATTTTGTGAAACATTCACTTGTTCCATAAATTATTTATTTTTATATTAAAATAATTGAATTCTCGCAGAATTTTTTAATAAAAATTGTTTGAAAAATGAATTTTAGTTAAAATTTTAGATAATAATTAAATATTATTAAAAGCATTATAGCGTGGATTTTTAGAAATAATTGAATTTTGAAAAAGTTTCAAATTAAAATCTTTGAAAATTTGAATTTTTCATACATTTAACTAACAATTCTGTAGAATTAATTTTTTTGAAAAAGTTTAATTGATTTTTTTTTAAAATTATTTGGATTTTTTATTTTCTAATTTATTTAATTGAAGAATTTCCAAATAATTGAAATTTAACTTAAAATTGAATTGTAAACGAAAGGATTTGAAAATTCTAAAAAGAACTTTTTCAATAATTATTAAAAATAATTGATTTAAAGAAGAATTTTAGTTATAAATTCTAGGAAAAAATAATTGAATTGAAGTGATGAAAATAATTTTGAAGAAGTTAGAGTAACAATATTCTTATAATTTAAAATAATGATTTTATCACTCAGTCATCTTTACTTATTATAAAACATGAAGAAAGCGATCAGTCCGAGTCGTAGACTCGGAATGATCGATATCTTCACGTTTTATAATATATATTCTTATAAGTTGTTGAATTTCAAAAAGGTTTGAAATCTATTTAACCAATTAAAAGTATTGTTATTAAAAAATTGTCTTCTTTTCTGTGTCAACAGTTGGTGCGGCGGTCTGCGTCTCCGGAGTCGGTGCAAATCCAGTGATTAGAAATTGCGATATCTCGGATTGCGAGAACGTCGGTCTGTATGTGACAGATTACGCTCAAGGTACATATGAGGACAATGAAATTTCGCGTAATGCCCTAGCGGGTATTTGGGTGAAGAATTACGCGAATCCAATAATGCGACGTAATCATATTCATCATGGTCGTGACGTTGGTATATTCACGTTTGACAATGGTCTCGGTTATTTTGAATCAAATGACATTCACAATAATCGTATCGCTGGTTTTGAAGTGAAAGCAGGCGCAAATCCAACAGTTGTACATTGCGAAATTCATCATGGACAAACTGGCGGTATTTATGTGCACGAGAATGGATTGGGACAATTTATCGATAATAAAATTCATTCGAATAATTTTGCCGGCGTTTGGATTACGTCAAATTCAAATCCAACGATTCGACGTAATGAAATTTATAATGGACATCAGGGTGGTGTTTATATATTCGGCGAGGGCAGAGGTAATTATTTATTATTCTATTCAATTTTTTTTTGTTTTCGAAAGAAATAATTGCTCTGACACTTTTATTTCTTATATTTAATCGTTGAGTTAATAAAACCTTTTGTATTTTCAAGAGGTTTATTTTCTAATTCAAAAATAATATTGATTAGTCAAGTTTTATTGTAGGGAAACAAATTATAAAATTTTATCACTTTGAGATAATTCTTTAACAATCTTTCCTTTATGACTGAGATTTAATTTCTATGGAAATTAATATTGATTTCGATTTCATTATCAAGGTCAAGAATTTATTACTTGTAATTTAATTCTATTGGGAGTTTTTTTCCCCAAGTATTTCGACTTTCACTCTATCCGTTTGTGTCTACCTTTTACTTGTGATGAGGGTACCGTTAGGATTCTTTTTAAAGAACCTGTGTGGTCCTCGGACTCTTCTATTTAATTTTCACGAATACATTTCGTTACTTTGTCTTTTCTTGAGGAGTTTTTTCGCTTATTTCTCCCTCTTCTCTTTTTTTAATAAGAAAATTGTTTATATTTTACAGAACAATGTAATTTATTTTCATAAATTATAGGTACTATTAATTTATTTTTATGAATTATATTTATTTATTTTCATAAATTATATTTATTTAATTTCATAAATTATATTTATTTAATTTCATAAATTATATTTACAAAAATTCAATTCGAAATAATAATTGTCATAATGGGAAAATATTGATTTCCGATTAATAATTATAATTGGTGGATATTTCGGAATAATTATTAATTTGTAATTAAAAATTGCTTTCAGGTTTAATAGAGCACAATGACATTTACGGAAACGCACTGGCGGGAATTCAAATTCGAACGAATTCGGACCCGATTGTTCGACACAATAAAATTCACCATGGCCAGCATGGTGGCATCTATGTTCATGAAAAAGGACAAGGATTGATTGAAGAGAATGAAGTTTTTGCCAATACATTGGCCGGCGTATGGATTACGACCGGATCAACGCCAATTTTACGACGTAATCGTATTCACAGTGGTAAACAGGTTGGCGTTTATTTTTACGATAATGGCCATGGAAAGCTCGAGGATAACGACATCTTCAATCATCTTTATTCGGGCGTTCAAATCAGGTTTGTTTTCTCCCAAATTGTCAATTTTTGTTTACTTTCACAAATCATTTTTAGTATTTAATAAATTTAATGAATTTAAATTTAAATTAAAATTTTTTAATTTTTTTGCCTTTAGAACCGGAAGTAATCCTGTGATTAGAGGAAATAAAATCTGGGGTGGTCAGAATGGCGGTGTTTTGGTTTACAACAGCGGATTGGGATTGTTGGAACAAAATGAAATTTTCGACAATGCAATGGCCGGCGTTTGGATCAAAACCGACAGTAATCCCACCTTGAAGAGGAATAAAATTTTCGATGGTCGAGACGGTGGAATTTGTATATTTAATGGAGGCAAAGGTAAGACAAATTTATTATTATTCGAAAAAAAATGTTATATTTCGTAGTTTATATTATACTAGAAAATGATACGCGCTGTATTCCATTTATTATTATTTTGTAAATTAAAAAATTTTATATTTTCAAGAATGAACATTTTTTGAATGATTACAGATTCATAATTTAAAGAAATCACTAATTAAGTACATAATATTAAATTTGTTTATTTAAAATTAATTTCAGGGATGCTGGAGGAAAACGATATATTTAGAAACGCACAGGCGGGCGTTCTTATATCGACGCAGTCACATCCGGTGCTGAGAAGAAATAGAATTTTCGATGGACTCGCGGCCGGAGTCGAAGTCACGAATAATGCGACTGCCACTTTAGAATTTAATCATATTTTCAATAATCGATTTGGCGGCCTTTGCCTCGCTAGTGGCGTTCAACCTGCAAGGAGGGGTAAATATTTATCTTATCTTTTCTTTTTTTTTGAAAAATCTATTTTCAAAGTTTTTCTTATTTTTTTTTTTTTAATTAAAAAAGTGTAAATTGAGAATATTTTGTTAAAATTGAAAAATTTATTCCTCAGGTAACAAAATATTTAATAATCAAGATGCAGTGGAAAAAGCGGTGGCCAACAGTCAATGTCTCTACAAAATTTCCTCGTATACCTCGTTTCCAATGCACGATTTTTATCGATGCAGAACTTGTAACACCACCGATCGAAACGCAATTTGCGTTAATTGTATAAAAGTTTGTCATGCCGGACACGATGTAGAATTTATTCGACATGATCGGTGAGTTTCTTTTTTCCATGAATTTAATTAAAATTTAGCTATTTAATTGAATATTTATACGTTAAAATTGAAAATTAACATTTTTCTGGTTTCTAAACATTTATTTAAATTTGACAGATTCTTTTGCGACTGCGGAGCCGGTACATTGAGTAATCAGTGTCAACTTCAGGGCGAGCCAACACAAGACACTGACACTCTTTACGATAGTGCAGCTCCAATAGAATCTCACACACTCATGGTCAACTAGGATCTAACATAAATTTTTTAATCTTAAAAAAACGAATCAAATGACCACATCATCCTCCCCAAATTCATCCGTAAGTCCATTATCATTTTTTTTCTCCATTTATTTGAAAGAAATAGAACTTATCAATTTCCAATTAATTGTCTATATAATCCCTCAGAAAATTGCAGAGTTCTTTGTTACTTTATCGATTATTCGATAAAAATTCTAGAACAATTTTTTTTAATCTCATATTATATTTGTGTATATTTATATTATTTTTCCGCGCGAAAAAAACAATTTATTACATTAATTTTCAAATTGAAAATAAAATAAATTTATGTTTTTTTACACCGGAAATTTTGTTATAAAAAAAAATTGTGCCTGTGATTTTTTTGTCATTTCCGGGAAAAAAGGTTTTTTGTTTTTAACAGTTATGTTTTTTTCTTTTTTTTTTTTTTTTTTTTGCTGTGTACTTCGTAGAGTTTTGAGTACAATTTTTGTAAATGAGAAGGAAGAAATTATTTTCATTCTCTGGTCTTTTTCTTTGTTTTTGTTTTTTTATGATAGGCAATTGAATTTTTTATGTGGAAATTAAAAAAGAAAACCAGAGAGAACTGATGAGGGTAAATTATTTCTTTTATGGATATAATTTTATCGGGGAAGGTGAAATAATTCCGTTGGATGGAAAAAAAATATTAGAGTTTGATGATTGCACGATTTAAATTTTTTTTTGTGAGTATATATCAAGAATCGTGAATGTTCTACTCAAGCTAGTAAAAATTAATGTAATGAGTAAAATCATTACCTCTGTACATAGTTTATTCATTTTACAATAACCATACGATTATGATTGATTATAATATTATTATTAATACATGAGTTAATAAAGAGCTCTGCACTTACGTCTCCCTTCCTCCACTCCCCCCCATCATCTCTCTCACGACTCCAATTTTAAAATCACATCACAAATTCCTTTTTTCTACGTCAAAAATTAAATTCAATTAAATTGAAAGAAAGTGAAATTGAAGTGTTAAAAAAATGTGTGACTAGAGAAGAGGAGAGAAGAATATTTTTTTGTGAATATTCAAGAAGAGGATTAAATTTTGTGAATGTTGGAGAAGAGGAGAAAATTGTAAATTTTCGAAAAGAAGAAGAATGTGAATGTTCCAGAAGAAGAGGGAAAAGTGTGAATACTCGAGGGGAGGAAAAGTAAAACTCGTGAATTAGGAAGAAAATTAATATTCGAGAAGAGGAATTTTCAAGAAGAGAAAAAAAAAATTGTGAATATTTGAGAGGAGGAAAAATTGTGAATAATTCGAGAGAATGGAATTTGAGAATTTCTTCAAGAAACATAAATTGTAAAAAATGGATCGAGAGATAAAAATATTGTGATTGGGTCCCATTATTTAAATATTTTTTCTTCATGAGAAAAAGATTAATTATTTTTATTAGAATGGATGTTTTTTTCAACAAAGAAATCCGAAAAATTTATCATGTCAAATCAGCAAAAATGTTTCCCTTTGGAAATTATCTCCAAACTGAAAAAATAGAAAAAAACACCAAAATGAACAAAAAATGTGATTGTAAATAAATTGAAATTCAATTGAACATGAAATTTAAATATTAGAGGATTAGAAAAAGAAGAATAAATTCGGTCGAAAATGAAATTATGAGAAAGCAAAGGATGGACTCCTCCTCTCCTCTCACTGTGATGGTTCAGAATCAGCCCAAGGGCGAAGTGCATAATAATGATTAAATAAAAAAAAAATTATTTACATTAATTTAGGAGAAAAAAAAATCAAGAAAAATGAGAGAGAAAATGTTTTTAAAAAATTTTACTACAAAAAGAAAAGTAAATGTGGTTTACCAGTGAAAAAAAGCGATATAAACAATTAAAATTAAAAAAAAGACTGTCGAACGATACAGTTAATTACTAGAAATGAATCTCGAGTTTCTCAAGTAATCTGAACTTATAAAATATTACGTTTAGTGCTCTAACATTTAATCGTATTATACATATATACATAAATAGTAAAACTGTATATCCAAGGGGAGAATTATCGTCTCTCCCGCTCTCCCTTTCTCTCTATCTCTATCTATTTCTATAATCTATCTTCTTATATGGAAAAAAACCGCCTACCTAGCGTAATTTAAGACGATTTATAAACTCTTAAAATGAGTGAAACAGGAAATCAAATTTTTATCATGTATCGAAAAGCAGCTTTCTGTAATTTTTTTGTTTTGTAAAATGATTTTTATTTCATCGTCTATTTTTACATCATTTCTTTCGGGAATTTATTATTAATGATAACTATTATTAATAACAGAGATAAACTGAAAACAAATTTTCTTTACCGAATTACATTGAAATTAGTTTGAAAATTAATTATTAACTGAATATTAATTTTCAAGAAATTTTCGATTTTAAATTTTTAATTAATTGTTTAAACAATTAATTAATTTGTAACTTCATTAAAAAGTTAATTATTTAATCAAATTAATCATAATTGATGAAATTGATTAAATTAATCAAATTAATAATTCAACTAGTTCGAATAAATTTGTTACTTTATGATAATTTTAGAAATATTGATTCAAGTTCATATTTCTAATTCATTCATTGCAAAGATTCATTTTCATTTTAATTATTCCATTACTTAGTAAGTAGAATATTTAACGAATTAATTAATTACTTGGTAAACGTTTACGAAAAAAAAATTCGCCTTATTTAAATTTGTCTCTTGATTTTTTTGCTATTTATGGAGCAAGTGGAACAATTTTTAAAAATTCGCGATTATCGAAAGTCAATATTATTGTCTTTAAAAAATTTCTATAGTTGAAAATTAATTTTTTAACAATGTAAATTTAATTGTTTTTGCTACTTCGTGGAGAAAGATTTGTTTAATTCTATTTTTAACACTTGACTATTTAAATAATTGTGAGAGGAAATTGAAATTCATCAACAAAATTTCTTTCATAAAAAAAAATCACGCAATTTATTAAATTTCATTTTATTTGAGAAAATTTTATTTACTCTTTGAAAATAAAATTTTAACAGCGGCTTTAGTACGTTCACGGTTCTTGATGTATATTCATTAAAAAAATTTATACATAAAAAATAAATAGAAGTAAACATTTTACTGTTAAATTTTTGAAACAGTATCTTTATTTCTATTAAAATCTAATAAAAAAAATTGTTTCACTTAAGAAATATAAAAACGAATCTTTTTGTAAAAAAATACCGTCAAATACTTGTAAAAAAATTTTATATTGAGATTTATAGAAAAAAAAAATGAAAAAAGTTAAAAAAAATTCGGTTTTTATAGCAAAACTCGGCAAAATTTCTATAAGGCCAATTTTTCTTTTTCAACCATTTAAAACCTTTTCAACAATGTGACTATAATTTGAAAATTTCAAATAATACACAATTGTAAATAATAAAAAAAATCATTTATATATACATATGATTTTTATATAAAAAAAATATGTAGAAAATAATTATTTTTAATGACAATAGTAATGAAAAACAAATAATAGTCTATAATAATAATAATCTTGTAATAATAATAAATTCCTGAATATATTCGTCGAGTTAGAAACAAAAACAAGAGAAAAGTTGCTTTATGATCACTGTCGAGATTTTATATTCTACAAAAAAGTTTTCCCGCAATAAAATGGAAAAGCAGCGAGTGAAAATTGCCTTTGACACTTGGACCTTAAGGTCACTATAACAAAAGTATAAATATATTAAATAAATACACAACAGTGTCATATTATACATAGTATAAACTATATTATAATGATATAAAAAATATATATATGCCTACCACGTGGTACGAAATTACCTGGTAAATAAAAATTATTGGAATATTTAGAAAAGAAAAAAAATTTTCTCTCTCTCTGCAAAAAAAATAAAATTTAATTTTAAATTGCGAATTCAGAAAGGAATTTTTAATCAAATGCATTGCGTTCGCGAATCTATAATTGGACTTGGAAATCTTGTCACAGAAATAAAATATGAACTATTAGAATTTTAATTTTGTTAAGAATTCAATTCAAATTATAAATTCGTTCCGAATTCAAAACTTTCTAAATATTTTGTTAGTCTCGATTTTTTTGCAATTCTAAAGATTTTTAAATTAAATTAAATTAAAATTTATTTTCTCACAAAAATTACGTGTCAAAAATTTTTGTTATACAAAAAGAATAAAGAACAGTTGCTTTTAAAATAATTAATGAAAAGGTAGAGGCACCACGTGGTATGTGTGTGAGCGTGTTTTTGTGTGAGTGATAAAAAAGTAAAATAAACAAAAATAGATAGAAATATATCGATATCAAGCATGAAAAGGCAATTTTTTCACGTTCTTTTCTCAACTAATTAATTTAAAAAAATATATTGTGCTCAGTTAGGTTTTCTTCTTCTTCTTCTATTTGCTACTTGTACATTGTCCTTGTTTTTCACGAAACAAATTTTTAAAAAAACAGTATAAAAAATTTATTTCGAAAGAACGAGATAAGGGATTTCTTTTTTTAATAGATAAACTGTGAAAGCTTTCGATTTAAAAGTAAAAAGAAAATTTGGCGAATGTGAAACAAAATATTTGTAAATTTATCAAAAAAAAAACAAACAAACAAACAAACAAAATAAACGAAGTGGTATAAATTTTATAAAAATGACAAACTAGATGCAAAAATATTTTAATTCGAAATTAATTTTTTTTTATTTTGTAAATTGTACTATCAATTATTTTTTGTAATTTTTTTTATTTTTATCACATGAGAAGGTGATTTCAATTTTAGTAGAAACGGAAAAATTAGATTTGGAAAAATTGCAATGGTAAAGGAATAATTTTAAAAAAACAATTAAAAAAAGAATAAATTCAAATAAATTGCACCTTCTGATTAAAATTGTAAACAAAATGTTGTGTTCAAATTTGTTGTTTTCAATAATACCATTTGTTTCTTTTGTTTATAATTTATGATAATTTGTTTTTCGGCGCATAAAAAATTTTGTACCTCAAAAGGTTTAGTATCAACAACAAAAAAATGTGAATATTAATTTAAGTATATGTATAGGAATTATTAATGTATTTTTAATATTGATTTGATTTTTTTTAATTCGCTCGTTTTTATCAAATAGTTCGAAAATTCCCTTGTCTCACTATTTTTTTTTAAATCTTTTTTTAAAGAATTATATTAATAACGAAACATTTTTGTCTCACGTCACAGCTTCCGATTATTATGAATTGTATAATTACTTCCAAAGATTTTTAATTTGCCAGAATTTTGATAATCAATAAGTAAATCATAATTA